AGAGAGTTTCGATCCGAAATCGCATATCTTGTCGCGCGATAGCCAGCCGCGACAACCTCCCTGCTTTCGCTGAGGAGCATCATCTGCATGCGGAGGCCAAAGACTGACCACACCAGGTCGTATTTAAGGGTGGGATATCTCTTGAACAGGTCGACCAGAAGATTCGCCCGAGTCACATAGTAGTCGGGAGTCATCCCCCCAACTTCCAGCGCTTGGAGGAGCTCGGCAAGGGTAAATGTTGGATTCTCGGTAGATTCTTCGACATCTGAGCCGGGGCCCGATCGGATGCTATGCGGTGAGCGATGGAGAGCAACATCTTGCTGGGCTCTGGTCCTGGGAGGCGTGCTAGGCGGAGCCGCTCTGGTGGCCTGGGCATCCGAGATCTGCTGCTTCAGCACCTTGATGCGCGAATGGCTGGCGGTCAGCTCCGCCTCGACTCTCTGGCGCTGCTCCTTTGTCTGCTTGGGCTTCTTGAGGTTGAGTGCCTCGAGCATGTTTTCGCTGCCCTCCTTGATCTTCATTTCTCTGCTGAGCTTGTCCCGCAACGCCGAGAGATTCTGCTCGGCAATCTCGCCATCCTCGACCTTGTCCACGAAGCTGTTTGGGTATACAGGCCCTGCGTCGGTCCGGCTGCCTGAGCGGATGGGGATCATCTGGCTGCGCAGCTCGGAGCTGAAGCTGCCGGGGCCGGCGCCAGGATTGAGACTGCTGGCTCGCGGAGCATACGAGGCGGCCGAAGCCGATAGGTTCCTGGAAGCCCCGCCATTGGGAATCTGCAGCCCAGTGCCCTCGCGATCGATGCTGGTCCGGCCGATGGTCTGCACGTCGGACCGCTCGAGGCTCTGCGAGGGCCGGCCGGACGTGGCAAACCCCTTCTGGCTGGACGAGGAGCTGGCCAGCATGGCGACGGCGACGCCCACCGAGGGGGGGGAGGGACTATGCCCTCAGCATTCGTATGTTTATCCGGCCAGGAGTGTTAGCGACTCTGGTTCGGGGGTTTCGTCTCGCTCGCGCTGTGTCCAGGCAGTGTCGTAGAGAAGTGAGATTCGGATTGTCGACTCGTCCAGCTCGAAGCACATGAAACCGGACGGGCAGCTGTGCTTATTGGCGGACCTGTGACAGAATGGAACGCTGTGTAGATCGCAGATCTGAGCGGTGGAAACTTGGCGCGGCGGAAGGACAAGCTAAAGGCCCAAACCAAGGCCGAGCGAAAATCTGAGCACAGCGAATTGCGCAGATTCGACGGGCGCGGCTGTGAAGCTGGTCAAGACATGCGAGGGGACGAGGCTGAGCCCGCGACACAGCGAATCAAGCAAGACGCAGAGGATGGACTGAAATGAAGCGTTACCAGCCGTCAGGATTTCAAAAGGCCGGGCTGAAAGCATCCATGCATGGCTGGTGAATGAAGGTTTGGTGGCTGTACTGTACTGTAGCAGCAGAGCTGTGGCACAGCAGTACATGCACTGTAGGCCATTTCACCAGCAAAGAGCAGGTACCTGTCTATTTCTACTGTGCGACATCTACCCTATTGTCGGCGATATATGAACTCGGCTCTTTCAAATGCCATGAACAGAGTGCAGAAAGAAGAGGAAGAGTATTGCCATTTACCGATAATAGCAATGCTAATTCTCTTAGGCCTGTATCAATGCAACTTAATCTAAAACCCGTCCGTGGTAACGTCAACGACCACACGTCGGGGCGCAATAGCCCGATCGCATGATGGCATCAAGCTGTGGCTGATGGGTCTTCAGCGATCTGCACCGTAACAACGACCCCGATATCCATGATTTCCCACTTGGTTTAAGACCCATCTGATGAAATCACAAGAGAGGCAAACTTACCAAGGACTAACAGCTCACAACTCACTACGACTAATTCACATTAGTCCTTGCTTATCTTAATTGAGATTCCCCAGCATCTTAGATAGCCATCCATATCTACATACAACCCCAATACCCTCATTCGATTCGGCATCAAATATGCTTCCATCAGGTCATCTCACGAACCCCTAAAATACATCCCCTTCCCACCAGCTGCACCACCAACATCAAAGTACCTCCATAAAAACATCGGCCCATCTCCTCAGCACCAAAAATCCCGGATCCCGACCCAAGCTTTCCATCAGGATCCAGCTGCCCTGGGGCCTCCGGGGCTCCGCGTCTGGGATTCGGCGGGCTCCGGGCCTCTTTGTGTCGCAACCCCACCAGCCATACATTGGAGACTTTGCAATTGTCTTTGCTGCTCATCAGCTCGTGCTGCAACGCGCCATGGCCCGAAGGCTTGCCCTTTTTGCCGCTGATGCCGCTTGCGGGAAAGTCGAGCCGGTGCTATGCATGGTCGATCGGGACTTGTTTGCTTATTGTGCAAAGTCAATGTGAGGCGATGTCCGATAGCTATCTTGCGCGTGTCAGATAGGAAAGTGGATATGGAATCATCTCATGCTGTCCTCCGGATGCACATGTAACCAACGGGCATGTGCTATATATAATCCAGGCCTCGCTCCTTGTAGATCAACCTTGCATCCATCTTTTCTCTAGCTTCATTGCTGAGTGTGTTGATAGTTGACATCTTGGTTTGTTTGTTCGCCGCTTTCATCTCCGTGACACCTCCGTTACCGGTTCTCTCTCTCTCCATTGAGATCTCCTCCCGAGTAAATCACCAGCTTCAACTTCACACAAAACAGCTCAATTCATCTCATCATCATGGCTACTGCTCACGTCTCCGCCGCCCGCTACGGCAAGGACAACGTCCGCGTGCTCAAGACCGACCGCGACGCCGCCACCGGCATCCACACCGTCACCGAAATGACCGTCAGCTGCCTCCTCGAGGGCGACATCGACGTCTCCTACACAAAGGGCGACAACAGCGTCGTCGTCGCCACCGACTCCATCAAGAACACAATCTTCATCACCGCCAAGCTGAACCCCGTCAACCCCCCGGAGCTCTTCGCCGCCATCCTCGGCTCCCACTTCATCGACACCTACAGCCACATCCACGCCGCAAACGTCAAGGTAATCACGCACCGCTGGACGCGCATGGAGGTTCGTGGGAAGCCGCATCCTCACAGCTTCTTGCGCGACGGCCAGGAGACGCGCAATGTTGAGGCCCGCATTAGTCGCAAGGGCGGCATCGTCATCAATAGCGGCATTGAGGGCCTGACTGTGCTCAAGAGCACTGGCTCGGCATTCCACGGCTTCGTGCGGGACGAGTACACCACTCTGGGCGAGACCTGGGATCGCATCTTGTCCACCGACGTTGATGCCACCTGGAAGTGGAAGACCTTTGCAGATGTTGCCGCCGTGCGGGAGGCAGTCCCCAAGTTTAATCCGGCGTGGGAGCAAGCCCGCGAGATTACCCTGACGAGATTCGCCGAGGATGAGAGCGCCAGTGTGCAGAACACCATGTATAAGATGTGCGAGCAGATTCTGGGAGCCGTACCAGAGACGGAGCTGGTCACCTACTCGCTGCCCAACAAGCACTTTTTCGAGCTCGGTAAGTTTCTCACTGATATAGCATATATACAAGAAATCGCAATTGCTAATGAAACCTTACAGATTTGAGCTGGCACAAGGGCATCAAGAACACCGGCAAGGATGCCGAGGTCTACGTCCCCCAGTCAAACCCCAACGGCCTCATCAAATGCGAGGTTGCCCGCGGCGCTGCTCCCAGCCGCGACTCACACTTGTAAAATAATCCAAAAAATTCAGAAAAAAAGAGATATCAATTACATGTTTAAATAGGTACATGATGGCGCCTTGGGTTGCGTCAATGTTGGATCAAGGACATTAGATGGGTGGATTATCATCATAGTCATGAACGGCTACTGCGACAAAGTGCGCAGATAGCTTGGTTATAGCGTTTTGTTTTGAATTGGATTACATTTAATAAGTATCGTCTTGTAGCTGCATCGTATTTCAAATCTGCTGCGTGATATGTGTTTGTTTTGTATATGTACTTTACAATTTTCTCCCTCAAGCTCAACCCTCTAGTTTTCAATGAGATCGTCTTCATCCCACATCCTTCATCCCAGAGTCGTCAAACACACAAAACGTATAATACAAGTAGCAACAACCAATCTTTACAAGATTATCGTCATAATCATCATCATTTCTCCCTTCTCCCACCTCATCCTCATAACCTATCCTTATCCGTGTTCCGTATCGCCTCCACCATCTTATCCCACCCCTCCGACCCCACAGCCTTTCCTCCAAATCGTATCACATTCTGCTTATACGGATGTGCCTCGCCCTCAAACGCCTTGAGTCTCGCCAATCTCTTATCCCGCAGCCTGTTCTTGGGCAGCATGCCGCTAACAGCTTTTCTCAGCACCTCGCTGCCACCGTGCTTCTCCATGAGCACATCCATTGTCACAGTCCGGAGGCTACCCGGCCGTGTGTTGTGTCTGTAGTAGTTTTTGCGCCATTTCTTGTTGCCGGTGGTGTGTAGAGCGGCGCAATTCGTCACCACGACGTAGTCGCCGCAGTCGGTTGAAGGGTCAAAGGTGGGCTTGTGCTTGCCCATGAGCAGGACGGCAATTCGGGACGCCAGGCGGCCGAGAGAAGGAGGAGTGACGTTGGGTTGGGTGGAAAGAGTCGGGTGAGGGGTCGAGGCGGAAACCTGGTGCCATACTCGAGAGTAGGCGAGCCTTGTCTGTGGGAGCAATCGTTAGAAGAAGAACTTCGCATATTTGGGTAGCTGGCTGTAGAAGCTGGAAAGGCTTACCAGGCCGACGGTCTGCGACATCTTGTCTAGCTTGAAGGTCCAAGTCTCTGCAAGAACTTAGGCCTCGAGGCGATAAGCACCGGTGAGAATGTCACCGTGAATGGACGCTTCACCAACCTACAAAGCGGGCAGTATCACGAACCTCGACCCTCGAAAGTTTGCATATCCAAATGCTGACTCATCCTATCGCGCCCAAGTCACATGACCTCCTTCCCGTTATCGCTCCTTGGATAAGCCAAAATTTCCCATCCAGAAGCTCTGCTTGCGGCTCCACCCTCCGGACGGGACCGTGTAATCCCGGCGTTATGGCATCACTGCAGTGGATTTCAAAGCACTGGAGTGCAAATACTCGGACATTCACCTTGAAATAAATGGCGCTTAGGAACGCTGCGTCTTCCAAGATTCTGGCAGCTTCATTTGGCCTCTTTGCTGGCTATTCAGCGTACCGATATAGAGCTTCTCATTCTGCCAGCCCTACTAGTAGCGCTCCGACACCCGGTACGTATTGGCCACTTTGGCGAGCTTCAACTCCAGCTTCGACTCAAGCTGGGTTTACAACTGCCCCGCGTCTTGACTGACAGCTTCATCAACCAACCAGGCAACATGGCTGTCAAGCACAGCTTCCAGGTATGGCTTCTGCCTTGACTTTAGAAAGAATCTTGTTCTTTTTCTTTCTTTTCTTTTCGAAACAAAGAAAAAAGAAACGTGCACAGTCCATGGAGCGTTTGAGAGGCTGATGAAACACTGGGCAAACAGACCCTCTTCGCCGTCCCGCTATCCTGCGACGGCTGCGTCAAGTCCGTTTCAGACTCTCTCTACAAACTCGATGGCATCACCAAGGTCGAGGGAAACCTCAAGGACCAGCTGGTATCAGTCGAGGGATCTGGTGAGCATGGCATCATGAGCATGCCACTTCACGGCATCATCTCTACACATCTGCTAACGCATCGGGCCATGCCGCAGTCGCACCATCGGCCATCGTCGAGGCCATCCAAGCTACGGGGAGAGACGCCATCCTTCGCGGATCCGGCGCTTCCAACAGTACGTTTCAAAAATCTTGACTGCTGAGCCTAAGCTTCCATGATTTTGCCATGATAGTGTGCCCCCTTTTCCATGGGGGGTGTACCTTTCATGTTTCGTCAATGCCAATCGATTGGCCTAAGAAACAGGTGGCTAACACGGACATTGTTTATTCAGGCGCCGCCGTGAGCATCCTGGAGACGTTCGCTGACCAAGCGGAGCACGTCGAGGATGATACCAGCCGGGAAGTAAGAGGCCTCGCTAGAATGGTGCAAGTTAGCCCTGACCGGACATTGATCGATCTCACAATAAGGGGCGTTGCTCCCGGCACCTATCGGGCAACCATTCGTGAGTTTGGAGATCTCAAGGACGGCGCTGAATCAACTGGCCCAATCTGGTCTGGGGGCGAGAAGGAGGAGCCCAAGGGATCTCTGGGGATTGTTCAGGTATCCAAGGACGGCCGCGGATCTGCATTTGTGGACCACGCCTTTCAGATCTGGGAAGTCATTGGCCATGCCATGGTTCTCACCAGACAGGATGAGACTCAGCCGCTCAAGAACGACGACAACACTGTAGTCGGCGTCATTGCGCGAAGCGCGGGTATGTGGGATAATGACAAGACCGTCTGCTCCTGCACGGGCAAGACGCTGTGGGAAGAGAGAGAGGATGAGGTCAAGAAGGGAATGCTGTAACACGATACAACAACACAGCCAACCTATTTTGGATAAACAAGTAAAATGAATGAATGAGCAAAGCGATTTTTTCTGCCGCCAAGCTTTCTAGGCTCTCCCTCTGCTTCTTCTTCCTTTGTTCTTTTAAGCTTATCTCACAATCTCCTACAAATCTCATCAATTCATAACACTAGGAGGTTGTATAAGCCGGCACCTGAGAGTTGAAACTACCCGAGCTATCTTCCTTACGATAGCGGGGCGTTATCGCAAGAGCTCATTTGGCAGTTTCATGCTGGGCAGGGATTCAGAAACAGCGTATTGCTAACCTGTAACGGCGGAAACCACGGGGGGGATCGACATCGTCAACCCCAAGGCGGGAATGCCGAAGCACGGTCCTCAAGTTCAATCTCACTGAAACAGCTTCAGTTCATGCGTGGTGTCTCCCGCGGCGTCTTGTAAATGTACAGAGTATCTGTACGCATGACATCTCATGCTAGGCGTATAGTAGAATGCCAAGGGCCAAAGCGCAAGGCCGATCGAATGCTTACACTCAAGTGACAAGTATTCTCCAGACCTCGGGCGATACGAATGTGCGTGCGTCGAGAAGTGTCAAGGCGCTTTATCAGCTTGTTGTGAAACGGCTATCAAAGGCAATGAGGTCATGTCCCGACACGCGGGGTTGACAGCTAGATACTGCAACTCTTGGGGTAGCTGGATGTGATAAACATAAACGCCAAGATTGTGACAATGACCACCCCGTGTCTTGTCCTCAGCAGATGATCGGATGATAAAGCTTTGACGGTGGCACCACTGGCTGGGAATCTCTTTTCGAATATTCCACGTCTTGTCCGCCTTAAATCCACCCCCTTTCTATTGCACCACCCTTTTGCAAGTGCTGCAAGGCTGTTGGCCCGATCCTGAGGCCGCTCTCGCAAAGCTCTCATCGTCACATTGGACAGCGGGCGAGGAATAGTGATATCAGTGTTTTAGCTTGCTGTGCTGAAAGACCTATTAGGTCCGTGGCCTAGTTGCAGCATCTTCGGCGCGTACAGAGCTAATAAGAACGATTTCACGGACCAAGAGTGTGGGAAAATGCTGTGATGGATTTCGCTAGCTGGCATGAAGCATCGGCTCTCACATCAGGAGAGCGAGCAGAGTATTAGTGCTCGTGGGCATAGAAATAGCATAGCTCAAGAGAACTTTGTCCAAGGATGACGCGAAGCAACGCCAGGTGTAGGCCAATAGGTACGTGAGGGGGGTCTAACGAGGTTATCTCGCATTTCGCTCGGCCAACTGTTGCCGCCCGCTGCATCGCAGGATGACCGACAGGACGACGCCAAGTGGCCGTGATGCATGGCATTAGTGGTGATGAAAGCATGGAATGTCAAGGGAACCCCAGCTTTTCTACCCAGAATGAGGCACCAGATCCGCTACCCACTCATGTGCTCGCGGTGATCCGGCGGTGAAAGTTGATGATTCTATCATCTCGCCGTCGGATGCGTGGGATATATGCAACTGGTAGTTAAAAATAGCCTGGGAGATGAATAAGAGCCCATCAGTCATGACACCATCATCTGCGTCGAACGGAGAAATTCGAGCGCGAAGTAACCATCTTGTCCAATCTCATCGCGGCATTGGGTGATGAGTAGATTGGATTGAGGGAGCTAATAAGCTAGCCTGCAGATGAGCACAAGCCAACAGTATTCAGGGCGCTTAGTAGCTCTGCCTCTAGTCACTTTCACCCACGCCGCTGGCTCTCGCGGGCCATGACATCTTGTTCCTCTGACGTTGGCCAGGAAGGGAGCGCAGTGCGTTGCGTGGCTGGCAGCCCGTCGAGCATCTTTTCACTCCTCTCTGGAGGTGGCTGAACCAGGGCTGGCAGACGGCAAGGGTCAGCAAAAAGGTACGCGCCGTCGTTGGCCGCGAGCTCTGATCCCCGAGAGCCAATTAGCGGAGCTGTCAGGCACATCGATTCGGGAACTGCAACGCCGTGTGTCCCAGAATAGCACAGGTTGTTAACCTTGGGAAATTGGACCCTGTGTGCTGTGTGCTAGCTCTCTGCAGCTGCATATGAGTATGCGGCCCATCGATCGACTGCGCGGAGGAGGGACCGTGGACAGCAAGAGCGCCGAAATATGAAGCATCACATCAGCTACTTCCACGGGTGTGCCGCACTGGATGTTGAGATGTTGAGATGAATTTCAACAGGCATGAGAAGAATAAGATGCACGAGAGTTGGGTGCGTAGATAGAAAAGAGGCAATGATGACGAGCAAGATGGAAGTTGACATGATATGTATTGCATCTTATCTGGATAAGAAACGAGGCTGATTGATAAGATTGTCTGGCAACTGGTGTTGGCGTTGCTCTTGCCCTTTGAGTGTGCATGTATCTATTCCACGTTTTGAGGGCACGTGCTGGAAGGATTGAACCAACTTCATCCAACCAAGCGATCCAGCACTAACAAAACTACAACATCAAACAAAGAAACGAATCACCACAGCCAAACAGGCGACGCGGATGGGCATGATTCGACTCTCTTGCCGTATCGACACACACACCAGCTCGCGACCTACCTGATCCATCGCCGCCAAGAGCTGAGGTTGTACCTGGTAAGCAAATTGCTGGACACACAACGCTACTTTGCCGGTAACTCTGCTCCGACTTGTACGAGTAGGTAGTCTACTTTGGGCAGGGTTGGGATGATCGAGGTGCTGGAAATGGTAAGCCTTGTCGCTTGGTCCGCTGCAAGCAAGCAATAACCTCACATACAGATACAGTTACCTGTGCGCCCAAACGAGACCAAATAATCAGCCAAACACGATGGGCATCTCTAATAGGCGAAGCGTCTCCAATACGGAGCCCTCGGTAGCAGGAAAACAGACGAAAAAGCAATTGGCACACGATGGTGCAAGCCACCGATAGACCTGGCATCGACCTGCGACACAGGGAGGCAGACCCGCCACCCCTGGTTCCACGACGACCATCGACCTCTCATGTCACATTTTCACTGCACTTGCTTGTACACGTCTTCAAAGGCCAAGTCAAGGCCAATGCCGAGGCTGGGGCACAGCTTTACACTCTACTCCGTACACTCCGTTTAGGCTGGCTTGCGTACCCCCTTCCCAGATTGCCCCCTGGCACGGCGTTTGGCCGCTCACTGACCCCCTCGTGAGATTTGGAACAAAGGTGAAGCTTCACCAGCCCATGTCCAAAACCGTGGCACCCCCCCAGAGAACGGCAGGTCAGTTCCCAGTTCCACCATCCCATGCTAAGCTCCGAGTCCCAATTTTCCATTTTACTACTGCACGCCACGCCCATTGCCCCTCGTCCTCTCTCCACTCGTCACTCACTCTTTTTTGTTCAACTTCCCAGCCCAAATGCACGCTACTTGGCCCGTCACCTTGGCTTGTCGATAGCGCCGCAAAACCCGTCGTCCACCTTTGGGAACACTACAATCTTTTTTTCTGCTTTTCATCGTCAGCTCGACTTAATTCACTCATTGCTCCCGGGGTCAGGACATCTAAAAATAAAAAATTTCAATCATTCGGCCGGCCGGATTCTTCACACTGCAACACAGAGAAGATACACGCAGGGAGCGCCAAAATAATCGGGTGACATCTTACAGATCAGCACCGCTTGTACACACATACCCCACGAATTTGTTGCTCCCCTTCTGTCGACGCACAGAGCACGGAGTAGCGACTCGTATACACTCGCTCGATTTCGGGGTTTTCTAATAGCAACTCAAGTTGTCTCCGACTTGCAGAGACAATAATAGGCCTATTGACGTTTAAGCGAGGAGAAGAAAACAGTGCGTCTCGGTGGCCTGAGAAAATCTCTCCGACTGTCGATTCTGGGAGTCGATAGCTTCGAGGATTATCACGGGATCTCCCTCGGCTCGCGCCACACCTCGCCAAGGTACACCCGTCGCTCGCACAAATCTCTTGAGCCAATACCATCCAAGGGCGGGGGAACTGAACATCCCGGAACCCAAAAAGACATTGGACTCTGATCTGACAAGATAGCACGCTGCAATTAAAGCTGGCCCTTACCCCCTCCAAGTGCCGAAGCCCGATAGGCCGTGGTGTCCCTTGTCTCACTTAGGCCCCAGCTTTCTAAGGCGCCAATTCCTTTGTGGGCATTGGATATATATTCGTCTATACGCCGGTGTTCAGCCAGCCACTCTGCCACCATCAGTGTGCTCTCACATATAGATAGACACGATGTCGTTGAAACAGGTAAGAGAGGTAGTCGTTGTCGAAGATGGCGTGGCGAATGCTGATATCGTGGGCTTCTAGGAGATTGAGACCTGGGTCGCGGCCCTAGGTCGTTACGACAACAATGAATTCGACGATGCCCTTGGAGAGTTTGACAAGATTGCCGACACGAGCAAGATTCTCTTCAACATGGGTGTCATCCATGCCACTCTAGGCGAGCATGAGAAAGCAGTAGGCTGCAACTTTCTTCCCAGCAACGCTTCCATCGGTCCTGCTAACTCATGCGTTTGTGCTATCCCTAGGTCGAGTGTTACCAACGAGCCATCCGACTGGATCAGTACCTAGCTGTTGCCTACTTTCAGCAGGGCGTCTCGAATTTCTTGCTTGGCGATTTCGAAGAGGCCTTGGCCAACTTCAACGATACCCTGCTGTATCTGCGAGGTAACAGCGTGATCGACTATGCCCAACTGGGTCTTCTTTTCAAGCTATACTCGTGCGAGGTCCTATTCAACCGAGGATTATGCTACATCTACCTACAGCAGAAGGAGGCCGGTATGCAAGATTTGGCGTATGCCGTTAAGGAAAAAGTCGTCGAAGACCACAACGTCATTGACGAAGCTATTCGAGAGGAGGCCGAGGTCAGCATTATTCAACAACTTTGTGGCGGAAGAAACACTTGACTTACAGTGACGACAGGGCTATACCGTGTTTTCCATTCCTGTGGGTGTCGTCTATCGACCCAACGAAGCCAAGGTTCGCAACCTGAAGACCAAGGACTATCTTGGCAAGGCCAGATTAGTTGCAGCCTCAGACCGATCCAATGCGTTCACCGGGTTCGCCGGTTCCGAGATAAAAAATGTGAGTACTTCAAGTCCCCCGGCATGCATTTCGTTCGCTTATCTGTCTCTCCTTAGGCCAAAACAGAAGCCAAAGACGATCGACCGACCGAAAACTTGTCTTTTGCGGCGACAAACCTGGTCAAGCCAGGCATCCAATCCCGAAGACAGCAGTCTGAACCGCCGACCAACCGCAATAACTTTCCTCCCACACCTCCACCAGAGAACGACCGCCTCCCATCTCGGGGTGCTTCTGTACGGAACTCTGGAGGGAGAGCGAACGCCGCGAAGCTCAGCATCCAGACACAAGAGAGTAGCAGGAGATATGAGAAGGCTTCATCTCCACAGGACCGCGCCCCGAAACATTCGCGCTCGGTATCGGCTGCGCCTGCCAGAGGCTTCTCCACAAGAGAGCCCTCTCGGAGACAGCGGGTCATTGAAGAAGAATCTCCATACGGCGATGAATCATACGATGGGTATGGCGAGAGCTCGCGTGGAAGCAAGCAGTCTCGGTCTCGACGATATGACGATGACGACGAAGGCTCGGATTATGACTACGGGTCTTTCGACGAGGGCGAGTTCGAGATGGTATCCAACGTGCGACGTGGTCCTGGATCTGTATCTCGACCATCCCGTGCGGCTTCGCGACGACCCGACATTCGCAAGATTCGTGTCAAGGTTCATGCAGACGATGTGAGGTATATCATGATTGGTACATCGATTGAATTTTCGGACTTTGTGGATCGCATCCGGGACAAGTTTGGGCTGCGAAAGCGATTCAAGATCAAGATGAAGGACGAAGATGTGCCAGACGACATGATTACGATGGGCGACCAAGATGACTTGGACGTGGCCATCCAGAGCGCAAAGAGCCTTGCAAAGAGACAGAGGCTGGATGTTGGCAAGATGGAGGTAAGCTTGACCTTTGGAGCCTAGAGTTTGCTGCTGCCTTGAGGATTACACACCCCCATTTCCCCTTTTGGCATGCTGCGATTTGGTCAAATCAATTGGTCTAACATTCTTTCTCTTTAGGTTTGGGTCATCGAAGTTTAAAATTGGATTTCTTTTTTTTCTTCTCTTTACATATATGCACGATGCAATTATACCCTATCCGATGCTCTCGACAGAACACAACGGACTATTTTCCTAGGTCACGATACCGATTACGACACAATAGCGACAGAGCTTACCGTTTTTTTTTCTTCCTCGGTTTTTTTCAACGTTGTTGCTCTCGAGATGCTTCGATTGCAGATGCTTAGACCGACTGCGACACTGTAAAGTGCCTCTTACTTCTTTTCTTTTTCTTTCTCGTATTCTCTTTTCTATTAGTGCGCTTGTACTGGGACACATGGAATGAAGTTTTCTTGTTGTGCCGTTGTTTTTTTCTTGGCATATGATGTAGCGGGCAACCGAAGCAGAAGAAGAGCCTCACAGGAGGCAGTGTTGAGTAATGGGCCCTTGGTGGGGGGTTTCTGTTTTGGTCGTCTTTGTTCTTTCTTATATATGGATGATGTCCCTGTTGGAGATGGACCTCGTTGAGCGAGAAACATGGTTCTAGTATGGAGATGCAGAGGTTTCCTCCCATGTCTTCATATTAGGACAAGGAAAGGGGCAGTGCAAAAGATGAATGCTTGATAGAAAAAAGACGGGCTATGCGACCTTGTCTGGGGGAAGAAGCCGATGGTTGACATGTTTGGGATAGTTAGAGAGCCTTGGTTTCAGGCAACTTATGTGCAACGACTTGAATTATTTCATACTCTTGAAGCAACTCTGGACGTGTTAAGGTGTGACTCGATAACCTGGTGATGGCTATACAGTATATGTAGATTCTCAGGCTGGCATCGCCCCTGGAGGAATGATGAGGTTGATTTCAGATTCGCCAGATGCCGATAAGAGATGAACCAGGGCCCGGGAAGAAAGAAACCGAATCAGGCGGTGGATCGACACCATGCAGCATCTGACAGGGGACCAAGCAGGAACAATATCGGATATACTAGACTAAGAGCTTAGCAGAGCAAAGAGAGAAGAAGAGTCGGTAAGTAACGAAGATTTTTTTTTTGTTGAGAGGCTGTGCAAGGGTCCCATATCAAAACCTGCTTTTTTACCTAGACAAGCCGGGGTGTGGAGGATGAGCATGGGGGCGTTAGTGCTGTGGAAGCTTTTGTGGGAGTTGTCGGCTACTTTTCTTTTAGCGATGCATCGGATATAAAGCGTGGGAGATGCAGAAAGACCGTTTTGTGCGGACGATCTAGTCTACGAAGTACCGTAATTTCAATATCCAGTAGTATGGTGGTTAATTTGGTGTTTTGTCGATGGTGTTTTTACTGACCTACCTACCACGGCATAGTTGGCGATCTATCTTTTGCTCACCCCTTTTTTATCCGCGTTGGGCTGCATATGCTAAATATCGTAGTGATGTAGATATATTGTGCCTTATTTGCACTACAGCTAGAGACAGACGTTGGCGCTTATTGTGCTAGTTTGCAGATGTGCAAGATTTGGCCTTGCATGATCTGCGAGATTGGTCGGGTGTGGCTGAGATTGGCGTTTGTAGATGAGTTAAACTGGATGAGTGAGTGATTGATTGGCTGTGAGAGGATTTCTTCCTTTTCTTCGTCTTCTTTCTTTCTTCTTCTTTGTGTTTCCTTGTGTTTCCGATATGCTTCCCTTGCTGGACATGCGGTGGGAAAAAGAGAGCGAGTCCGATGAACTGTCGTATTTTGCTGCAGAATGACGAGATTTATGGAGCTTGGCCGCGAGGTCTTCTGGTGAGATCCATAGAAAAACACGTGCTGGAGTAACACCGCCAAACCAAACATATTCGATGAAGCCTCGAAACAGCGCCTTGAAGTCATACAAGCTCGATATATCGGAAGTTTATAAGCTCTCCAACTTTATTTTATAAAAACAATATGGAATATTAGATTCTTGTTATAATGAGCGATCCTCATTAACTGAGCGAGAACATTCTTCTCTTTTTGGTGGTCCCACCGTATCCTTGTCTGGTCGTCCCGCGAAAAACTGTTGGCGATGGGGCTCTTTTTAGCATGGACGTAGATAACGACAAGTTCTGTACGGAAAAGGGGGTCGATAAGGCGGACAATCCCAGAATCTCATACTTTTTCTTTCTTTTAATAATCATCTCACCGTCTTGTCAACAGCATCATAATTATCGTGCTTGAACGAGAATGATATAATCTCGGCATAGCCATTAGTGTCATCTTAGAACGACTCCATCATCTCACTATCATGAACCCTCCAAGTACAGCAGAAACCAGAACAAGCTTGCTTCATTTCTTTTTCTTTCTCTCGCCAACAAGCGAACTCTTCTACCCCTGCTTACTTCTATCCAAAAGCAGGCATCGTCTTTTCACATGTCACCGTTTAATACTAGGCCCATAACGTCGGTCCCACCGGTGATCCATTTGTTTCCGTGGCAGACGAACTCTTTCGTCCATCTCTGCTCCTATCCGACTGACTGACTCTCACACCGACCAGACCCAAGTGCCATGTACCTGTTTTCCTCCTGTCGGTACATGGCCTCGTCTCTTCGGCTGAGGCTCCGTGCAAGGTCAAGGTTCCCCCCTAGCCAATGACCAAGGGTACTGATAGTCGTAGTCATAGTCGTAGTAATGCTCCGTTGCAAGTACGAGTACGCAAAGCGGGCTGAACAAAGTGCCAACATTCGCCGTATAGACGAGGCTGCCTTGAATGGATCCCGAGTATTTAGTAAAGGAGCCTTTCCCCCATGCAGTCGGCTTGGCCCTCTTCTCTTTTTTCCCTTTTTCTTGCTGCGTTTGTCCCCCTTGCTTGAAGTCGTGATACTAGCTGTTGTTGCTTGCTTTCGTGACTGTCCACGCTCTTTTAAACAAAGCAAATCATTCGTTTATAGCCAACAAGCCACAAGGGAAACATCCGTCGATACAACTTCCAAAGCCCAAGATGAAGACTTCTGCCGTTATTGTCGCTGCTTGCGCTGCCGTCGCTGGAGCCGTGCCCACGTATCGCTTCGGTAACTGGAACTCTACCGTCGTTAACTGGAACACATCAACTCCTACCAACTGGAACTCTACTACCGGTATCAACTGGAACACGACGACCATTGTCAACTGGAACTCGACGGCCATTGCCAACGGAACTGTCGCTGTCAACACAACAGTCATCGCGGCCTCTGCTCCTTCTGCTCCTTCTACACCTTATTACCCCAACACCACTGTCAGCATCAACAACACTTGGGTGAACCAAAACGAGACTCATCTTCCCCCTGTGTTGATCCGTCGTTTCCGAGCCCTGAGAAAGTCGGTGGTCTAATGTCTTGCCTGGATACACCTAAACAAACAGTGAGTTCATCTTCTCGTGATATGGGTTTGAACCCGAAGCTGATTGATTCCCCTAGACGAAAAATGATCGATGAAATTTGAGACTACGAGATTTGGTGCTTGGTGCTTTGAAACTTCTTTTTTACGCGCCGTTGGGATATGCCGTTGACCTGATTCTTATGATTTATAATTTGCCGAGATGAAAACGCGAATGATTGGATATTTTGATGTTGATCTGATTCCCCGTTAGAATAGTTAATAATTTTAGAAATGAAAATGCTTCATGGCTGGTTGGATGCGAGTTCTGTATGGCTCATAGGTGATTTCCGTTTACATGTATGAGAGACTAACATTCTTGAGTGAAGTTATACGAATACGAATACCCATGTTGATATGAGTCAAGATTTTGATAGAGAGCAGCCATCACGAATACAATTTGGAACAAATATTCCATGTTAAATGAACTGATACACTCTTCATTAGAAACCTGCCCACTACTCCTCCTGTGTGTACATGGTGTTGCGTGAATAATCCCCCTTGACGCGTCAGAATCGCAACTCCCACGAGACTCTCTCGCAACACGAATCACCATCCCCATATCCAACTTCACAGTTCCCCAAACCAATCGTCAAACGACTGCAGAATATCATCAAGAATCCCCTCAAAGCGACGCAGCTGATAGATATTATAAGCCGACTTTCTCTCCAGCTTATAAGCCCAAAGCATCCGCTCCTCAATCATCTGCATCAAAGTCGTGCCCTCGTCCAACAAACCCTCAATTCTCTGCTCGTTTGCACCCATCTTGCCTCTCATCATGTCGTACAGCTCCTCGTCTTCTTCTTCGTCTTCTTCAAAGAGGCTGTTGATTCGTTCTTGGAACTTGTCGTAGTACTCACAGATCGCGACGCACTTCTCTAGGAGACCGCCGCATTTCTCGCGCATCGTTTCGCATTTCCCTTGGATGAGTCGGTATACTTCTCCCTTTTCGAGGAGTCGTCTCTGTAGTCCCAAGCATCGCTCATGAGATCGAATCCATTTCTCTCTGTCGAAATCGTCCGGACGAACGATGCGAATCAATTGCCGGTACAGCTCCAGAACGGGCATCACGTCGTCAAGTGTCAAGGGTCGATTGAGCTTCTTCACTTCAGCGCGGGCACGTTCAAGTTGGCCTTCAAGTCTCGCAGCTCGCATGTTTGCATAGATTGCCACCTGCTCTCTCTCTGTGGCAATGTCATCAGCATCATGATCGAGACTCTCGGTGGAGGAATCATCTTGGAGCGTTGCCTCCTCCAGAGCCATCATGTCCTCGTCCATCACGTCCTCATCCATCAAGTCCTCGTCATTGTCTGCGATTGCTTCAGTAAGAGCGACGTAGAAGAATCCCGGAGGATTTTGAAACTGATCTTCGCCTGGATTATCATTCATTCTTGCGAAACAATTGTTCGGTATGTACTTGCTTTGGTATGGTTAGAGTCCTCCCACCCTCTTGTTTGGTGGTGAGTCTGGAGCAATGCAGAAAGGCGAAGCGAAAGGGTGTGAGGTGGAAGAGGAAGAGTTGGAAACGCAAAGTTTCTAGAAGTTGCGAGATTTTCGCACCCTATTACCATTGCAACCTTTTATGCTATGCCAGTGCAGTAAGTTGAATATGCGAAAGGGGGGCTGCCAGCTGTCCATCAGTTGGTGGGAGTGGCATCGTGGATCGACGAACTCGTCTAGGGTTTCTGCAGGGGCGCCTCTATATACATCTAATGACGGAGGCAAACGCAGAGCAAAGTATTTTATACAGTTCATATTATGTTATTGTACAGTCTATCGTGTGGCGATAGTTGGAGGAGGAAGCAGTAACATCTTCACCATCGAAATGGAAGAATGCCACCTGCGGCATCCTGAGCTTATTTAGGCCTCATTGAGTTCGCCTAGAAGCCCCTTCACAACGTTCAGTCGATGTGCCCATTCATTTCGTCCCAGAAGAGCAAACATCCTGGAACTGCTCTGAGAGACAACATCCTGCCCACCGGCAGCAATCACTCGCAGCACATTGTGAATCGTGAGCTGATCGACTCCCTGCGGCTCTACTTTCGACTGTATGGCCTGCATCACCTGGCTGCAGTCACCACTCCAGGAGGATTCTTTTGAGATTGCCTCCTCGAGAGCATCGAGAACCTTGGGCTCAGGCCTTGATTTCGCGAGAGAAGGTTTGTAAACATCCAGCGGCACACGCCAAAAGAGATATGGGTGTTGTGATATCAGATCGCTCGGCGACTGAAAGCCTCCCTGTTTGGAAACAAGTGCCTTGTACACGTATTGACCCTTCTTCGTAGGATCGGTTAATGTCGGAACAAGCTCAAGCGGTAGCTGCCATGCTCTTGCCGTCAACTCCGGGCTTTCGATGCTTCCGGCTGTGATTGCTTCGACTTCGTTCAATATAGGTTGCGTCAGGTGTTGATCGATGAGCTTTGCCTCTTCGTCTGCCAACGCCGGAATAGGCTTCCAGAGCATCGCATCACGGTACCTGTTATTAAAGTATTCAAGCTTTGACAGGTTCAATTTGATACCACCCCGTGTGAATTTGAATGTCAACTATCCCATATCAGCAGTGTTTGTAGAATACTTGGGGGAGATCAAAACGTACAGCATTAGCCACATCCTCTACCGTCCGAGGCGGTTGCACGTCTCGTTTGAATGAGGATCCAAGGTTGGCCAGCCAGGACAGCAGAGCCATAGGGAACGTGCCCCCAGTCTGGTACTTGGATATGTTGACGCTATCATTTCGTTTGCTGAGCTTGCTGCCGTCTAGGTCCACTAGCAAACCAAGGTGCGCAAACGTTGGAGGCTGCCAGCCGAAGGCTTCGTACAAGGCAACATGTTTCGGTGTCGAAATAAGCCATTCCTGCGGATATCGTTAATCTCATGTAGCCATGCAAGTCGCCGAAATATGGAGTCACCTACCTCGCCGCGGATTACATGTGTAATTTTCATCAAGTGGTCATCAACTACGTTGGCCAAATGATACGTGGGAAATCCATCTGTCTTCATCAGGATGAAATCTTCCTCCATGTCCTTCTTCTGGAATCGCCCGTAAATGGCATCGTGAAGCTTGGGCCGGCCAAACTTGTCACTCTTGAAGCGAACTACATGAGACTCTCCGGCCTTTGCCCGTCGGTCTGACTCGGCGGCATCTATGGAGCGGCATGTCCCAGGGTAAATAGTTGGCTTGCCGGCCTCGTGGAGTTCACGTTTCTGAGACTCCAGTTGCTCAGGAGTGCAGAAGCAGCGATAAGCGTGATCATGGTCCAAGAGTGTTTGGACGTGCTCTTGATAAACGGGTAACCTCTCAGACTACACTCCGTTAGATGGAACAGACTGTCTGGGAGTTAGGACAACTTACTTGCCTGTATGGACCATATGGTCCACCACAGTCTGGTCCTTCATCCCATGATAGCCCTGCCCATTTAAGGTCTTTCATTAATCGCTCCTCGGCATCTATTACAAGACGGTTCTATATATAGCCTTGTTCAGCACTTAACCCTTTTCACCGAGACTGTTTCCTCCGTACCTGATCTGTATCTTCAATACGGAGGATGAAAGCTCCTCCATTTGAAGCAAGCACAGCTAGCTTACAAAAAAGCGCTGTCCTCAGAGACCCGAGATGCAGGTATCCCGTTGGAGACGGCGCAAATCGGGCGCGGATCGGGAGGTCGGCGCTTTGGCCGAGAATCGTAGGAGAATCTGAGGTAAGAGAAGCGGCATCATTGTGTTTCTTGTTCTTGTTCCTTAGGCCTTTTAGTCCCGAGCTATAAGTTCGTTTTTGAGATTGACATCTCTTCTCCTCCCCTAGGTGTTTTGAATTGGTGGTGTATAGGCCCGAGAGATTTTGTCTGTCATAACGAAGAGCTGCAGATGTGCCAAAACCCCGGCTCAGCTGGTGAGTGGAGGTGGCTATCCGTGATTCACATATTGAACGGCTGCCCAATCTCTGTAAGCTCAGCCGAAGAACGGATGAGGACATGATAAAAAGCCACAATCGTGTATGGCCTCATTCATCATATCTTGTGTGGATAATGGATGAGAGGCATCATGCGTTTACTTTGATATGTGAGGCGTATTTTTCGATGCAACGCCACATGTGGCGTCAGGTTCGGCTAGATATGGAGATTGCTGATAAGGCTGATAGATGGCGACGATAAGACAAAGAAACGGCCGTCTATCGCGGGGCGAAGTACCATCAAGTATAAGACATTCAGAGAGTAAGAGTGTAATGAAGACTGTAAATCCAGGTGGCAGCACTGATGTTGTGCCCTGATAATTGAATCGGACGCTCTAGAGGCCTCCATTATCCTGGATTAAGATTTCTGTCACAAATTATGCCTGTACTTGTGTGATACAAGCCCCGAGCTATGCACGACCAAGCAAATTCGGGGTACCTGATCCACGTCCCGCAAGTCACTGCCAAAGCCGTGGCGCTGCGTTGGCGGGCAAGCGGCAGATGCAAAGAGCCGGCAAATCTTTTTGCGAGTAATGTAATTTAGCTGCCCTCCCATTTGTTTGCCCAATTTCCAACTCCGATACGGCCAAACGGAGATTTCATCACCTTTTTTCTTCTTTGGTGTTTTCTTTGTTTCATCAACCTTGCATACAGTCTTTGATTGCTCAAGGCAGCAGCTGGATTCCGTACGTTTGCAGGCTCCAGCATCGACCCCGCGCCACGCCAAAAGATTTTCTGGATTCCACTCTGCCATCGTCTTGAAAATCTGCATTTTCTCCAGCAAAACGACAATCAGCCGTCAGTATGGCTTCCGAAGCGGAAATTGATCTCTATGGTATGTTTGAGCGTTTGGACACATCTTCTGTCTTCCCCCCTCTTCCTGTTCTTGTCTTATCTAACCTCTCCGTCTCCAGAGATCCTCGAAATCGACAGAGGTGCAACGCCCGACCAGATCAAGAAGGCCTATCGCAAGGTACGGCAACACCGAATCCGAATCCCATTCGCTTCGTTCCAAGCTAATCTGAACAGGCTGCACTGAGATACCACCCAGACAAAGTGCCCGAGGACCAGCGCGAAGAGTCAGAAGTCAAGTTCAAGGAGGCCAGCCGGGCCTACGAAATCCTCAGCGATGAAGATAAGCGCCACCTCTACGACACTCACGGCATGGCTGCCTTTGACGGCTCGCGAGGAGGCCCCGGCGGCCCCGAGGTCGATCTCAACGATATCCTGTCCCAGATGTTCGGATTCAACATGGGCGGCCCCGGTGGCCCCGGCGGTCCTGGCGGCCCTATGAGACCCCGAAAGGGACCGGACGAGGAGCAGGAATACAAGGTCACGCTCGAAGAATTATACAAGGGAAAGACTGTCAAGTTTTCTGCCAACAAGCAGGTCGTCTGCAGCGTCTGCAAGGGCTCTGGCGGCAAGGAGAAGGCGAAGCCCACTTCCTGCGAGCGCTGCAAGGGCCACGGCATGGTCGAGGCCATTCGACAGATTGGCCCCGGCATGATGCGCCGCGAGACTGTCCTGTGCGATCACTGCACGGGCTCCGGCAAGGTGTATAAGGAAAAGGACAGGTGCAAGAAGTGCAAGGGCAAGCGAACCACACAGGAGAAGAAGGCGCTGGAGATTTACATTCCCCGGGGTTCCATGCAGGGCGAGCGCATCGTTCTGGAGGGAGAAGCAGATCAGTATCCAGACCAGATACCCGGAGATATTGTCTTCACCCTTATCGAGGAGCCCCACGACGTCTTTTCCCGACTTGGAAATGATCTTTCTGCAGAGTTGACTGTTTCCCTGAGCGAGGCCCTCATCGGATTCAACCGCGTGGTGCTGAAACACCTCGACGGCCGGGGTATCCAGCTCAACCGACCGCGGGGCAAGGTCCTAAAGCCAGTGGACTGCATCAAGATCCCTGGTGAGGGTATGCCCATGAAGAGGGGCGACGCCAGGGGAGACTTGTATCTCCTGGTCAAGGTCGAGTTCCCCGAGGACGACTGGCTGAAGGATGAGTCTGCCTATGAGGCATTGGCAAAGATGCTGCCACCACCACTGCCAGCCGTGGAGGCTGAGGAGATTGACGAGGTCGAATATGAAGACGGCGCTGACATTGAAGAGGTGAGCATGACTTGTATCCTACACTCGCTATACATGAGAGAAGCTAACTTAGAAACACAGATGGGCGCTGATCAAGGCGATCCTCGATTCGGCAACGAATGGGAAGACGACGACGAGGGTGAAGGCCAGACACAATGCGCCACACAGTAAGGAAGGGAAAAAAGAAAAACTCATCTGACACGTTAAACGTGTCACAATTTGTTGTTTTGCTTGAGGATAGAAACTAGACTCCGTTTATTGAAAAGAAACGGAAACTTGGCCGGCCCAGGGAGTGGGCTCTTACGACTTTTTTTTTTTTCTTTTTTTTTGAAATTTCCATGATGGACGCTGGGATAGAGGGTTAATATGACGGTCATTACGGGATGAAGAGAACAATGGATAGGGATGGGAATGGCTGGTAACAATGACTTTTTTTTTTTCTTCATTAGGGGCGCGAAAGCCTTGTAGAATCCAATTTGACGATTTTGCTTATGATGGCTGTCTTGTTGGTTTGGATGTTGTATTCACATGAGAGTGGTTACCCTGCATATTCGACGAAGTAGTTGTGTAAACCAACAAGGTGAGCATGATACATCTAGTTCCGTTATAAGCAAGGTATAGTATATCATTACATCTGCGGCTATTACTGTGTTCAAGTATTTCTGTATTGCTGAATGGTAGCATTTCCTATACTCTATTGTGATGCTCTTGAAGACTAAAGTTATACCACGCCACAGTAGAATATCTCTGAAGCTAAAGTACACCAACTGAAGTCGTTTATACACGTTGCTTCAAGCAACAACTGCTCTCTCGTGCACAACTCCATCACTTCATTTACCTCAAGCACAAAATCCCACTTGAATATCTTATCCAATTCATCAATCATTCATTACTGAAACTCCCATCTAAGCTGTTAGTTATGCTGTGCAATTTATAGCACCCCCCGTTAGTGGTGCATGTATGTACCTACGTGTACCTTCAGCTCTCTCGGCACCCTCGCCGCCTTGGCAGCCCCGCTGACTGCCGCCCCTCCAAATCGGAACCTCCCTATTGAAACTCAACCTCAACTTGAGCCTCACCCTTTCTCTCTCTCTCTCCTCTTTATAACCTTTTATCACCACTCTTCCATCTTTTTACTCATTTATCTTCTCCCTATTCCTCCACCACTTCCTTTACTCTTACAAACTCCTCCTCCATCTCACTATATCCAGCAACCTACAACTCCCTCCATCAACGTCATCATCATTATCGTCATCCACTATCAATAAATCACCATCACCATGTCCCGCAAAGGCGTCGGCATCGCCGCCTTCGACCGCTCCCGCATCACCTCCCGCCAATTCGCCTCCCACGGCTCCTCCCTCCGCGCCACAAACGCCCAAGCCCTCGAAACTCAGCTCGCCGTCTTCCGCTCCCTCCTCCAGCAGTTCGCCCAGACCCACGCAAAGGACATCCGCTCCGACCCCTCGTTCCGCGCCCAGTTCGCACGCATGTGCTCTGCCATCGGCGTCGACCCCCTCGCCTCGTCAAACAACCACAGCAGCGGCTCCGGAACTTCCGTCTGGGCGCAGCTGCTCGGCAAGACGGTTAATGACTTTTACTTTGAGCTGGCGGTGCGCATTGTAGAGGTTTGCGGTGCGACGCGAGCCGAGAATGGGGGTTTGATAGGTCTCTCGGAGCTGCGTGAGCGCGTGTCAAAGGGTCGTATGGAGGGCGCGGATTCTATCAGTGATGACGACGTGCGCCGCGCCGTCGAGACGCTCAAGCCGCTTGGTAGTTATGCTGTTGTTACTGTCGGCCGCAAGGAGTACGTGCGTAGCGTGCCGCGTGAGCTGAGCACCGACCAGGCTGCTGTCGTGGAGGCAGCGCAGGTCTTGGGGTACGTGAGCGTGGGCATGTTGCGGGACAACCTCGGCTGGGACGAAGCCAGATGCAAGACGGTGATCGACGATCTGATGGCTGGTGGGATGCTTTGGGTGGACAAGCAGACCAAGGGCGAGTGGGAGTACTGGAGTCCGGGCGTCATGGCTGATGCCGGTACGGATGGCGAGGCGGGTGTTTGAGGAGGCTGGTAAAGGGGTTAATCTCCAGGATATGACTACCCAAATTCCCAAGAGACGATGTGCAAACAGCCACTGAACCACAATGTTCCTGAGTCGAACCAGTTGAGTCGATGACCAGCTTAAGGGGTATGAGAGTTGGTCACCTTAAAGAAGAACCAACTATGCCATTACGAATCAGGAATCTCTGCATCCATCATGGAAAAGACCCGAATCTGCTTATTGGAAGCCCATAGCAACACCCAACCTGCACATCGTCACTTCGTCACTTATGGCTCACGCCTACACATGCCATCACGCACGACTCAAGAACAGTACAACCACCTCAATTTACGTCAAAGTATATAGACGGCATGCCCAAACGGACTCTATCTACCTTGATACACGACATTAACAGGGACAAACAACAAAGAGGACAAATACATGTGCGGACCAAACCAAAAAAAGAAAGAGACAGAAACGTCAAAAAATCAAACATTTATACAGGGAGCATCTAACCAAGTCATTACTAACAAACATCGCGTTGCCCTCCCCCCCAAAAGCCACCTTTCCAACTCAAATACCTCCCATTCATTGCATCATATCTCTCCTCGGAGAAGAAGAGGAGCAGTTCATTTTGACACATGGAGCCTCCAAAGACAAAATCATGTCGTCGAGACGAAAACAAAAGCTCTCACTGGCAATTTTTCTCATTTAGAAAAATTCGTGCTCCCTTCTCTCGCGTCCTTTGCCATATATTACGCGAGGGAACAAATGGCTTCTTAACATCATCCGCCACACTTCAGATTATGGTTGTTTTTTTAAATTACCTGGCTGCCTTAGAAGGGGAGAGTACTCCAGCGCATGTCCACCGCCAGGGTATCATTGTAGGCCTTTAGGTCCCAGTTGTCTTTAGTATTGGGGGTTGTGTCCGCCAATGTTGGTAGGAGGAGGGGGATAATCCTCGGGACCGGGGCGACCCATCTGGGGAGGTCGGTTATCACGGCTGTCACCGTAGGGTGGGCGGTTGTCACGGCTATCGCCATAAGGAGGACGGCTGTCACGGCTGTCGCCGTAAGGAGGGCGGGTCTCGCGGCTGTCACCGTAGTGCTTCTTGCGCAGGGCGGCGAGACGCTTCTTCTTGGTGAGGGTGTTGATGTAAGTGCCAATGACAAAGGAGACCAAGTTGAAGAAGGGAACCCAGAGCTCGTCAGGGAGGAACTGCTGGGCAAAGGCCAGGCAGATGGGGGAGGTGAGCCACGAGATGCGCATGACTCTCCAGAAGCCAACCTTGACGGTGGCGCGAACCTGGTGGAATGTACGAGCGCCGGCAATGAGAGCCATGGCGACCAGGTAGATGCTGTTCTGGATAGGCGCAATCTAAGCATGAACGAGTTAGCATGAATGATGTCATGAGGGAGTAGAGCAAGCAATTCGCTTATTAGATTGGATGAGCACATACCACCAGGTTGCTGACCACGATCTGGATGATCTTGGCCCGGAGACTAACGCGACCCTTGAAGAGCTTCTGGAGGAGCCAGATGAGAAAGTGGCCCAGGGGAGCGCTGACCAAGGCACCGTACGCGGCCATCTTGGGCACGCGCGAGGTGAAGTAGTTGCCATGCTTGTTGCGGTCCTTGGCCAGCCACGAGGCGAGGAATTCCTGAGCTCCAGCGAGGGTACCGGCAGTGAGCATCTTGGTGCGCAGAGGGTTCGACTCGAGCTCCTTGATGTAGGCCTAAAACAGCTGTTAGCCAAACCTAATTTCAAACCTCCTACTAACCACTGGTGGCTTTTCCTCCTCCTCCATTCTTCCTCTCTCGATTTGCGCGCCGGGTTAAAAAACATACCGCCAGATAACCCTTGGTACCGGCCATGGCCTTTCCTCCTGTCAATGCCGTGCCGATGGTCTCGGCGAGGGGATGCTTTCCACTGGTACCGGGAAGAGGAGCGGCGCCCTCGAAAGCCCTTCGAATAGGTCCGGGACCCTCGGCGAGAGCGGCGGCGCGCTCAGCAGCCTGCTGGGCGGCCGTGTCGACCGTCTTCTCGGTGACCGTCTTGATGGACCTCTGGACTATGGGGCCATTGTCGGCGGTGACGCTTTGAAAAGGCTGAAGAGCGTTCGAGGTCGCATCTTGGAGCGTCTGGATCGTGTCCCGCTCGAATTTGACCGACATGGTGCTCGTTTTGCTGGCGGTGTCGCTATGGTCGAGTCGTGGTCGTGATCGGGGATCGTGGCGTCGGCGACGGGGAGCGGCGGCGGCAACAACAGTGGCAGAGACAAGCGACTTGAGATGTTGTTGCAGGATCAATCGACGTGTAGCTTTGCTCTCGTGGGGCTGGTCAGGGATAAAACGTCGTCATGAGACGGGCGGAGAGGGTCTGGCTGTCCAACGACGCGACGGCGGGATGATTAGCAGATGCAAACGCTTCGGGCGGCGGAGAGATTGGGGAGCAATTGAGGCTGTCGTGGTGACAGGGCCTGGCCAATGGATTTGTTTACACGACGAGACACTGAGCCTTGATGCGCTGAGTGGGTCTCCCAACCCCCCCGGGCCCTGGACATGTCTGGAGTCCGCTGGGCTTGCTGATCCAGCTCTTGAGCATGCAAGTGCATACAGTTTGGGACTTGCTGCCTCGGCAAAGGGGAGTTGAGAGGGCCCTTGAACCGCCTCCCCTTGCCAACCGTGTCGCGTCCGCTAGGATGACGGCGTGGGAAGACGAAGCGATCCTGAACCTGAGGGGAGCTGCGGGAGGGACAGGGAGACAGGCGAGGCCAGCAACACACAGCAAAGCAAAGCAAACAAAACAAACAACAAAAGCGGCCTCAATGCCAAACTTACCGGTTCAAGCAGCAACGTTCACGGGAACTCGACGTGGTTTGTTCTGGGGCAAAGACGATTGTGCCGGGGGATTCTCGTTTCGATTCTTCTCAGCGGCCCCGAAGGGAGTGGGAAGAAGGGAGAGAGGCGAGAGAGGGAGCGCGCGAGGGAGTGAGATTGAAGAGTGAAGAAGCGCAGAGGAGATTGAATGAGAGAGGCTGGGCGGGAAGGATGACGCCGGTACCTCGTACCTGTCTAGGTCGAGCGAGAGAGATGAGATGAGGCAGGTAAGGTACAGACAGACCACACGGGGGTACTTGTGCCACGACGGGACGCGCAGGCAAAGGGTAGGTATCGATGAGTATGGGATGCTCAACGGGACTGTACTCGTATGTACTGGACTGGCGCTACAGTACTCCGTACTCCGTAACTACGAGTACAGGCACAGCTTCGACCTCGACCCTCGAACACAGACAGCCAGAGCCACAGCTTTCGTACCTGAGAATCCCCCCGTATTTCCTGTAATCCGACCGATGGCACCTAATAAACTTGTGTCTGCTTTGGGCATCGGGTGGGTGCGCGGCGGCCGAATCAAGAGACGCGTCTGGCAGCGCGGTTCCAGTTTTCCGCACCTGCAAGCAAGCTTTTGGGCTGAGCTGGAGCCCGGAGCTGGGAGCTGGGAAGCTGGGAGGTGAGAAAAAAGGCTGGGAAAGCGGATGGGGTCGCACGATCGGGCAGCGCAGCGTTCGGTCGAGTCGCGACCTGAAGCTCCCGTTGCTCGTTGCTGGCTGAAAGTGGGTGAGTGTGGGCGAAATGTGGGCGGCTCCGGGCTGGCGATTGGAGTGTTGGGTCGAGGCTAAGACGCACGAGAGGCAGGGGGTTGAGATGATGAGAGGCAAGGCCTGTCCAAGGCCTGTCGCAAGGTTGCCAGGCCCCAAGCAGGCCCCAAGCAAGCCCAAGGCACGGCCGGCCGCTACCTGGACGGACTGCACTAGTTGTACGAGGCGTGCGGTAGCATCATTGGCAAGGTCAAGGTTGTCTTTGCTTTGTCGTGGTGTTGTTGCTCAGCAGTGGCCGCCATTGGCTGGAGTCGCGCGCTTTTGCGGCCCCTGCGAGGGTTATTGACGGCACCGTCTTTGGTTGATTTCCCTTCTCCACAGCAACCACGAAGATTTTTGATACGATATAGATGGAGATGGAGGCTGGGGGACCCGAGATTGCATGGCTGGCTGGCTAACCTTGGGCTGGCTGTGCCGTGCCACGCGCGTGTCTGTCGTGCATGGTGCAGATGAGATGAGCGATGATGACTGTGGCAGCGCCTCACTTCCGGTCAAGTTTGCCTGTTCCTGTGCCTGTGCCTGTTCCTGTAAGCAATCAATCGTTCGCCTCTTCTCCCCCTAGGTACTGCACTGTATACACTACCGTACCGTTCCCGTGCCTGGGTGGCGGCGTGGCTGCTCCCGTGAGATGCAGTGCACAAGTTTTTGTTTGTTTTGGGGAGCTGCAGCTGTTGGCGTTCCTATTGGGTCCGCAGGCGGTGTCGTGTGGAGGACCGATAACAAACGACATTTGCGCGCGTTCATTGGCCGATAATGACTGTTATGCAGGCTAGTGCACGCTCGTACAGGTGATACATGCTGGATCAATATGTGTATGTATCGAATAATATTGGTTGGATAATGAATGCCTGTCGTGGTTTTTGCATTCTGCTGGCCAATGGAGAGACTGTTATATTGCCGTCGGTCTCTGGCTGCCGTCTCCGTGACTGTGGTTTGACAAACAATGATAGCTGCCCGGGCACATGGACATTGATGACTTATGATACTGCAACACAATTGTCTCGAATGTTTCAGCCCTTTCTCATGTAGCTCAAGCAAACCTCACCTCAGGTCAATGCCACATTGTCACCATTATCTAGTATAATACTAGCTGCCTGTCCAAGAACTCCTCCAAATGTTCAACATTGAAGCCTCATCATGCAAGTGCTAATCCAATGCAGGACTTTGTGTCGTTTGGTCAACTGGATGGATTAACTTGGCTCCATGTCATCTACCTAGTATAAGATGGAACCTCCAAGTGCTGGAGTATTCCATTGTTCAGCACTTCAACCGGCACCTAAATCACGGCCTGGGGGTGTCAATCACTAACAACAGGGCAGCCTCAGTTGAGCCTCCAGCACTACAATGGCGGACAGCTGTTTGGCACTGGCAGTCAGTCACGCACCGGCACCACCTGCCTGCAAAACTTTCAGATCCCCCCTTCAAGTACCTGCCTCGTCCAAAATTGGGGAAACCAAAAATCTTCATCTTTTCATTTCCAGCAGTCCAATATCTGGCCTCTCCATCATCCTAAATCTCGCCATCATTCTTCGCCAACATCGTTAGGACTTACCCAGCTCTGGATTCAAGCATCGCTCGACCATCGCCTGCTTATCCCATTTTGGAGTCGACAATAGCTTCACGGTAGCTCATCTCTGCTTCAAACAGGAGATCAAACACCCGTCAATCATGTATCACCGCTTTCCTTCGGGTTTGCACAGGCGCCCAGTCTTCGAGCCACAATGCACCCACGCCACCATGACAAGAATCTACAGCCCGAGTCTTCTCTGTTCAAACTGTCACTATCCCGGACCTTCTGGATGGCTCTACCAGTGCACGCAGGATAGAGAGGACTTGATAGAACACGCCGTGGCGAGAGGAGACTTTGTATGGCAACGAAGATGCGACGAAACTCGCCGTTTGTGCTGACGAACTACCGCGGAGAAAATGCTAACTGTGACCGCAACTAGATCAGCATGGACCAGTTCGGTAGTCAGTTGACTCCAATGATGGGCATTCGAAAGAGGAGCCCTGCTGCTCGTGAGGACCGGCTCAGCTTCTTTCAGGAGATCAACCAGGAGCAGCTTGCAAAGTACCGCCCTGACCAGGTTGCTCATATACTCAGGCAGCGTGAAAATGTACGCATTACCCCTGGAGACCGTTCGAGTCATTTGTAAAGACACTGACTGGTATCCCAGGTCCAGCTCGTTATTCAGCGAGACAAGGTTCGCAAGAATAGTGCCGCGATTCTCAGTCGCCTCGCTGAGCCTTATGGGCTAGACAGCGCTTCATGCAACATTGGATTCCAGAAGCCGTGGTTGTGCACTCCCCAAGAGGAATGCCAATACCGAGTATGCCAAAGCTGTCGGCCTGGCTGTGCAGACCGCGCATTTATGAGCCTCAACGCCATTGCCGATGGCGAAGTGCCCCCTACTGCAGCAGCAGGCTACAGCTTCCACCTCCTTGGCCAGCGACCTATCGTTGATGCAAACGTGCTCACAAACATTGGCTGCCGTCCGGTTCCTCTGGTAAGTTGCATCAGAGTATATATACCTCTTTTCAGCAGTTGAGACTAATATTGCCGTGGTAGCATCACTCTTCACCCGCTCACTCTACGCATGATTCACATGCATCAACGATGAGTGCCACGGACTGGATCGATGCCCAGATAGCTCGTGGGCGCCGTCTGTGGACAAGACAGGGGGATGACACCGAGATCGAAGAGTACGATGCTGATTTTGACTGGTCTCTGACGCCCAAAGCATCGGGCAACGTCTCTGTGCATTTAAAGTACTCCCCCAAGTGCGAGAATCTGGATGTACTTGCAGAGGCTGCTGGATCCAGTACATTTGATCCACAGCAATGGACACCTCCGCCGTCGCCAGTGATTCACTTGAACGAGACTGATGACCGCATCGATGATATCGGCTAGTGAGTAGCTAGGCTTTAGAACGGTATCTCATCCTGGCGAGGCAGCTAACATGCAAGTAGTTCTACTCCCTCGGAAAAGGCTTCTTCCAGTCAGATTGACATATTACTTTCCGAATCGGCAGTTTCGCAACCGGCAAGCGGCCACCTTCGTGAGTTGAGTGTCGACGAATCACCCAACGAAGCAGCGAGTGCCGCATCGACTCCTGTGTTGAGTGAACGGTTTCCTCCATCTCCGCTCAAAGTGCCGCATGGAGTAGCTATGCTAGAGGAAAGCGTCGAATTGGGAGTTCCAGATGTCATTACGCAGGCTTGATCCCATGCTCTTTAAAGGATTTTATCCACCCCCTTTCGTTCTTGTATTATATGTGATACACATTGGCAGGTTGATAGCGATCGTTTTTTTGAGTCTTGCCCGCATTGATGGGTTCGGTAGGAGGCTTTTGTCTAGTCAAAACGACCTTTCTTTTGTCGCTGCTTGGTCTGAGACGGAGACAGTTACCTCTGTATCTGCGCTGAATGGAATTCGTTCATAAAATAAGTGTGTTGATTCTAGGTGCAGCAGCTGTGGTAGTAAGAGCGAACCCTCGGTATATCTCTACATTGCCTCTGTCTAATGCTAAAAGAAATTCAAGAAGTATAGTAATTAGTGTATATTGCGTATTCCATTATTCTGTTCATCTTTGATATAAAAAAAGCGATAAAATACCGCGCTTTTTATCTCGCTTCTTTCCCTGCCATCATTAGGTATCATCTTTCCTCTCTACACGCACTCCATGTTATCCGCGTATCTTATCTTTAACGCAACCCAAGTAAGCCGCTCAAGATTGTCGAAGCAGCATCTTCAACTTTAATAAGATAAATCTAATACATCGATCCCGATTTGATATCTGCGCTTTAGTTCAAAAGTCAATTCATGGAGTGACAGTGGTGTATTACACGTCTTGGTCGAGAATCAAAGGGCGGACATTAGGCAAATGACATCTGGCTATTTATATGATATTTTCGAATAGATGATGAGAACATCTGATGGGAATTACTATGCTACTATTATATCAATCTTCCGTAAATGGAATGAGTTAAATAAGCATGACTGTTTATTGGCTGCCTTGTAGGATGAGGGGTTAATCAAGCTGTTAAAAGATACCGCGCTGCACCCAACACCTCTCTCATCATACCACTTTACCAACAACTCGATCTTATTGGTTTCAGAGTCATTTGACCAAAATGAACTCAACTGCATCACACTCCCGCAATGTCGACAACAACGCTTTTCACGGTAACACAACACTCCATCAAGGCGATATTCACAATGTGTTTAACTACGCCCGGGGTACTAAGATCAACACTGTTTCGACCCATATAGGCTAATTATTGACAGGGCGAAGAGAAACTCCACCACGGCCTTTCCCACTGATCCCTTTTAATCGCGACCCGGACTTCGTTAGCCGTAGAGACATTCTCGACCAAATTTCCGCACGCTGCTTGGACCCGGCTGGTCGAGTGGCCCTCGTGGGCCTTGGCGGTGTTGGCAAATCGCAACTGGCTATCGAATTCGCCTATAGATTCGCTGAAGAGCATAGTGATGTCCGGCTGTTCTGGATCCACGCAGCTACACAAGCGCGTGTTGAAGAAGGTTTCAAGTTGATTGCCGACGCCATCAGGTTGCCTGAGCGGAAACAACACAAGGCTGATATACCTCTTCTTGTGCGAAAATGGCTTTCCATCGAACACAACGGCAGATGGGTTATCATCCTTGATAGTGCCGACGAAAGCGAGGTGCTCTATAGCGCAAATGAAAATGGTCATGGGAAACGGTCATTAGCGGCATACATTCCCAAGAGCCGGAATGGATCCGTTCTCGTTACCACGCGCAACAGAAGCCTTGCTTCTAAGCTGACTGGAGGCTATAAGAATATAATTGAAGTTGATCCGATGACAGAGGCGGATGCGCTCGCCCTCTTAGAGAAGAAGATGGGATCCACTACGGATATCGGCTTGGCAAAAGATCTGGTGAAAACACTGGACTATATACCGCTGGCTATTAGCCAGGCTGCTGCCTATATACAAGCGAGAAAGCCACGAAGTTCGATTGAAAAATACCTCGTCGAGTTTCGGAAAAGCGAGCGGGAAAGCACGAGACTTTTGAAGTATGAAGCAAATGATGTAGGCCGGGACGAAGAAGCATCTAACGCAGTTCTGAGAACGTGGATGATATCATTCGACCACATTCGCTCACAGCAACCCTCTGCAGCAGATCTTTTGTCACTCATGAGTTTCTTCGATCGACAGGGCATTCCCCAGTGGGTGCTTATTGATTCCAGGACGCTAAGCGATAGTCTAGACTCAGAATCCGATGCTGAGTACTTAGACGATGCTGGAGAGTACTCAAATTCTGAGTCTGAGGCTGACGATGATTCCGATAGTGATATAAATGGCAGGTTTGAAGAAGATATATTGATTCTGAGAAACTATTGCCTTATTACCGTGAATGAAGAAGGCGACAAATTCGAGATGCATAGACTCGTACAACTGTCCATCAAAGGTTGGCTGAAAGCTGTTGGCCTGCAAGAGACGTTCATGCAGCAGTATATTACACGGATGGCAGCGTCATTCCCAACAGCAAAATATGAGAACTGGGCTATTTGTCGGGACCTCTTCGCACACGTTCAGGTCGCCCTTGATTACCGTCCGAACGTGGATACCCTAGCAGACTGGGCGACTCTGTTTTATAGGGGAGGAGATTATGCGTATGAACAAGGGCAATATGAAATTGCAGAGCAAATGGTAAACAAATCTAAGAAGGCGCGCAAGAGGAAGTTTGGAAAGGATGATGAGGGGACTTTACAAAGTATTTCGTTATTGGCATCTATAATATCAGAGCAGGGCCGTTGGGATGAAGCTGAGAAGCTGCAGGTGCAAGTCGTGGAAACTTACAAAACGAAGTTCGAGGCCAACTATCCAAAAAGGTTTACAGCCATGGGCCACCTTGCATTAACATACTGTCATCAAGGCCGATGGGATGAGGCTGAAAGGCTTCAGGTGCGAGTAATGAAGGTTCGCAGGGCTGGGATTGGGCCCAAGCATCCAGATACGCTTACAAGCATGCACAACCTTGCAATAACATATTGGAACCAAGGCCGATTAGATGAGGCTGAGAAGCTAGAAGTGCAAATATTAGAGACGCGCAAGACTACGATTGGAGCCGACCACCCAGACACACTAAGCAGCATGAATAATCTCGCAGTTACCTGGGAGAAGCAAGGTCGACGTGAAGATGCTCTGGCGCTAATGAAAGACTGTATCCAGGCCCGCCAGAGAGTCTTAGGCCTACAGCATCCAGAGACCTTGGGTTCCTCAAAATGGCTAGAAATATGGAGCAAGGATAGCGAATAAGATTATGTATATTCACTATACGTTACATGAGAGTGTAAGAATAGAGTCAGTATATATATAGCTTTTAGAAGCAGTTATCTGAATAATTAAATGTATCTCGAGCTTCAGTACGATGTTCAATACACCAAATCTCTGTAGTTAGTCTTCATCACATTCCGAGACACCTGCTTCACTTATCCTCCCTCTTCAACGCCTCATCCATACTAGCCTGCACCTTCTTCATCATCTCATCCCCAACCTTCTTCGCATCCGCAAACCTCGGCTGGAAAAACTCCTGCGTGCTCACAAACCGCTTCTCCCACGTCTCAAAGTGCCCCAGCGTCACGCACTCCGCCCACCCCCTCGCCGCAAACGTAAACTCCAAATCATCACTCCGGTACCGCTTGTCGTCCACCGCTGTCCGGAGGGTTTGGTCGAGCATCTCCGTGTTGCGGAAGAGATGCTCCGTCACGCCGAGGCGCAGCCGGAAGAGGGGCGTGCTGCAGAGCATGTGGTCGTAGGGGACGATGCCGAGGGCGGCCCAGCAGTCGACCATTGCGAGGAGGGATAGGTGGTTGTTTGGACGGGCGGGTTCTTCGGGGGTAGGTGTGCCGAGGGAGAAGGCTGTGAGGATGGAGGGCTCTAAGAGTGGACGTGAAGCCCATGATTTGGATGCGCCGAAGACGCGGTCCCGAGCGCCGTAGATGCGGGCTTTTAAGTCTTCAAAGTTGCCCTCGAGCATGAGCTTGTACAGCTCGGTAGTGGACTTTGCGTACTGGGAGACCTGCTTGCGGGCTTCCGGGTTGAGAATCGCCAGGCCGGCGTAGACGTGCCATTTCTGCGAGTAGATGCGCAGCATAATGTTCATCTTGACATTCTCAATACCACCGACGTACCGGCTGAGCTCCCAGGGATACTGCCTGTTTGCGTGCCACGCTTTGCCCATGGAGAGAAACGCAGCGTGTGTGACGGCCTGAGTGTCTGCCGTGATGCGGTCGTGCTCTTGGGCTGTGAGATGGACGTATTTCGACTTGAGGCAGCTTAGAACAATCTCGACTTTACGGAGGGCTTCGTCTGGAGCACGGTGCTGGATGAGGACCAGGGGCTGGTTCTGGGGATCGACGCCGGGGCCGTGGAGGGAATGGCATGAGACGATGTAGACGTCTGATGGGAGATGGGCTTCAAAGGCCTCGATCTCGGGGGATTTGCAGGAGGTTTGGCCGCCGACGATGGCGCCCATCTTGGTTGCTGAATGACATTATGAGCGTCAGTTGGATGCTGGTAATACTGAAGAATCATGAGATGCGGTGGGCATAGCATACAGGGTCCATATTGAGCAATCACACGATCAATAAAGGCCGCCTCGACCGAGTAGATGATGTAGTCGCTCGCGCGGGATACGAGGTGGCCGTTGCGCAGAATCTCAATGTTCTTCTAGACGGAGAGACAGGCTTCAGCATCCGACTTTGTCACGATGGAAAAGAAGAAGAAGAAAAGAACAAGAGAAAACATCATTGCAGCGAAAGGAGGCAGCGCAGTGCGTACTTTGCCATTGTATTTTTCTTTAAGGCTATCGTATCTATCTTCTCTGTCGCACGCCAGGATTCTAAACTTGCACCGTTAATTACTCGGTTTTGTCTTTGGGTACGGCGAGCGTCTACGTGGGAAAACAAATGGGACACCAGTTGCAAGGTTTTTCTCTAGCATCTTTTTCGACTGTTAGCTTTCTCCGCTTTGTGAAAAAATTTGAAGACGAGTCGAAAACAACAAAAAGTGTAAAGGGGATGGTTTTTTTCAGACAAGTAAAAGTAAGGTAGCTAGCATTTTCATCACTGAAAGCACAGGTCCGGTTCTGATCACCATAACGGTGGGACAGGCGTCCCTGCGCAATACTCGAGCCAAATGCGCTCATGTCATCACGAAAAAGGGTAAAAGAACGCGCCAATAGTAAAAAAGAAAAAAAGTGTATGCTTACCTGCAAAAGAGAAAATCTGCTAGAGGCGGAGAAGAAGCATCCATTCTCAAGACGCAAAAACTCACCTCCAGCCAGCTTCCGACAGTCTCTCGGCGTACATCCTGCCCATGTCGCCCATGCCAATCAGCCCGACGGTGAAGTTTTCCATCCCCGCCGGGACGCTGGACTGTGACTGTGCCGAAGCCATTGCGGCCCTGCTGCTCGACGGGGATTTCCTGAAGCAGAGGGTCTCACAATTGCTGTCGCCCAGAAACAAAAGACTTGGTTCGTCTTCTTGTGTGCGTTTTTTCCTGCTTCGGTGGAAGGCGAGGAAGAAAACAGGGCTGGGTTGTGGGAATGGGAAAAGAAGAAAATATTTGCGCGAAGATGCTTTATGTGGTTGGAAAAAAAAAAAAGAGATGAGTAAGCAAGGCTTAGTGGGGTCGGGGAGCTTGATAGTCCGATATCGTGAGTGGAGATAGAGGGCCATGCAAGTATCCGAGCTTTCAAATAGTATCCACGGATTACAAAGTCATTCATTCAATGTGAGAGAGAGACTTTATCAACTCATTTTACTTCATCTCTTTATTCTCTTCTTTTACTCTGTCCTTCTTCCTCCAGAAATGGAAGCAATATACGCCATCGGGTCAAACGGATCCGGCCAACTAGGCATCAGCCACAAAGAAGACGTCTCCGTACCAAAACCAGCTCTCTTCCACCCTGAGCAGCCCAGCTCTCGCATCGTCAAAGTCGTTGCCGGTGGGAATCACACTCTTCTACTCACGGAATCCGGCAAGCTGTACTGGAGTGGAGACCCAGCTAGTGGAGCATGTGGATTGAAGCCGTTCCCAAATATTCCCGTGTTCCTGGAAGCTCGACTCGCAAAGGAAGAGAGTGACGAACAGGTTGGAGAGATTGCTCTTGTTGCGGCTACTTGGGAAGCTTCTGTTGTCGTTTCCAGAGATGACCAAAGAAAGAGAACCAAGGTATTCACCCTTGGCATAGGACAGAAAGGAGAGCTGGGTTTGGGTGAGTTGCTTGTACGAACACCATCAGCAACGAGGATCAAAGACTTTCCCCCAACTGGCACAGAGATTGTGGACTTGTCTGCGTGCATGGGACATGTAGTTGCAGTTTTGGACAACGGCGACGTTTACGGCTGGGGCAACTGCCGCAAATCTCAGATTGGCGAGCCCAGCGCGGTCGTCCTTACGCCCCGTAAGATCGAGGGCATAAACTTCAAAGTGGTCAGAGCGGTTTGTGCGAAAGAGTCTACATGCCTTTTTGGAGAATCAGGTAGCGGGAAGCTTCATGTCCTGGGCTCAGATAAATGGGATTTAATTTCGACAGCCCCTTCAGTAGCTCCAGCTTGGAAAGATGTCGGAGCTAGCTGGGGCAACTTTTACATTCTGGGTCAAGATGGAAGCCTGACGGCTTGGGGACGAGATGACCATGGCCAGCTCCCCCCATCGAACCTGCCGCCTCTCGAAAAGGTGGCCATTGGCAGCGAACATGTTGTCGCTCTCACAGCAGATGGCGACGTCTTGTCGTGGGGTTGGGGAGAACATGGTAACTGCGGACCACAGGTTGAGAATAACGACGTCAAAGGAAGATGGAACGTGATTGCATCGTCAAAGCTCATCCCCCCTGAGAGTAAGATAGATAACATAGGTGCCGGCTGTGCCACTAGCTGGATATCCATCACGTCCAGCTGAAACTACAGTCAACTGGAAATCAACGCAAACCACTATGCTTCTTTGTCCGATGATTAGTCGGGGAACAAGGCCAGACCTTGGACATCGGATAGCCTCTGGGTCGGATCCAGAAATGTTGACTCTGCTGCTGTGGGCTGCGCCTCCTCTGTTGGTTCATAACCACTAGGTCGAACATCATCCCCGCGTCCCATGTGCGAAACAGAAGGATTCTTCCTCACGTTAGCCTCTAGTCATGATCTCGACGATTTGTAATGGGAAACTTACAGGGTCTGCACTGTGGTCCCATTCCAATCTGGCATCCTCATCAGCATCCTCATCGTCATCTCTTACGGGCTCCCATGCTTCGTCTTCGACGAAAAGACTTTCCGACCTTAGTGTGGGCGGCGGCGGCCTCTGTGAAGGCCGGAAATCGAATGCTCCAATACGTGAAGCACTGGCTCTAGCAGCGCTCAGTCGCGGAGTTGGATTCGGTGGCTGCCGTGACGATGATGGCGGCGGCATGGAAGGCGATGCGGCTTGCTTTCGCTGAATATCGGCCATGGTTTGTGATGGCGTTGAGCTTCCGCGACGGGAAGTCTCTTCTAAATGCGGCATGGCCTTGCTAATGCTGTTGCTGCCCTTGTTCGCGGCTCCTTTACGGACCTTTTTGGTCCTCTTTTCGGGATTCCCTCCCCGTTCGCCGACGGTCATGATGAGAAATTCACATGAGATGGCATCGCCGGAGTAGGAAATTTGCATTGGCTTTGCGGGAAGGGAATATCGGGCAACAATTGCGTTGCCGGTGATGGCTGCGTGCTGTGTGATTGCGCGGACGTCTTTGATGGAGACGACGATTTGAAGCTTATCTTCCACGTCAATATCGTCAAATTCGTCGGTTTCAACAGCAATCGAAGTATGCAGAGGTTTCTTAAGAACCGCTATTCTCACAAGTTAGCTTGTTCCCGTTAGAATGTAGAGACTGGTGCTCTTACCATCGTCGCTGATGGTCTTCTCGCTAAAGCAAGTGAAGTTGACATGATCGCCATCCGTGTTGATGTCGAGGTACTCGGTCCCGGGCCCAAAGTGATCCACCAACTGCTTCAAGGTTCTTGATGAGATGCTCCAGTGGTAGAGAGCCTCCTGCTTGTTGAACTTTGCATGTACGGGCATGCTGACTTCAAACGGAAGTCGGTGCGTAGCAGTCAGTCCATTTCGGAAGATGATTCGGGCAATGAAGCGGCTCTTGATACCTTCTCCATCTTCAATGGCGACGTCGCAGCGGTCGATGATACTCTGCTTGTCCCCTTCGCTTCGCGATTCTACCCCAGATCTGCTGCGGAAGAGAGAGGCCAGACCCTAGAAGTGAAGATTAGATTGCTGGAGAAAGTCATTATCAGATCTAGTAGAGAATCTCACTCTGATGTACATGGAGCAGAAGAATTTCTCCTGAAACGGCCCCGTGCCCTGATACTGGTAGCGCCCAAAGAAGCGGCTGGTCGCGAACCGGAAGCTTGCGTAGGCTGATTTGGAAGTGTTCATTGTGGAGAGGAAAAACTGCTCGCAAAGTTAGACGCTGGTTGTAGAATATCGAGAAACATAAGGGATATTTGGCATTACAGAATCTTTTCGCGCTTCGATGGATACATCCTCGCTGAATTTGCTCAGGCAGTTGAGGGCATCTCGAAACGCCGTGACACCCTCTTCACTGAGGGTGAATGTCAGGACGGCCATGGCGGCATGAGATTCAATGATGGGAGAAGCTGCGATCGGTAGGTTGGCCCCGTTATGTTGAAAATAGAGAATCAAATCATCGTTAGGAATAGGAAAGTGAATTCACGTGTTTGCTTCATGGAGAATGAAGCTAGATTAATGAAAGTGGACGTGCTGAATGAGCTTGTCGTTCACGAGCTACTGCCGAAGATGCATTGGCTGGTGGTGGTGGTGGATAAAGGGAAAATCCGTATTGGTGCATAAGTATTGCTTTATGAGTATCATGCATCTAGCGCGATCTTGAATTCATGCTCTCAACTGCCTTCATCGAAGCCGTCTATGTTCAAAGTAAAGTGAAATAAAAAGAAAAATAATATTATCGGTACTTCGTGCTATCTATTCTGTATCCTTGAGGCAACACACCTCTGCATATTCATCACTCTCGCCTTTAACAATCTCATGGTTGTCGTCAATCACCCACTTCTCTGTCTCTACTTCAGACTCTTTGGAATGATGTTTGCCAACGTGCCTGCGGAAATTGTCCCGTCTGCTAAATGATTTGTCACAGGGCTCGCAGAAACATTTCTCGTTTGGGATTTTTTTCTTCTTTGCATACTTCTTGTGAGATACCCAGTAGTGCCTATTTCGCGCCTTGTTGTCTGCAAACCGTTCGGAGCAGCCTGCCTCGCATGGAACCTGTTTGTAATGCGTATTCAGGTGCTTTCTGTTAAGGAATTACAAGTTAGCTTTGTTAACCATATTACTGCGTAATGAATGGAATGCTTACTTGAAATTGCCGTCGTGCTTCTTCCATTCGTCGCAACACCATCTATAGCCAGGCCGATGTTCCCCTGAGAAGTTGTTAGACATCAATCATGATCAGCTCCTGAGGGAAAATACTGACCAAAGGGATTCACGTCTGATGAAGGGTCGTTGAAGCTGATGGTAGAGGAATTTTCCACTTCATCATCAAAATTGTCATCATCAGCGTTGAAAGGTGCTGGCTCGGTTCTCATTTCCGGGTCGACAGGCATGATGCTGCCCCAGCCCATGTCTTGAGGATATTTTGCCATGTAATTACCCAGTGTTGTATCGTTTGACCTATGCTGATTTATAGTAAAAGCGCTTGTTATGTTATTTATTCCTTGGTCGTATGATATATCGTTGGTCAAGGTTTCCGTTACTAAGTTGTTCTTCAAGACGGCTAACAAGTCATCTATCGACATGTTATTAGCCGTTAAGCAGTTAATGTATTCTGTTAATTTATTTTCAAATTCGTTGTTTGTTGTAATATGGGCGGTCCAATCACTACCAGAAAAGTCTCTGTTCTCACACAATTCCCGACAAGGCCCAGCCAACCCCGGGGTGGTTGGGCCGAGCTCATGTAAAGATCGGCCCAACTAAGTCAGACAGATGGGAACGGTAGGGGAGAGAGACGCATCTGTTAGATCGATACTCTCTGCTTGCGATGAAGGCGATGTCATCTCAGAATACTCAGCGTTATACCAGTTTCCTGAACCATCGAAGCCCATCAGACTGTCGTCCCAGACTGACGGCAGTTCAGGCGTTAAATTAGGGCAACATGTCTGACTCAATGGATCGACAACGCCAATATCGACATCAAATATGGGTTGATTCATTTTGCCAGGATTAAATAGTAAATCAGAGTCATTGTTGGGTTGCACCCATGGTGCCACATGAGGCACATCCATCATGTATGATTCGGCTTCAACGCCGAGGTGCGCATCAGGCATATTTGTAGCTTCATTGTATGTAACTTGTTCGAGGATGTCACGGCTGCGCAGTTGCCGAAGCTGCAAGGATCATGAGCATTATCGCTGTGAGCTTGGCTCATAGAGAAAGGTTCACCTTGTGTCTCTGAGGGCTGCCGATTGCTGGCACTGGGCCACGTTTCTTCCTGCGCTGGACTCCCATGTCGTTTTTGACGGAGAAGTGGCGGATGTAAAGCTTTGAATTGCTTTTAATGCCGCAAGCGGCAGCCTGCGCGGCGGTCTTTGAGGACGACACAGAGACGGAGGGGAAAGCGAGAGGTAAGGCGGATTTTATAGATGTTGTTCTTCATCCAACATCCAAGGCAGTATCTAGATGGTCACTAGCAAAACAGATGTCATATTTGATAGTATGTGTAACACTAGCCCAATGAGGAGTAAATCTCTCTTTTCCCCTCCAAGCGAGGATAAAACTGCGTCAGACATCGGGCAATTCAGCGTGCCAACACAGCAATTGTTCGTGCAGCTTGCTTGCGTGATGCGGCCTCTGATTGGAGCAACATGCGCGCGGCATGGGAGCGTGACCGGGCCTCTGGCAGATTTGGGCCTCATCAACTGCGGCCTCTGGCATCTACAGGGGTTCTAAATGGTTCATTTTGAGGTGGCTTCTGCAAGAGGCCGCGGGTGACGCAAACGAGGCTGGCGAATAGGCGTTGACGACATGGGGACGATGTACACAGGCATCGTTGTTGGACGGACAAGGCAGAATTATTGTGAAGTTGTATTGTATAAATCAAGCTTGGCCAAGCTGCGTAAGTGTCGTCAATGATGAGGATTCAAAGCATGCATTTGTAGTCAATTGAATAGACGCCAAAACAAGGTATTCATTCAACAACATGTCTCGCAGCGACACAGTCGATCCATCATTACCCTTAGACCAAACAAATGAGCAGCCGATCGAGTTAAAGACCTCGGTCGGCTACATGCTCTTTGAGCCCGTCATGCTTCTTCTTGCTCTAACTCAAGCTGTTCGCGACATGGCCGTACCGCGTCCTCGTGAAGAGAACATCAACATCCAGGACCCCAGACAGCTATTTTACACCTTTGTGAATAAACTTAGCCACGTCTGTGATAGAAGAAGGGGAGAGTTGGGGAAGACCGTCACCTCCTTTGTCGTCCTCAAGAAACAAAGCGATCCTGATAAAGCTCACTACATTTTTGCGGCGAATCGCCAAACCGACAGCGACTTGCAAAGCACGGCAAGATATGTCACAACACTCCTTCGCATGGTTGGACAGGCGCCTGAGGGCCGAGAAAATCAGGATGCGGCGAGGCATTCACTGCTATATCGCGTGTTGTGCTTCAACCGCCACCGAATTACGTTTTACCTGAAGGAGCTACGGAAGCAAGCAGCGCTTTGTGTCGAAAAATGCGAGGCGGAACGAACAGACGATAGTACGTAACGGATGTATAAAATTGACCTGATTGCCATTGCTTACTCGTAACGGTGGCTGCAGATGAACTAGTTGCAGAGGGTTTGACAGAGATTCTCGCCTCTCCCAACGATGGCTTAGACAAGTACGATCCGGAACCTGATTGTAAGTTTCCCATGTTAAGACGCAAGATAATATGTGGCTAATTGACCTTGTTCATTTAACTAGATATTCATCTGTGTGAGACGACGATCAAGCAGCTCATCAAGATCGAGCAAACCATAGTTGGAGAATTAATCGAAGAGCGTGCTCTCGAAAACCGAATGGTAGGATACACAAGCATGGAATGCTGGGCCAAGCTCCTCCACGCCATCAGACGTATTCTTGCCTACCAACAATCGGTTCAATTCTTCCTGATGGCCAAAGACAAGTGGCCCAATCTCTTTGAAGATTTCACAGTGTCCTTTATCTCGTCAAGCCGCCCAGTGAGCAAGCCAGGTCGCCAGAAGAGCAACTCTGCAGAAAGCATCGCCGGCCGGATGAAAAGCACACCAAATGAAATCGAGACACTTAGGACATTTGTACGTAACCTCCAGACGTTCAATCTTGACGACCGTATCAAAGAGGAGTTTGGTAAATCGTCTTTCAATCCGATTGTCCATGCAGAAGTCCTCTTGCTGAATTGGATCTCGAAACAAGGCCCAGTTACGCCTTCGAGATTCTTCAACGGCTGGAAGTATATCGGCTGCAGCAAGCCGACGTGTAAACTGTGCAGCTATTACTTTGAGGAACACCAATCGGGGGTGGAACACCGGCCTTCCCACGGCAATTTGTATCCCAGCTGGCGTCTGCCCGATGTGTTTCCGCATCAAGGAGAAGAAGGGTTGAGTGAGAGAAAGAGGATGATGGAAAGTATGAAAGATCGGGTGCGCCAGGATGCATTTGACATTGTGTCGGAAAGGTCTTTTCCGAGTTCAAAGAGAGCCGATTCAAACACGGACACTGCGCGAATGACGCTTCTTCCGGTCGGAACTTTGCGAAGGCCGCCCACTGAGATAGACGATCTTGCGTCAATTATGGGACAGGTAGATATTGGCTGAGTCCCAAGAAGGGTCTTTTCTTTGCACGATTAATATTTTTGAGAGAGGGTTACAGGTAGTGAAGTTATAGTTGGTATTCTCGTCATAATGAAACCTTCATGTTAAACACTAAAGCAAATGCTCAGTCCACCCTCAAACCAGAGGAGCATCACAACATCAAATTAATCTCCCAAAGCCACCGCACAAATTCTCCAGACCTTTGCCTTTAACCGCTCTTGAAGCAGGAATATTTCCCCAGCGAAAATCTCCACGGCCCACGACGCACTCCATGTCGATCGGCGTGGACGCTCGTGCCAAAGTGACGGCCTCCAAAATTCTTTGCCCAGAATAGACCCATGCTTGTGATTTTTGGGGTGTTTTATGAGGAAGTTGTTGATATTTATTGTTGTGCTTGGTAGAAGAGACTTGAGAGTGTGTGTATTACTAGGCTTCTCTGATTAGCAGTTGACACTTCTAGATCTTAGCACTAAGAAACAACTTACAGACGATTCCACAGTGGGTTGAACAAAACGCTCAAATGTTTAGCATTAATAGAAGATATCTGGGAGAATGAAGTATCGTGAAGTTATGAAGAAACAGTCTTGTCTCGCGTCGCTTCCTTATAGTGAATGGCTGCTTGATCTACATTCGATGACGTATTGGCTTCTTGGCACGCAAACGTCTTGGCAGAATCTCTTTGTTTTTGTATCAGGCACATGATCTAGGCATTAACGCACCTAGAGACCCTTACGCAATGACGCAACAAAGAAAATAAGCCTTGATTTAGAGTTAAAATTAGAGTATTCTCTATCTTGGACCCTTCCACCGCCAAGTCTTCAACAATGAACTATCGAGACGCCATCTTCCGCTAAATTCCTTCTTCATGGCGCAGTAAAGTTCAGCTCGCACAAAACCACAGCCATACAATCCTTGATAACACTGTATGTATCACTACTCTATAAGTATAGTACTACTCATCACTGCAAGGTACAGTAGCCAAACATCCATCATGAAGAATCAAGACCTCTCCTCCCAGCAGCCACCAAACTCAGCTCTCCCCCTTTATCCCCCGTCCCAGTCCAGTAAAACAACCCCCCAAGAGCTTGATGAGCCGCATATCTCCCCTTCATATACACAGTTTGTGGTACATCAAACGTAATATATCCCTTGTCCCTACCTGAATCGACATACCACGCCGCCACGGCTCCCTCATCCACCACGGCATTCTTCACCCACTGATCCGGAATGTCACAATAATCCATCTCTCCCGCACGTTCTGTAGAGCAACCAGGGCCTTCAGCGCGAGGGAAATACCTTGCGTAAGCAGGGATCCCAAGAACGAGCTTTCGGCTAGGAAACCCTCGAGATAGAACGTATTCCACACCATCTGTGGCGCATACTTTGAGTTCCGGATGTGAAGACTGGAGGCCACCTCTGGGCGAGTGAAGCTGTGCATGGTTGCCGCATACGCTGGTCCAGGAGCCCGTAAAATCGTATGCCATAAGATTTATATAGTTGACAAGCTTCGACACAGCATCGAGATCGATGTGCTTGAGAATGTATTGGCCAACGGGAAGAGCCGTTGTGAGGAAATAGTCTTCTTCGGGCAGCGCATTGCGACACTCTTGAAGAAGCTTCACGTAGTTTTGACCTTGCTCGGCGTCTTTCGGGTGCTCCCAATCAACTAAAGAGCAGTAAGCAGTTTGCCTACGGCAGTAGAAATGAGAGCTTCTTACTATCAACACCATCAATCTCATGACGGTCACAAAACTGGCGGACTTGCCGCGCAAACGTCTCCCGGGCATCGCGACTGGCAGCCAGAGCTGGGAATTCTTTGCTTCCGGTGCCTCCTCCAATAGACACAATAGTCTTGAGTTTTGGATTATTGCGTTTGAGCTTGGCGAGGGCAGCTAGAGCGCCTTTCTCTCCGTCGACTTCCTTGACCATGTCGGCATGCTCATCGAACCACTACCTCAACGTCAGTACAGTCAGAGTTAGTATTATAGTACAGTAACATACGCGAAGAGAACCATCTTCATGAACACTATACACTTATCAGCCCCTGTTCTGACACTCATACACATCTCAGAACTCACCCAACGAAAGCGTAAAACACGTGCGTAATATTGTCCACATCAAGAGTTGTCGGCGTCTTATCCTTATAAACCAGCCAATTAGGATAATACACGCCATTCATATAACTCCGGTTCAAAGGAGGAGGCCGAATCTCGTACTCGTTATTCTCATCGGGCTGTTGCTGGTGCTGGTCTTGGTTGTCGTCCGACGACCCACCTATGCAGGAGCATGGACAGAACCAGCCTCGTGAGCGAGGAACCATTTTGACAGGCTACTATTCTTCTTCTCCAAGTGGGTGGTGAGGGTTTGATGAAGTTATCGTGAGATAATGAATCAGGGAGGTCAGAGTGTCGCTGTTTTTGCTTCTTCCCGCTGATGCTGATGCTGATGCTGCAGGACCCCGCAGGTGCTCCGCCTCTTTTCTGCTAGGGACAATGTTTTTGTACAGACTGTTTGTTACACGTCAGTGCCTCTTTTTGATGGGTTCCAGTGGCTGAATTAAACAACAAAGACGCTGTGAGTTGGCGTGCGCCTTTGCTTTTAAGCTTCCATCTGACTGATTGAGTGGAACTGGGAGTTCTCGCATTGAGTTTGCAGAAGCAGGGGTCTATACATGTATCGTGAAGCAATTGAAACAGCAAGGTTTCTCTACGATATCTTGATGAATAGTAGAGATATTTAAGCATTGAAAATTAAAACGATATGTTTAATGTAATAAAATTGGATCAATCTGAGAGAGGACGCGAAGCCATGACGCAGCCCTGCAACTTGCCGTATCGGGCAAATGTTAGCCTCCGTTGCCATGATCAACAAACTTCCTTTTGACTTGGTGCCTTTATTGGCTATAACTTCCCGAGTGGCTTCGCTAGAGTTTCTAAGTATGACACTGACAGGGCATTAAACGATAATTCTCGGCATTTCGCTTCATTCATAGCTTCGTGTATATACCCATCCAATAGCAGCCATCTATCCGGTCTATCATCATGTCGTGTACAAGCCAACGCTTCAAATATATCCAATACGCAGCCCACGATGCCCAAAATCACCTTCAAGAATAAAACCAATGTCTTGATTCGTCACCGCAAATCACATCCCCCTTCTCATCAAGCATCAGCGTCCCCCACTGTCTATCATTATAATTCTCCAGAGGTGAAGTCCAGAACCCGCTCCGTATCAGATCCATTTCGCCCCTCAGCCAATGAGCCATGATATACCAACTCCTGCCTGTGAGAGGTGTAAAGTCGTCCTGATAAATCTCCAGTGCTTGAACCACTCTCTGCTGAATCTCAACACTATCTGCAGCCGCCCACCCTGGAATCAGGCAAAGCGGTATGAAGCTGGCTCCTAGAGGCCTGTATTGCGAAGCATCGTGGGCCAACTTGATGGCGTCGTTGGTCATTGCGTTTGCCTCCTCAGCCATGCCCCCATCATCTATTCCAAAAGCACGTAGATACCCATTATAAATCAGTGCGCATCCCATCAACAGACCCAAAGAGACTTGGTACTGAATACGCATCTTTGTTGCCGCGCGCGTTGGTGTTTCGGAGGCGAGAGTATCAGCCATCTCTAGGCCGCCTTTCAACAGCGGTATTTCATAGCGCATGCGTTCATACGCCACGGCAATGTCGTCCTTGTACTTGGCTGGCTCTCGGATCAAATCTGGGATCCGGACAAGATTGCTGAGTTCCAGACTAAGGAAGTTTTTCGCACTGCTACCAAGAGGTGCAGCCGGGCCCAATGCGCGCTTCTTGAGGTTTAGGAACCAGGGACTCAGTCGGATCTTTGGGTTGAAGATGGCTTCTATAATCTGGCGTCCATGCAAAGTAAGCGACTGTTATACATAAAGAGGCAGCGACACTTACGACAGGCACACAAAGGGTATCACGTATACTTTTTTCGAACGGGTCCGGATTACTCTTGGACCCAGCTGCATCGAGCAAGTGTGCAAGTCCCTCTCCATGGCTCATCTTTTGATCCCTGTCTCTTCCCGTCCAGCCCTTCAAGGTGGAAAACATCCATGTCAGCGTGCATGCTTAATGATGCGAGTCACTTGGGCACATCTTACTTGACAAATCATTAGCACATAGACGGCACATAGCGTCTCCGGCTTGTTTGCACTCTGCGGGTCATTCAAACTGGTCCTGAGAGCCTGTAGTGCGTTTACATATTTCACCACAGATCCCCGGGACAGTGTCGACAGGTCATGCCTGCGGAGGTGTGGGTAGAAACCTACCATGGCCTCTACCGCAGCATCCAGCGCTACATTGGTACCCAGACGCCGCGGGAGATCCTTGAACCAAGGGCCATAGCAGGCGAGGTCGTAGCTCGGGTCGTTGATGTCCAGCAGTGAAACAAAGGCCCCAGATCGAGCGGTATCCCTGTTCGATACGAGGCTCGCGATGGACGATGGGCTCCCGCTTCCGCTCCCGCTCCCAGACGTCCCGCTCCGGGCCTTTTTGGACGATCTCTCGACCTGCAGGTCCGTCTGGTCCTTGAACTTGTATCGCAGCTGGCCACACCCTATGCATGGGATGTTTAGGCGCGAACAGCGGGCACACGCGGGCGAGGCCATGTCACACTGGAGGGTGCTTTAGCGGCACGGCACGGATGGCAGAGATGTGATGTGGCCAGGATTTCCATTGGCTTGCAACTCCATTTGGGGACAGCAGACCTAGATGGAGCAATTGAAACGAACCTTTTTCTTCTGCTTCCTGCACGCATCGCAGCCGCGATAGGTCGGCACGCCTGGCATGGCGGCGGCTGATTGGGAGCGCTGCGTATTGCCTAATCAGGCAGTGGGGAGGGATGAGAGGAAAGACGACGCCGTCGGATGATGATTGCCGTGCTATGCTCGAGTAGGTATTAAGGATGGTGATTTTGTTGTGTTGGTAATGCAGTTTTGGTTGCTTTGCTTGTTTGGTGGTATCAATGTTTGCCTCTCTTGTGGATTGGTGTTGGAGCGCCTATTTTCCTCTCTTTCAAACGTGGATGACGTGATGACTACAGTACCCAATCCTTTCGACTGAACAAGCCACAAGAATCGAATCCTCTTCAAGGCAAGGCAAAGTAAAACAAGGCTGATTGCAAGGCTGAATCCGCCTCCTGATGGTTTCGTGATGAATGATGTCAAGACGATTTTCCGCTCACAGCGCTCGAGGCAGCCTGGAGGTCACTGACCCATTGTATTGGCTCATTTCGGGGCACTGATTGGACAGCGGTGCGGCGGCGATCACAGCCATATCGGGTGTGGCGCGGCGCTCGCCTTGATTCGGGCAAGAGGCAGCTGTGGCTCATGCAGGTACGTACGTATACCAGTCTCGACGAGTTGTAAAATATAAAAACGACAAAGAGTCGCTGATGCTCTTGATGATCTCTCGAGAAAGAGTTGGATTTGTTTTTATCTGTGCTGCCATATGCTCTCCAAGAAATGTGCCATATCCACATGTATCTGTAAGCACAAGTGGTTAAGTAGATTGGCTTGATGTAATGATGGCCCGTCGCTACCATCTTATAAACCAAGCCTCAACTCTTGTACACAACTATCCACAATAATCTCAAGGATAACAACTATTACAGCGTAAACTATTGAAGATAAAATGTCAGTTTTCATCAATAGAGAACCACATTTACGGCTTCGCCTGGGAGATTAACTAGCAGATAAGAGATGCGTGCATAAATGACTTACATGCCTGTGTAAGTCCTTCGTGCTTGACTCGATTCTGCCCCCGTCGAACAAAGTTACGGAACGTTTGGGAAGCAGCCGTCTCTAGACTCATCCATTCGACTGTCTCTGGTTGTTACTTTCCCTCCTACTACTGCTGCATTTTATTCCTCCGTGCTGTTCTACCAAGTTACCCCCGAAACGTGTGTTGTCCCAAACCAGCCAATCTCATCACTACTTCTGCGCATAACATCCTCATGATACTGCGCGTTTCTTTTCATTTACTACAGCTCTCTTTAAAGTTATAGAACGATACATTAGCATTATGAGCCTCGCTTCAAAACCCAAGCGAGGTTTCAAAATCCGACGCAGCGAGAGGGAAAACTCGACGCTCCTGGTCTTGCCTTACCCCCTCCTGAGGCTCAGCCGCTCCATGTATGGTTTTAAGCTACATGCATTCAACCAGCCCTTTCTTGAGCTATACCGCTATTCCACCGCCGAAAATGTCTTAGTTGGAAATGACGAAAATGTCTTGATTGGGGATGCTCACTCCTCCTCGTCTACATCAGAAATACGCCTTACGTTGAGCGGCCATGAATACACACTCACCCCCTGATAGCAGTAACAAGAGCTTCGGTCCGGAAGGCTACGGTAAGGGCTATCTCAGGTGGGCGAGGATCAACCATCCAGAAAACGTGGAGCATGTGGAGCTGGACCTATTCGACCATACGGGAAGGCTTCTGGCGACGCTCAAAGTCTCACGCTCTGACCCTGAACAGAAGATGCTGGAGCTTTATGTAGAGTGCACTGAGAGCCTTCTAACCCTCGTGCTTCTATCTGGATTAGTGGTAGTAGATGCAATCTTCGAACGGATCCCTCTGCATGGAAAAGGAGAGGCAAAAGTACTTCTGTCTAGCCCAAAGAAAGGGGGGATGTAGGCTCCACGTGGTTGAATGGTTCGTTTGTTTACGCTTTGCTCAGGAGCTGGAGAGCTTGGACATATGGTATGGGGATTGGAAGGCGTTTCGTGCTGAGAAAAAAAAAGTTCTCATTTTGTATTCTATTACGGCTTGCATTCTCAGATACACACAATTGTTTTTTTTTTTTTTTTTTGCCATTATCTGCCGTTTTCAGATAGATCATGCAGCAGATTGTATATGATGTCCTACACTTTGGCGTAATCTGTTCGATATTTCGCGCTGGGGTGCATGAAAGCTAGCAGTAACATATACTGTAAGCCGGGATAATGACTAGTTGACAAGTTCGAGAAACGCCAATACGAGGGTGCTTCTCTGGTTAGAAGCTCATGTTGCCCAACGCAGGACGATTCTCTGCAACGGCGACATCATATGATTTGGCTCCAGGCATATTTTCATCGTCCAATTGAGGGTAATATGTTAGCCCGTCAAAGTAATCCTCTTCTGAACAGGCTTTTGGTATGTACAGTCAGAGAAATCTCGAGGCAAGTCTCTGAGAATAAATCACTTGGCCGTAGACCACTTGACTGGTCGTACGCTTCTACGAAGTATACGAAGGAAATACGTGCATATACGGACTGGATACATTGATAGAAGAGTGTGTGGACTATTCTTTGTCTCGGATGCTCCAGAAATACCAGGATTACCATGTGTGATATGTTTCCATTCCATAAACATGAAAAAGTTCATGCCATACAACAACTATATGCGCCTACAATCACGAAACGGCAACCCAGTAAGTCATACATCTAAATGGCAAGAATAAGACAGCAGCACAGCTTTATGAAGGTGAATAACAATAAGACCTCCAAGCTAAAGAGGTAATGAATCTCAGCACACTGTAAACATTGGCAAGCAAGACGCTCGTGGCGGCCTTTGCTAAATTCGTGTGTAAGGTGGTGAAAGACGAGATATGCCACAGAAAAAGACTCAATTCAATCTTTAGTCGGATTTCCATCACAGCGTTGCGCCCAACGTACGGTATTACGCCTTCTCCGCCGGTTTCAAAATGACAGGGGTAGCGGTTACTTCACAGCATTTTTAACTCCTCCCAAGGCTATTGCAGCCATCACCGCAGACCCCTGCCTTGGTCCGTGGATAAACTCTTTCACAGCATTTTTAAACTCTCCCAAGGCCATTCAGCAGAGCCTCAACCCGCGACCTCCTTCACAGCAATTTTAACCTCCCCCAAGTGCATCAACAACAGCCTCAAATCCCAACTCAGCCCATATAAATCCTCCACCCACCCTCCCCTTCCCCAAAAAAGCCATTGCAATGCCAACGCTGTTGGTGGACAAAACCACACCACACCCATTCACTTAAAAAGCAAAGCCGCCGAAAAGTCTATCTCCTCGAACTTGGCCAAAGCGCCTTAGTAAACAAAAAGAAAAAAGAAAAGTCCAACACTCGCACACTTCTCGCAGACATTTCTCTCATCCTCATTGGATCAAAACGCTTACTTACTCCCAAGCATAAAACGAGGCTGCTGCATGAACTAAAAACGGGGGAAAGGGAAGCCTTGCCTCGGGAGCCGGGAGGGCGAGGAAACATGTGCGACGCTTTTAAAGTCTTACTGCCACACACAGACCAGCCAGCCATTCGCATATTATGTATATCTCCCAGGATTCTTTTTCGGCCCCCCTCCCCTCCCTTTAGACAGAACTAGCCGAGGTATGCTGTGCTACGCGGATTCCGCGGCATCTAGGTAATTCGAAGAGAAATGGATTGCGTAAACTTGGGGGCTTAGAAAAAGAGGTATTAAGGATTGCGCAGACAACGTTACGGTCCTTTTTAGCCAAGGCGTTAAAAGAAGCGTGACGTGAACAAAGAGATAGCCAGCCAATCGGTGGGTTTGGGAGTTTGGGTGCTAGTTTGAGTGAGCGCGTTTTGTAGATGAGACAGCCACTCAGCCTCACGTACGGAATAGATGAAGGGCGAAAGGGGGGGTGTGAGTGTGAAGAAGATTCGTGAATCAAGGCAGTGGTAACATCTTCACAAGCCTGGATATCATATCATGATATGCCTCATTGTAACATAGTATGGCAACAAGCAAAAGACGGAAAGGCGATATCAAGCACCCATCAGCCACATCGTCGCCAAGGCCCATTAAGTGAGAACAAGGGTGAACAAAAAAAGACAATTGCAAGGATTCATATAGCTCAAGTTATTTTCCCTAGGGGTCTGTTTTCCCGCGCTCCTTGCCCTGCGCATTCCTCCGAAAAAGAACATGACACAGCCATCCAAACAGAAACTTGTCCGCCGCCGCCGCCCTTCCTCCCTAGAAAATTTCCCTTTGCGCGCGCCCTGAGCGTAGCAACAATCTTAAAAAAAAAATACAGAACCAAGAAAAAAAGAAAAAGCGAGTCAAATGGAGGGTGGGGAAATAAGAAAAAAAATAACCAGGAGTGGTATATCAAAGGAGATATACCGCAAAAAAGAAACGACTATAAAGCAGCCGACCGGAACGCCTTCGTTCACCCTTTGTTGTGTGCCACCGTAAAACCCCCAAATTTCCATCAAAAACCATCCTTGTGATTTGTAACAGCCCGCATCCGTGAGCCGTAGACTTTGTTTCCCCCGATTGTTGCCGCCATCATGGGCTGTTTTATCAAAAACAGAACCAAGCCAGGCCGTGATAGGCGCTGGTAATACCCATAGTCATGCGTGGCCAAGCCCGCGTTTTTTGTTTTTTTGTTTTCGTTTTTCAGTGCGCAAAAGAGATTTCAACAGAACCAAGCCAGTGAAGGAGAAAGGAAAAAAGGGTAGGGCGATTGTTGTGATGAGGCGGTCTGTCGTGCACATCATATGTTTTTTTTCGGCAAGGCCTCGCGGCCTCATCAGTTGTGAAAAGCAGGTTTGCAATAGAGGGTCGAAAGCTCTAGCCGGAAATCGACTGCGAAATCGACTGCGAAGACGACCCCGACTGCGAAGACGACTCCGGCTGCAAAGACGACTCCGGCTGTGTTGAAGACGCCTGAGGCCCGGCATTGGACTACATGACCGAGGAAGCCAGCAGGCGTGATTCGACATCGTCCATACCCATGCCGTCCATGCGAGGCCCCTCCATGCCCTGGAGTCGTTGTTCTATCGCCTGGAAGCGAGGCTCGTAGCCACCGGCGCGGGCCTCGATGTTCTCCATGCGCTTCTCAATGTTGTCGAGCCGCTGTTCGATGCGCATCAATCCCTGGGCCATGTCGTGGCTCAGACGGTCCAGCTTGTTGGTGAAGGAGCGGATGGAGGTTGCCAAGGGAGCATTCTCCTGGCCGGGGGTGCCGGAGGGGACGCGCGGCTCGTGGTTGTGTCTTGGTTCTTGCAGAGCGAAGCGCCACTGGTTGCCCAGCTGGACCTCGCAGACGGCCTTTGCACGGAAGGGACAGTCAATCTTGCGCGTCGAGGGGTTGCGCTTCTTGGCGGTGCTGTTGTACTTGACGCCGCCGCGGTCGCAGACGAGGTCGTAGCGGGTGGGCTTGCCGTCGCGATAGTTGGAGGCGCGCAGCTTGACGATACCGTAGCCCTGGTCCTTTGCGACGCGCTGGACCGAGGCCATCAGGTCGTCAAACGTCCTGAAGATGCCCTCTGGCGGAGGCAGCAGCGCCGGCGGGGGGGTATTCGGCATCGCGATGAGTTGAGCCACGGTGGCGAACGCGAAAGGCGCGGACCTTTTTGCACGAGGGGGAAAAAGGGCTGTTGGTGAGAGGGTTGCGAGGGGCAGAGAGGGAGCTTCGGCGTCTCTCCTCTGGCGGTGGAAGCTGCGGAAAAAGAGTCGAGCGACGAAGGTCGTTGATAGAGCACGAGGTGCCGGCAGTGAATCGCGTTTGGGGGGCGTGGGGCGCTTTGGTCTAGAGATGTTCTGTAGATGGATTAACTCAAGGTACAGAGTGCAATGCAGAAGAGAGAAGCTGGGCTGTGAGGATTTTTCCAATCCGCACTGTTGGCCAAGTTTCAAGGTTTGGCGTTGATCCGGTCCGAGCGATGCGGGCCAGTCAGAGGGATGCTCGGATGTACAGGTACCTGGGCCGGTACTCGCTGGGTTCAGCGTGCCGGGAGCAAAAACAAGCAAAAAAGCAGGCAAAAGCAAGGCAAACGCACAGCAAAAGGTACAATCCCGATAGGGCCCGGCTACGTAACTTATACCTTGGTCGAGTTAGGGATGACGGGGGACGAGACTAGCGCAGAAGCTGCTGCTGAGATGCCGAGTTTGACGTTGGCTCTGCTGAGGAAGCGTTGCATGTCACCGGCATGTCGCTCCGTCTGCCCTTTTTTCCCTAGGGATTTCTTCTCCAACCCCCTCGGTCTTTGCAGGTGTTTTGGCCTGTGCCAGGGTTTGGCAGTGTCCATTACGTACAGACACCTGTCACGGCCGTTCTGTATCAGTGCAGTACAGTCATAGGATTACACGGGTTGCAGGTACTAGTACTCGTATCGGCGGCGCAAGAATGCAAGGACAGGAAACAAATCATTTCTCGGGAAACAAAACGCACAGATTGACGGGCATGGGTCCTTGCCATGGAAACATGTTCAATCACACCCTTCTCACGCCATGTTACGGTCAAGCTTTGGGTCAAGGTATTCCATCTAGAAGAACATCATATGTACATCAAGGTACATCGGCGTCTGGTCGTTTTTTTCTGGAGATGAGCGCATATCCCAAGTGGGTAGCAGGCTGTTTTTAGCACTTCCGCGCAACCAAGGTACAACTTTATTTCGTACCTACAGCCGCAGGGCCAAACCGGTTCCGAGATGCCCCTTGATTGCGCGTCTCTCTGTCTCTGTATCTGTCTCTGCCTCTCGGTCTCTTTTTCTCTCTCAGCTCTATTCGGACACAAAAGTTCAATCCATACAAGTACAAACCAATCCAATCAAATATCCCCTATCGATACCTTCTCATGCTGTAGACAAGTAAAAGGTGCCATTACATCAACGAAACACAGCACAAGTACCTGACAGCTTACTTCCCGTGCGAATTCCTCTGACCCCATCGACCCACGCATTTTCCCTCACTGCGCCCAAACAGGGGTCGCACGATACTTGACAGGCCAAGCTGCCAGAAGTAGCTCCAGCGCACGTGACAGGCGGTACATGCTACATCTACATGTACGGCCCAGAAGTCCACGATGCAGCCCTTCGGAGCTCGCATGTCTAATCCAACTCGCCGCATGCAAGGAGCCCTTCCAGCAGGGCCAATGGCGCGTGCATGGCTTTGATTCTGTTGAGGTAATTCGTTTCGGCCATTCAATCCCTTGGGTACATGGAAGGGCTGCACACGAGCAGTACCTGGTACCGTGAACTCCCGAGGCCGTCAGACGCCGCATCAGCACTGTGCTCTGTACTCAGTACTTGTTATGGAAGCGTCCGCCAAGTCAACTTTACTGCCAAATGCTGTGCGAGACGCGGCGTTTCAGATGGCCAGGGCACGGCTGCGGCTTCTTCCTGATGTACCAGGTACACGCACTTGGGTGCCCGATAAGCCCTGGTTTGCCTTATACTTTCAAGCTTCGAACCCTGTCTTTTGCCTGTGTTGCCGCCCCACGTCGCGCGAAGCCCATCATCCCCAACTTCTAGAATCGCCTCTCACTCGTCCAGATCTGCTACTACGTATGCGTGGGGGGTGATATTGTCGATGCTTGTGCGCTTTGCCGGATTCCGCATTCTCTCGCATCGCCTCTTGTGATTCTCTCTATTTGGTTTTGATAGCCTACGCGCGCCCACGGAAGCAATGGAAAACAAGGCGCCCACGACTGCCGACAAGGAGGCAGCCAAGCAGTTGGCTGAGGAGGAGCAGGCCCTTAATCTGATGATGCAGCGGCTCAAGCTCCTACACATCAAGGCACGTTTGGTTCATTTGCGCATCGTGTCTAAGCGAGACTAACCGAAACTCCCAAATATAGGAACGCATGCTACGGGACACCATCCCCACGATGCTGGAGCCTCTGGTGCAGAAACATCCATCGCGTAAGGAAGCCCTCCTTTGTTGTTGTCACATATCATGTCACCTCGTTGCGCGCGCGCTGTACTCGTACTAACCCCCCCTCCAGCAGATGTCATGTATGCCGCCTTCATGAAGGCTGTCAATGACGCGCAGGCAAAGATTACCGACTTCACAAACCTCATGAGGGACGAGACCAGCACCGAGGCCTTTGCCCGCGCCAAAAAGAGCAGAGAGGAGAGACCGCTGGGCATCACGCCTTGGAGGCACGGAGATTACCCGGGCTGGTTTGATTTGGATAAGCCCTGGACGGCATAAACGCCATCATGTTTCACATTTGTACACGTCTTCTTTTTTTGTCTTTTTCATGCAGGGAACGCTGGCGAATCGGTTTAATGGAGTAGAGGCGCTGCGGTGACCGTGTTCCTTTGCCAGCTCTCTATACCCGGATGATGTTGCGTGGGTTGGTCTCTGGAACAGACAAGGTTGATTTCGTTTATTCAGGTATGGGTACTTTAGTTGCTGGATATTTTAATCACAAAGGCTTGAATGTGAGCAGTGTTGGTCATGAACGTTAGGAGCTGCGTAAGTGTCTACTCAAGTGACTTTGCCGATGAGATAGGGGTAATAAGCCGAATGGCTTCTACGTTGCCTCTGCCATTGGAACATAGGAGGCAAGTCGTAGCCATACTTTTCTCGCGGCGTGATTCCGTAGAAGAGGGCAATGGATCGGAGCTACACTGATTATTAAAAGTAGATGATGCAGGATTAACGACGAACGATGGCACATATCACACAGATGCCGATACTCCCTTATACACCCCATATGCCGAGCAAAAGCAGCTATGAGAGATTCGGCTTATCCATGATGCTTCAGTAGGGTCAAGTAAATGAGGAGAAGACAGAGCCTTCCTGGATTTGCCATCACAGTTGATGAAGAACAAGCCATCAATCTCAACTCACGAGATGCATTGAAGCCTGCAGCCTCATACCGTCAACTTGCCCATATCCAACATGTCCAGTTTTGCTTATGGCATCGGCTCTAGTCCAACAAGCGCCATTTCTTAGAGGGTCGTCACCAAAGAGAGAAAACCTGTCATCACGTGCACACCAAGTGGGTCATTCACAGCACGCTAGCCGTTCTCTGATTCGCCAGCTTAGCGGGCACAATCTGTTGTTCCGCCCACACAAAATTTCCCCAAATCTCGAAATTCCTCTTCTTTGGTGAGATACTCAGCACAACCACCGAGCATCACCAGATACAATGGCGTCCCACCGAGTCACCTACCGCCGCCGTAACGGGTGAGTTTTCTTCTTGTCGTCGGCCATGGCAAATGCGAATCGAATCGAATCGAATCGAGTTCTCGTCCATGTGTCGTTCCTGCGTGGCCCTGCTTTTGCGACCAAAAATACTGACGGTCGAAATCTCTGCAGCTACAACACTCGCTCCAACCGGACCCGAGTCATCAAGACTCCCGGCGGTGACCTCCGAGTTCTGCACATCAAGAAGCGCGGCACTGCCCCCAAGTGCGGTGACTGCGGCTCCAAGCTCCCTGGTGTAAGTTGTGGCCCTTGAACGAAATTTTGCACGACGGAGGATCGGCGACTGGGGAGGGACGAGAGACGAGGACGAAGAGTACGATGGGACTTAAGAATGTTCTTGGAGATGAGGGGATTGTCGACCCGGAGGAAACCTACCGTCTAAACACCTGCGGAAACAACGAAACGCCCATCCTCGTCCTCTCCATCCGATAATCTCTTCTCTCGCCTCCATCCTCTATCCTCTATCCTCAAGACTCGGACGACCATGATCAACCACAACGAATCAGCAGCTGACCAGCATTGACACATAGGTTCCCGCTCTCCGCCCCCGCGAGTACGCCCAGATCTCCAAGCCCCAGAAGACCGTCCAGCGCGCCTACGGTGGTTCCCGGTGCGGCGGCTGCGTCCGTGACAGAATCGTCCGTGCCTTCCTGATCGAGGAGCAGAAGATTGTCAAGAAGGTGATGAAGGAGCAGGAGGCGAGCCAGAAGAAGAAATAAACGAAAGTTTTTATAAAAAACTACTATGAGGAAAAATTTCGACTGATGGAATTGGCTTTCTGTGCGGGATGGCAAGGAACTCTTGGGGGTTTGGTTCATTGCTTTGGTGTTCATTAGGGCAAAACGGACTGCATGATACATATTGGCCGAGCCGACCCATGGCCGGTCTGCTGCTGTCTTTAGGACTGCTTCCTCTTGGTGATCTAATGGAAACGAACATCAAGTTGGTACGAAATGGCCCTTTTTTTGCAGGAGTGATGTGTACGTGTGAGAGCACCGAGTGGGTGCTTTGGCACTCGTCAGAGTTGTAGAGCCAAATTGCTAAATCTGGCTTCGAAATGCGAATCCAATAAAGTCGATGGTGATTTTTGAGCCCCTTGCGCTAGTAAATTGCCAATTATGCGGATGGCGTACCTTGGCTGTTGGAATAATATTCCATCGTAGAGGCTGCAAGTCACCATGACGTTCGCACATGTAAATTATCACACCCAGCTGCCCCGCGACAGGAAAAAAAACTCCAAGCTCTACACCACTTCTTTACATATCAACCTCGCCAAACCGCAATTGCCTACCACACGTTGAGAGAAGAGCTTCTATATAATAGAGCAACGATGCGCGGGTCATTACGACTCCCGAATGGCCTCCGAGCCGCCCGCGCAAGCGTACGAAGCACCTCAATATTACCTCCACGACCAACAGCTTCAACGAGCGCCGTATCGCAAACAGCAATAAACGCCTCAATCCTACGCAATCACACACTCAATCACACATTCAAATCCTTCCATACGATCCCCAGCTTGTCAAAAAACCGAGACCGAGACGCGATTCCCGACAATTCACACCGGACCAGCTTCAGCGAGCTCGACGTGCTCGGCAGCGTGCCGGTGCCGTCAACCTCGGTGGACGTGTGCATGCACGACGGGTTCGGGCTCAACAGCGGCATCACGATAGCGGGAGGGGACGGGGCTTTGCTTGTGAATGGCGAGGCGTTTGCGTGGCGGCCGTGGGAGGTGAGCGGGAAGATGAAACTTGTCAATGAGAAGGGGCAGTTTGAGGTGCCGGCGGAGGCATTTGGGTTGTTTGACGTGCTCTGGCCAAGACCTGGTATGTCTCTCTCTTTTTTCTTTGTGGCAGGATTCCGTGTGTGTGTGTTTCATTGGGGAGAAACAGATGGAGTTATACGTGTGTGCAGTTTAAGCTAACGACATGTGTTTGTGTGGTTTTTACAGATCTGTTGGTTATTGGAGTGGGCAAGACCAACATGCCGCTGAGTCCACGGACAAGGCAGCATCTTACGCAGCTGGGGATGAGGGTAGAGATGCTTGACACGAGGAATGCGGCGGCGCAGTTCAACTTGCTGGCGACGGAGCGAGGAGTGTCGGATGTGGCGGCGGCTTTGATACCCATTGGCTGGGAGGAAGGATCTGGCGTTGTTTCATGATTGTTGTACGGGAAGTGGTTTGGGAGGGTAGCAGTTGTACTGTACGATATGATGGGTAGCCAATAGAATAAATCGAGCATACAGTAGTTTCCTTGGGTGTCTTTGGTTGTGGTTGTGGTTGTGATGGTGGTAAGAAAATGGCTCTTGGGGACTCGAATTATAGGCACATCCAGGCTTGGAGTCTATCTACCACATGTCTCTATTGTAATTCGTAATTGAACAGGAAGGCCGAGAGCTCAAATTTCAGTTTTGATTTGCAAATATTGGCAACAAATGATGTGATATTGCTATCGACTTAATCTATCCGCATAAAGGCTGGTCAACTCAAATCCGAGGGCGTGGCATGATGGAGTATCACATGGCGATACATACAGCGATTCCCCTTTACAGCCACCAATAAGCCATTCCAAAGTCGCGCAACATATACAAACCACCTGCCAATCCTACACAGAATTAAAAATTTAATTTATGTCTTCAATAAACAAACCAATCACGGTGATTTCTCGTCCATCACTCCCGCCTCAAACAAATTGTCGCGGCTCCAGGGTAAGCCACACAACCTCTCCCTCCAGCTCTTGGCAGTGCGGCTGTCCCCTAAAAAAGTTGCATGGCCAGGGCTCTTTCGTATTTTGCCTTTTCGCGCAATGACGAGCAGTCGTGGGAGCCCGTGACAATTGGTTGGTCACTAAAAATCCCATTCCCATCCCGCCTCACTTTTAATTTTTTTCTTCTAAACCTTTTATCGTCATTGTTGGGATTTTATTCTATTTTTCAGTTCGACAGGCCATCCCTGGAAATTCTTTTTTCTTTTATTTTTATTTTTCTGAGTGCAATGAATCCCGGCTGTCGCCAATCAAGTCTCCAGAGACTTGATTGCCCTCCATCCTGCTGTAAATCTTTTCCTTGATGCGGATTTCTCTGACTCACCTGACTTGACTCTCTCTCTATCACTGGACGGATACCAGCTTTAATTGAGAAACCATCATCACCTTTTCCCTTCTTATTTCTTTTTCCTGTTTCCTGTTGTTTTTAACAAAGACAGAGTTTGCTTGTTGAGCGGGTGGTGTTTCAAGCGGCCGTTGTTTGCCATCACAGGCGACCCCCCCTGTCCCGAACTTCTCTGGTAAATCTCGTCGGCTTTCTTTGTCCGTGCTGCAGCCTTTTTCCCTTGTTCATCGGCTGCGTATCGCGATATAAAAAGGTGGAGCGCCGTTCCTGCATTTGATCCCGGTTCTAGACGATAAGCCTTGGATCTGGCATCACCAGGAATTGGCCTGAGAAAGTCGAACACTAATTGAACTGTTATCGCTACTCACAGATTTGCGAGCCCAATTGCTATTTTGCGCCAATGGCAAAGGCATCGCCAGACTCGCCCCCGCCAGAGCAGTCGCTCTCCGCGGACCCTCACGAGACGGATCCCGCTCTGCTGCAGCATCACTCGCACTTGAAGGCTTACAAGACGAGCCGCTTCGAGTATCCCGAGATCCGCGTCTTCTACCGCCAGCACGTCAAGGCCGACCAGCTGCCCAAGAAGCCGGCGCCGCTGCCCTTGCTGGTGTGCGTTCCGGGGCTGGGGGGCTCTGTCGCGCAGTTTTATCCGCTGCTGAGGAGCTTGATTGATCTGGCGCCGTGTCTGGCGATTGACTGGCCTGGTGGCGGGAGGTCCAAGTTTGCGCCGACGCAATGGGAGGCGTACACTTCGGAGGCGCTGATGGAGCTGTTGGAGGTTATTATTGAGGATTATCGCGACAAGGAGCATGACCAAGGCGTGGTGTTGATCGGTCACAGCATGGGAACTGCGCTGTCGGCTGGCTTGGCGAATAAGAAGCTCCCGCACAAGACGGCTCTTGCCAAGCACATTGTCGGCCTGGTGGCGATTTGCCCTGTATCTGGACCGATGGAGGAAGCTAAAGCAACAATGATCAAGAGGCTCTTTTGGATTCCAGGTTGGATCTTCGGCCTGTGGCGTGCGTGGGATGCCAGGGGAGGACTCAACAGCACGAGCGTCTCACGCTTCGTGGGAGAGGACGCGCCCACTGAGCTGAGGCTCATGCAGTATCGATACAATCAACAGAGCCGAACGCCGGTGTGGAGACGAATGGCATACGGCGCCTTGCCGACTCGTTTCCAGGATGGAAAGGCTATTGGAGGCATTCCTGGACTGGATGCGTGGGCAGGCTTGGATATCCCCGTCTTTCTCATCGGCGGCGAAAAAGACAATGTTACGTCGCCCAAGGAGATTGACAAGATTGCAGCGGCGTTTCACTCGATGGATGACGCTGCAGTTTCGGACGGGACCGAGCAAGCACCGGATGCTTCAGGACCAGATTCGCCCGAGTCTTTGAGCGGCTCAACCCAGCTCGATGCGAATACCAACGGCAATGGCTTGACGGCAGAAGATGCTGACGATACGGACTTTGACGAGAGTGAACGCAACAGTCCCTCAACACCGGTAGAATATCCACCAGACTTACCACCTCAGTCGCAACACCCCATGAGAGCCCTGCGGTCCATCGTCCTCAACGGGTCAGCTAACCACACCCTCCTCTACTCCCCGCGCACTGTCCGGGCTCTCGCCGGCCTCGTGTCGGACTTTCTCGCCGAACACATTACTCAGCGGCTTTCTCTCGCTTGGCAGCTCCAGCACCTCTCGCGCGAGGGTAAATGGGACGTCAAGAACCTCATCAAGTGGCAGGGCGTGAAGCCCGTTTCCGAACCTATCGGGCCCCCAGGCAAGCCCGTCTTTCGTGTTATTAAGACGCTTCGTGAAGTTGATGATGTGCATTGCCCGACGGTGTTTGCTGATAACTGGGGGAACATCATCAAAGATGTCATTGACATCTCCAAGGACCAACCTGTATACGACCCGCGCGGTCTTGAACGCCGTGGCATTCATTACCATAAACTCCCAACAGTGTCGAAGATCCCGCCTGATGGAGATACAGTCGAACAATTCATCAAACTAGTCGATTCCGTCCGCGAAGCACAGCGTGAACGTGCCATAGCAGAAGGATGGGCCGATCCGGAGCAGTGCGTCGTAGGAGTCCATTGCCATTACGGATATAACAGATCTGGATACTCTGTCGTATGCTATCTGGTGGAAAAGTGCGGGTTTGCTCTGGCGGATGCGATTGAGACGTTTAAGACGGCGAGGCCGAATGGGATTCGGCACTCGCACTTTTTGGATAAGTTGTATATGCGGTATGATCTTGAGGAGAGGGCCATTGAGAATTGAGACTTCTTGGTGCTTCCTCTTCTTATTTGTTTTGGATTTGGAATTTTGGAATATGAAAAGGTTTTCGCCGGCTATGAATGGGATGGAATAGATGGAATAGGTTATATGGGAGCTGGTAATTAAGGCGTCTAGCGGATGGAATTTGGGGGAATATGAAACATGATATCCTGGGTGTATTTGTACTAGCTATCAAACCAAAACTCTTTCTAAAAAGAAGAAGAGAGAACAGAGATGCTATGCTCATTGCTATATGCGAAACAATCTATATGGGAGGGTAAATAATACGCCGAAGCCGTCAACTAAAAACTCATGTGCCAGAGTAAACAACCAAGAAGAAAAGAGAGCAAAGCCATCTATCTAGCTTTCTACTCTAACAACCAAAAAAAACAGCGTTCGTAAATCTCTAAAACTCAAATCTCTTGTGCGTGATAGTGCTCTACGCCGCTCATCTGCTCGACTGCCATACTCTGCGCAGCTTCGCCGGGCTTCTCCGTCTTCGCCCTCAGCTCCTTGGTAATCTCCTCAACGTCCCCCTCGATATCGAGATAGCGTCTCAAAAACTTGCCGACATCGGTGTTCTCGACGTTTCCACGAATCTTTTCCGTGCCGGGACCTCCAGACGAGTAAATGTTGACGTCGACGGCAGTGTGCCCGTGGGTGCTCCAGCCGACGTGGGCGCGCAAGGAAATCATGGCGGAGAGGATCTCGAGGGAAGCCTCGGTATTGTCAGCCAGGGACTCGAGTTCGTCGTCGGAGGCGTTGGAGATGCCGAGGCCGGGGACGACGAGCTCCTTGTTGATCCACTTCTTGAGGTCAGCCTTGGCCTTTTCCCTCTTCTCCTTCTTCTTGTCCTTGGAGGCGGGCGTGACGGATGCTGCGTGGGAACGGAGCTTGGCGGCGAGGAACTCGGCCGAGGAGGTGGCCCTGGCGAGGGCGCGAGGGTACCAGTTGTACACTGGCAGATGGCCGGGCTCCTGGATGGCGGTGGCGAGGCCGCCGGTTTCGTGGTCGCTGGTGGCTACGAGGACCGTCTCCGTCTTGCTATCGGCGATGAAGTCGAGGACGGCCTTGAACGTCTTGTCGTACTCGAGAACCTCGCGGACCTGAGCAGCAGGGTCGTTGAAGTGACCGGCATGGTCGATGCGGCTGCCCTCAATCATGAGGAAGAAGCCCTTGTCCGAGTCCTTGGTTGCCTTTTCGAGAGCTCGCAGGGCGGTGGTGGCCATCTCGCTCAAGCTGGGGTAGACGTCGTGCTGCTTCTGTCTATCAATCTCGAAAGGAACGTCTCGCTCGGCAAAGAGACCGAGGAAGGGAAGCTTGACCTTGTCGCCGCCGTCGAGAGCGTCAAAGCCCTGGCGGTTATCGGTGTAGGTCCAGCCGTGCTTCTCCTGAGCCAGACGTGTGACATCCAACTCATCCTCACGGCATCCACCCTTGCTGCTGTTGGGAAGGAAGTGGCAGCGGCCACCACCGAGCATGAGATCAACTGAACGGCCTAGCACGCCCTCTCCGATTTCCTGGAGGGCAATCGAGTCCTCCATCTCTCGCCTCAGGACGTGGCTGACGAAAGTAGCGGGCGTGGCATCCGTAATGTCTGTTGTGACGACCAGTCCCGTTGTGTATCCGACCCTCTTGGCCGCCTCCATGACAGATCCGCATGGCTCAAAGTCGGGTAGGACTGAGATGGCGCCGTTGTAGCTCTTGAGGCCGCAGGCAAAGGCCGTGGCGCCGGCAGCGCTGTCGGTGACGAGGGAGTTGCTGGAGCGAGTGCGGCTGGTGCCCCAAAAATGCTGGTCCAGGACGAGCGTGTCGTTCTCGGGGAGATTGTTGATGTACTGGCGGTAGCTTCGTGTCAAGGAGAGCGATGCCGGTCCCATGCCGTCGGACACCATGAAGACCAAGTTGCGCTTGGGAGCGAGAGTATTATTCTCATCGTTGTGGCCGGTTTGAGCGTCATGCTGGATCCAAACAGCAGCGACGATGAAGGCGGCAGTGGCAAGGAGGCCCCAGGCGAAGAAGGCAATCTCGCGGATGCGTGAAGAGCGCAAGGCAGCCTTTGCCTGGGCGGCTTCGGCCGACTCGCCGCGGTTGGATAGGAGAGGATGGCGTTCGGACGGCTGGCATTCGCTGGAGTTAGCACTTTAATGTTATCTCTTCAGCACGCAGAGAGTCACTGACCATTCTGTCCAGCCTGATGAGTTTGATGGGCTTTACTCTGCTGGAGACTGCAGTGAAATCTCCAGGTTGAAGCCTTAGGGCTAGTGGGAGCAAGGAGACGGAGTTGAATGGACGGACGGGATCCAAGGACGGACGGGATGGATGCGTCACAGTCACAGGCCAGCGCTATAGCTATAGCGGGTTGCTAGCGGCGAGAGCCCTATAAATTGCAGCTAAACCCTTGCACGGGTGCGGTGGGGCGCTGCCGCCGGCCCAAGACAGATGGAGGTCGCGTGCCAAATCGATAGGAGTTGAGCAGCGCTGCGCTGAGTCGGTGAATCAGTTGAGGCTGTGATGATCTCAGGTAAGTTGTCCCTGTGACTTGATCCGCTTGGTCACGTCACGCCCATCTCGATCTGCGCCGGAGGACGAGAGGAGAATAAATGACATTGGATGGACATGATGAAGTCTTTGCTCGATGGGGCATTTCATCGATACTTAAGCTCCGGGACATCGGCGGGTCTTGCATCATGTATGCACTTCCGTTTGGACGGGCGACGATTGGCTGGTGAGCATTACTAAGGGGTACATACATATTGAAGTCGTTGAGCCCATATCATGAATTGATCTGTGCTGGATTACTGTACACTGGATTACATGTACTCTCCCTTTCTGCTCTTGTCTCTCTCCCGGCTGCTCCTCATTGGCGCGGCACTTGCAATCCGGGGTTGGTGGGCCTCGATGTTACGTTGTTGATATCACTAAATATGTATCAAGTATTTACTTTGAAATCAATTTTTATTTTTTACGTTTCTATGATTTGCTTACGGTTATTTAGACGCTACTGTTCTGTGTCCCCTACTTCCCAGTATAGAGAGTGACTTTTGATGAACTTTGACGGAGTATAAAATACACAAATCCGCAACACAGCCTCCAATGCCTTGGACTGTCATTTCAACCTGATGAGATGCACTTACTCTAGACACTAAGCTCCGCAGAGCTAGAGCCCTTGATGTACGCCGCATATGGCGCCAGCGCCTTTTCAACAACGCCCCCAGGACCGCAATACTTGTCGACAATCTCCGCACTACGGCCAATGTAAAGGTCTGCCTTGAGCATGCCATGGATATCACCCCAAATGGGCTTGAAGAATTCGTTGTTCTGGATGCGTGATACGAGATCATTGGGCTTGCCCTCGTTCTTCACAACGCTGCCAGCTTGGTTCGAAATGACACGAATTTGCTCGTGTGTCCTAATTAAACATTAGTAACAACAAGCCCCCAAAATAATTGGCCACTTACTCCTGTCTCGATGCTCCTTGAGCAACCATTCTCATGATAATGGTCTCTGTGATCATGAAAGGAAGCTCTTCCTGGACCCGAAAGGCAATACGGTTAGGGTAGACCACCAATCCACTTGAAATGTTATCCAGTCCAAGGAGAATTGCATCGGCCAGCAAAAACATCTCTGGGATGTCGATTCGGCGGATTGCGCTATCATCAAGGGTCCTTTCCATCCATTGGTCGGACAGAGTGTTGGCGAAGCTGGCCGGCTTAGACATCAACTCGCGCGCCAAACTGTAAACTCTCTCGGACCGCATTGGGTTAACCTTGTATGCCATGGCAGAAGATCCAATTTGAGACGACTCATGAGGCTCTTCAATCTCCTTCCATGTGGCCAAATGCCTCAAATCTCCCGTGATCTTCTGGGCTGTCGCACCAAGACCCGCGACGGCGTTGGCAATGATCAAGTCCACCTTGCGGGTGTAGGTCTGAGTAGACACGTCATAGCAGCCTGGGAAGTCAAATCGTTTGCAGAGAAGCACATTCAGCTCGTCACATTTCGCGGAGTCGCCCTGGAAGATTTCCAAGAAGGAGGCCTGAGTACCAGTCGTTCCTTGTGCGCCTCGGAATTTGAGTTCACTACGAACTTGCTCGATAGTATGGAGGTCAAGCATAAGATCTTGCGCCCACTGGGCCGCGCGCTTTCCGACAGTGATCAACTGGGCCGCCTGAAGGTGCGTGTATGCAAGAGTAGGTTCCGCTAAACTATGATTAGCAAGAGCCGTTTCGGTCACACCCTCGTAGAATGCCAGAACTCGGCGTGTCGCCCTCCAAACACTCACCCTTCCACTTGACTGCAAAGGATGACAGGTTTGAGATAACCTTGGCCAGTTTCTTGGCAATAAGATCTAGGGCATCGCGCATAAGAATAAGTTCAGTATTGTCAGTGACGAAGCAGCTTGTGGCACCGAGGTGGATGATGCCGGCCGCAGCTGGAGCAACAACACCAAAGGCGTGAACATGCTACTCAGAATTAGATATATGAGCCATTAGAGGCCGCTAGACCAGCTATCGGCGGGCGCCTTACCGCCATGACATCCTAGATGGCTCGTCAGCAATGGATTGTAACACAAATATATGAAGTGGGATTCTCACATGTCTGCGAATCTTCTCTTCGATTCGAGCAATTTCAAACTCGTCATCTGTAACCACAAGGTGGGCCTTCATTTGCTCAATGGCTTCCGGAGTGATGGTGTTAATCCCGAGCTCCTTTTCGCATTCAGCAAGATGGAACCACAACCTTCGCCATGTCGAGTGTCTTGAGCGCTGACTGAACAGCTTCGACATGGCGGGGCTGCAGTAGCGAGTGGTGAGAGACGTCTGATAGGCATCAAAGGCAGAGCTGCCCTCCGCCTTGGAGCCTTGTTCCTTAGTATTGGCCGCCATCTTGAATTCCCTGGTTGGTGAATTATAACAATTGAAGTTTGTTATAGCTCCGATACAGGAAGAAACAAAAAATTTCACAGTTCTAGCAAAAGTCTACTATAGCAAAAGTCTGCTCCGCTTTTGTTCCGATCCAACCCTATCTGCTTATCGCTACTATCACGTGACCCAGATTCCTGGTGTTTTAGCGACTTGAATAGCAAACAATGGATGTGACGACGTCTTCTCTAAGAGACAGTCGACGACATGCTATAGTAGACTAAATAAGGTATTGAGGTTGGGTAATTAAAAGCCATTGACAAATTGATTTGCAGAATCTGCTAGATTTAGAGTAGCTATTTCGTGCGTACCTAGATATTGGCTGAGATACAGTCACTCGACTCTTTGGGTTTAAGGAATATAGTTGGTAATGGAGATACTCTTGGGAAGGTGGTTCTTCCACAAGGTCCAGTGTTCCTACTACATGTAGTGACTACCTACTAAAGATTCTCTCCTCATTTTCGACTTCAATCTGCCAACTTCTACACGTTCTCGCAACAATATGACAGCTGAGCTTTTTGCTTACACGCACCTTGGAACCAAGAATCGAGACAACTGGGCGACTGTATGTGATTAGGCAGGCGTGCATGCATCACTGGTTGGTTACATGGATTGACTCTGGCCCTCCCTATTTCCCGCCGCCTCAGGGCAACCAGGTGGTGCAAACATGCCATCCACAGCCTGTGCACTGCCAGGGCGCCTTGTGTGGCATCCTGCGGGAAGAAAAGACGAACAAAGCATGCCGCGTGTTACAGCTGTGGGAAGGGAGATGTGCTGTTCGACAGGCAGCATCTGGTCTGGGATAGGTTCCCTTACGAGCAAATACCACACGAAGCCCTCGTTGAAGCTCGCGTTTGTAGTCATCACACGATTTCACAAACTGTCGATATCAACCTCTTGTGCCCTCTTCTTTCTCTCTTCCCATCTCATCTCGAAAGACACTTGACTGAAGCATGACCGAGCAAGACGCGCAAGACACGCAAACCTTGGTGGCTTGCGCTGCTGTTTTGCCCCATATCGACGACAAACCCGACTGACGGTGTTCACGAACACGTACGTTCGAGTCAGATTGCAAGAAGCAAAGCGGTACGTGTTGCAATCGTTCAGTCGACGAGCTGGACGGCCTCAACTATAAAGACCAGAGATGAACACCACTCGGAAAGGAAAGGCGTCCTTTCAATTTCGACAATCCATACCATGTGCACATACATCTTGATCTTATACCACTGCGGATGCTACGGGTCCATTACATGCCATACTTCCTGTTCTCAGATCATGTCCGAGATCCATCGAATCAACGAACCGGAGGCTTGGCAAGGGGAAGGGCTCAACCAACTGCCCTTCCAGATGGACGACGACTGTGGGCCGTGGTGGCATAACACGATTGTGGTGCAAAGAGCGGCCTTTTGCGACCAGTTTTGGGAGAACCGCTGCCCATCTGAGCAGAGGGCGGCTGCGTGGCCGGGGTATAATTAAGCCTACGACCCCTGAAGGACAAACAAAGAAATGGAAGGAAAATTAAAGTGAAGAAAGAAGAGACCCCCCCGAATTGTCTGGAAACCCGTTGTGTTTGCATCTGAGAACAGTTGCTGTGTTTGGAAACTCTCACGACGCCAAAGTGTCATTGCAAGCGTGTAGGTGCCTTGCTAGCATGACCCCTGAGACGACAAACCCCCTTTTGGCAGTGACTGACTTGTTTCAGTTTCATGTCGAATTGCAAAAGAAGCTCAGAAAAAGACTTTGCACAGGGGGGTTCATTTTGCATGTGGCCCACGACGTCATGCAGGATCCAGATCGTGGCGAGAGAGAAACACTTTTCATCTGCACTCTTATCTTGGAGATGCTGCATTGGGAGCTGGAGCTGGTTTGGGCCAATTGCTGCGCTGTGCATTGTCCAGTCTGGCGCATATGCAAGCCGTCGGGAGCTGAGGCCCTGCTGTGACGCCTCAACGGCGGCTGCTTTCAAGCCACAAGCAACTCCTGCATCCAGTCTTGAGCTGAGCTGAGCTGAGCCTGTCAGAGACAAATGGAACTGAAGCCCCAGCGGCTATTCGCGATGTGGCTTGATCTGGTTTGACCTGGTGTTTTAACAGGCTGGGCGCTAAGCTCCCCCAGAAGCTCGAATCTCCAGCGACTGCTTTTAGTGCTTGTGGCCGGCTGGCTCCGGATTTACAGCACAGGCGATGCTAACCCCCCAAACACCTAAAACGCCGAAACAAACCCCCGTGTCGTCTCACGTCCGTCTAGATGGCGGCGCTGAAACGATTCGCGTTGGACAAGGACGGTGACGGCCCAATTGCACCCCGACGAAGCGTTTCGTTTTCAAAGGACCAGGATGGGCTTTGCGGCAAAGGCACCCAAATGGCCACATGGTCCGCCACCAGGCGCCGACAAAGACCCCGAGCCGCGAAATGAAGGGGATCAAAGAAATACGCTCTTTGTCGGATCGAGCCGACAAAGGACGATGCTGCAGCCGCGGTTCGCGTGTGTCTTGGCGAATGTGACCCTGGACGAGCAGACCCTGGATTGGACGAGCACTAGCGGCAACTGAACACTATGGGCGAAATGGATCAATGGATATATAAAGCGACGGCGCGGTGCCGAGTCTTGGGAGGGGATTCTCGAGTTCTGGCAGTTGCTCTGAATAGCTTCACTTTGCGTGCTGTGCTCGCTTCCTTCTTTTTTTCTTTCCCTTTTTTCTTCGTTCCTTTCGATTCTTGCCTTTGACGAGGCCATCTGCTGTGCAGATTTTTTACAACGTTCTCTTCGTAAAAAAGCCCATCTTTCTCTACTTCTAAGCCTCTCCTTTCCTGGTCCTTTGAGATATCATTCTTTATTATACAACACTCTTTACTGAGCGAAAATGATTTCCAAGACGACTTTTGCCGTGCTCTTTGCAGCCCTTGCTGCTGCTGGCCCCATCCAATTCCGAGAGGTGGCCTCTCTGGACCCAGCTGCTACCGCTGAGGCCCATCCCAGGGACGACACTGCCACCCGTGCCTTTTCCAATGTCCAGATCAAGACCTCTGATGGCAAGTGTCTGAGCGTCGACCCCCTCTCTGGAGATTTCCGAGCCAACTTGACGCCCATCCAAATCACCGACTGTGGCAGCAACGATGCCCAGGGCTGGGACGTCATCACCTCTGGCGTCCACAACGACCAAAAGGGCGAGGCCCTGATCGTGAGCACCAAGACGCAGGCCTGCTTCAACTTTGACCCTCGACGTGCGGCCGGAAACCAGGTCCTGCTCTTCTCGTGCGGTGGACGAGCTGATGGCAGCGGACAAGTGACCAACTCTCAGCTCTTTGCCTTTACCGGAGGCAATGGCCCGCTGAGCTTCGCCCCTGGCAACGATCCCACAAAGTGCTTTGCTGCCAAGGGCAATGTGATTGACATTGCCGACTGCAATGCCAACGATGCTACCCAGAAGTTTACTTTTGGTGGTGCTGCTGCTGGAGGCTCTGGCAATGACAGCAACAACAGCTCTGCCGCCGCCAGCTCAGCTGCTGCCACCTCTGAGGCTGCTGCCTCTTCCACCTCGGCTGCTGCTGTGACGAGCGCTGCTGCTGCTGCTTCTTCTGCGGCCCCGGCGAATGACGAGAATGCTCAATGCTCTGCTCCCAAGATTGTTACCGTCACTGACGTTACCACTGTCACCGCCGGAGCTCCTCCTCCAGCTGATGCCACTCAAACCGCGGAGGCTGCTGCTACTACTTCTGCTTCTGCTGCTGCCACCAGTGACGCAGTTGTTGTCAACCCAGGCGACGGCAGCTCCCAGACGACCGCCGCTCCTCCTCCTCCCGTCATCACCGGAAACCCAACGACCCCCGTGCCCGTCTCGGGAGCTGGAGGCACCCTGAACCCTTCTGCCGTGGCCGAGGCCCAGGCGTTTGATGCCAGCGCTGTTCGACCCCTGGAGAGTGTCAACATCCGAGCCGCCGATGGACGCTGCTTCTTCGTCAACCCCACGGCCGGTGATTTCCGTGAGAACCTGATCCCCGTTGGACTGGCCACCTGCAGCGAAGACGCCAGCCAGAAATTTGACGTTGTCACCAAGGGAGTCCACGACGATGCTCAGGCTGGCGAGGCGCTGCTTGTCAGCGTGCTCACCAACGGCTGCATCAACTTTGATGGCCGCAGAGCCGCCAACGACCAGGTCATCATGTTCTCTTGCGGTGGACGCGCCGACGGAAGTAAGTCATTGACATCATTCCCCCCACCCCATCTCGGTGATCTGCTCGATCCACCCGATCTAAGGGCATGCGAGTTATCGTGTTTGTACCGTTTTAGTTTCACAAGAGATCAGATGCTAACAATGAACTCAACAGGTGGCAAAACCGCGACTTCGCAGCTGTTCCCCTTCAAGGCGGGCGACAACAACATCGTCCTTACTCCCGCCTCAGCCACCAACACGACTTGTTTGGTTGCTGGCGCTGACCGGGTGGAGTCTGCGCAGTGCAGTGGCCAGAAGGATCAGACCTTTGAACTGGTGGAGATTCTGTAAGAAAACATGTGAGAGTGAGAGTGAGGGTGAGAGTGAGGGTGAGGGTGAGGGTGAGAGTGAGAGTGGCTCGTTTCACGGAGAGCCAGGGGGAAGTTTTGGATCAATGCATTGGAGTCGAGTCAGCCGCTAAGGCACAGGCACAGAATTGGAGGATGAAGGGCTTTTTCACTGTATAATATGTACTACTTACTACTGCTGTACTGTAGAACGTTGTCTCTCTTTCTTAGTCTCGCCGTTGATCACGATGACGAGATGGGATATTCATTTTTTTAACGACCAGCAATGGATGGACATGCAGAATCAATTCCCAGCTTTTGTAGCTTGTAAACGTGAAATCATGGAACGCGGAACCAATTGCCGCATCAATGCCTCATCTCGGGCCGTGATTGGCCAGCGCCGCTAGATCATCGCTAGAATAACGTCACTAAGATTGGCCTAGAACTTTTGGGTGGCCTTAGGGGCTTTGCCTTGCTTGTACTATTATTGTTTCGAAGCGAACATGCCCTGGGTCAGCCTCCATGCTAATAATACCTCTGGGTTATTAATCCCGTTTCTCAATAAGATGACACGATCCGGCTGGCGATGCGGTGAATGCAGCTTCTTTATCTTTGTTTGTCCTTGAGGGAGCGAATTTGGATGGAAGACAGATAAGCGGCGAGTTTTGACGCAGCGACAGTTGCGTATGAAGCCCAACGAACGACGATAGCAGCATCGATATCGCCCATCGCCATCGCCGTTATCTAGAGCGACGCGAAGAAGAAGAAGAGAGCTGGCGAATTCTTTCTCTCTCCATCCCTTGAATTGAATATTATTCTCGACGGGATTCTCGCAAGCCGCCATGGAGCCCATCCACGAGGCCGAGGCCAGCAGCGTCTCTCCGCCTACGAGGCCGGTCTTTAATCGAGTCCACTACGACCTCAGTCTCGACACAAACTCTCCGACTTCGCCTCCCCAGGCTGATGTGCAGCGCCTCTCGCGCTCCGACACGGCGGTTCACCGCGAGCCGTTTTCGCCGTTGCGCCGTCGACGAAGCACTCGTGTCGCGACCTTTAGAACCATTGACGACACCGACGACTTCGATTTCGATGCCACCTACACAGAGCGTCCAGGCTGGCAGCCGGGCTCGGAACCTGGGTTCGATCCGAATTTGCCTGATGGCGGGCATGCTTCGATGCCGACGCTGAGCGCGCCGTGCGAGATTACCGTTGTGGACTTTTCAAAGGACAGGATGGCTAAGAAACACTTCGATAATGATGGCTTTGTGTCGTTTCTGACGGAGCCCAAGGAGGAGTGGGCAAAGTGCCGTTGGATCAATATCAATGGGCTCTCTTGGGATGTGATTCAGGCGGTTGGCGCGCATAAGGGCTTGCATAAGCTTGCGCTGGAGGATATCATGAATATTAGGAACAGGACCAAGGCCGACTGGTACCCGAGCCACGCCTTTATCGTCATGACGCTGCAGAAGCTGGTCCATCTTGTTGACGAGGACGACGACTCTGACGTGAGCAGCCTCTTGTCGTCGCGGTCTACGTCGAAGCTCAAGAACTTGTTTCGTGGGTTTGGCCGCAGCAAGGAGAGCAAAGTTCCTGGGTCGGGCTCTTCGTCGGACCCTGAGAAGCGGACTGTTACAAAGTGCATGACGGAGCTGTCTGAGACGCCGGAGCTGCATGAGACGACCATGATTCGGTCGCTGCAGCGGTATCATGCTTCGGGGAATGAGATTCGAACGGAGTACATGGAGGCGAATTCGATTCTTGCGCCGCTCAACTTGGCTGTTGCGGCTGAGCAAGTGTCCATCTTCTTGACGGCCGACAACACTGTTATTTCCTTCTTTGAGGTTTCTGCTGGAGACGTTGAGAGGCCCATTGTCACCCGTCTTAGCAACCCGGGTACGGTCCTGCGTGAATCCTGCGATGCCTCACTGTTAGTTCAGGCGATCATTGATGCCATTATCGATCTCGCCATTCCCCTGACAGCTGTCTACAACGACGTGCTCGGCGATCTGGAGTTGGACGTGCTCACTTCGCCCAGCATCAAGCAGTGCAAGGACCTCTACATCTGCATCAGCGAAATCAACAAGATGCTGCGCTTCCTCAACCCCATCGACAACCTCGTCAACGTCCTCCGCGACCACCGCACCTCCCTAACCCACGAGCAAGCCGTCCTCGAGCTCGAGAACCCGGCCAGCGGCGTCATCGTCACGCCCATGACGCACACGTACCTGGGCGACGTGCTGGATCATTGTATTATTATCACGGAGGCGCTGGAGCAGTGCAAGCAGAGCAGCGAGAATTTGATTAATCTGATTTTCAACACGATTTCGGCGAACCAGAATGAGAGCATGAAGCAGTTGACGACGGTGACGATTATCTTTTTGCCGTTGACGTTTATTACGGGGTTCTTTGGGCAGAATTTCCCGCCGGATGGGTTTCCTGAGATTAATAATGGGATATGGTACTTGTGAGTTTCCCCCCTTTCGTTTGCACTGTTGTTTATAGGGATGGAAGCTAATGGAGAGATGTTTTTAGCTGGGCTTGTGCTGTTCCAACGGCGTTTGCGACGGTGCTTATTCTCATGCGCGAAATGATTTATGCGTGGTTCGTGCGTGTGATTCAGAGGAAGAGGGTGTTGAGTAACAGGAAGAGGAACAAGGCGAAGAGAAAGACGAGGTGATTTTGGGATATGACAATTCTTGCTCTATGTTTGAGGAGAAAAGGTCGTCTTGTTGTGGATAATAGTGGAAAATGTCGAGATACCCTTGAATGCTATCCGTCTTGGTATATATATGCTTTTGTTAATCATGATTCTTTTACTTCTATTATGTGCATAACATTATCTTGTAGGAGGGCGATGAGAATACCCATCATAGACCAAAGGAGATAAGAAACCTCATAATCTCATTACATTACACTGAATAGCCAACAACCCGTTCAGACAACATACCGCTCCTCATCAAGCAGCGTCTTCTCTTTCCAACTCTCCTCCACCCACTTCTCGCTCACCAACCTTGGCATCTTCCGCCTTGAACTCAATCTCGAGCGTAACTTGTCGCCCACATCCCCGATCTCCATCACATCGTCTCCCAGAACAACAATATGCGTGACAGTCTCGTCGTCTAGCTCCTGGCTGCACGATCCACCGCCATATCGAACATATCGCTCCCATTTATCCTTGGTATTCTCTTTTGCACCGTCAGCGAGGTAAAAGAGCACTCTGCAGCGTGAAAACATAAAGTTTCGTAGCGTGGTGACGTCTTTGCCGTGCTGTTCTAGCTGTTCTAGAAATAGGACCTTGTCAAATGATTCCATTCTTTCGAGTTTGGGCATGTCGCGCAATAGTTCTCGTAATTCGTCTACGCTTACATCTCGTGCGTAGCTGTCGCCAAATTGATCTGTATTCTGCGCCGCGGCATCGATCAAGGCATCTGTCGCATGAAATAGATGACTCTCCTCATATGGGAGCAGGAATCCTCCGTTGGGCTGCTCCAGACAGTCCTTGATCCATCTCGGCCGGATAATGTCTACCTCTCCGTCCTTGATTAAACTGGCGACCTTGACTACCTTCTTGTCACCAATGAGAACCATTTTTGTGCCTGCGGCGGCCCTCTGTGAGATGGAGCCGCCGTTTTCCTTGATGATTGATTCTAGCTGCGTTTTTGTCTTTTTGTATGGTTTCAGGGACTCGGAGAGCACGCAAAACTCGAGACCTTCAAATAGTTTTGACTTGTCGCCTTCGTATTGAGGAGGTGCTGCATCATCGCCCGCAATGACGAGCTCCTTCTTGATTCGCTTTGGATTTCGTCTTCTGCGATCTTCTACCGTCATCTCAATCGCCTTCAACTCGGTTTCTACCCTCTGTTTGAGCTCTTGAAACTCCTCTAGGGATAATGCCGTGTCCCAGCTGCGGTCGAGTCGTAGCCTTCGGAACCGAGGGAATCTCAATGTGAAGCCTCGAGCGAATTGATCCGAAGGACCAACGCTGGCAGCCTTGACAGAGACTACAACTGAATCTTTGGGTCGAATCCACATGTCGGGCCGTTCGTACTGTTTGGCTTCGCCACCGCCCAGCTCAATGTACTCTGAAGGCGGGTTTTTGGGATCCCATTCCATCCATTTGCCGTCAGTGCGATGCCGAATCTCGGCATAGTCCTCTGTTCGAAAGCCGCCGCCGACTTTGAAGAAGCTGAAGCATTTCTCCGGGTTGGCACCGGCCTGAATGTGGTTCTGAGTGACGCGGAGACCGCACAAATAACTCGACAATATTCCTCCTCTTCTTCCCGAGCCGTAGTAGCCACCAATAATGACACAGTCGAGCGACTCGCCGAATTCTGACATGTACTCGGGCTTCACCTTTAGCCAGTCATCGTTGCGGCTGTTTAGACGATACATGGATCGTGGATTCTTCAAGACGAGGCCTTCTGATGCGTTGGCAACCACTTCTCTCAAAAGCGGCTCAATGGCATCGGCTGACGTTGCCTTTGTGTATTCGTGAACTTCCAGTCGTCGATGTACTGATTTGACTGCCTTGCTCAGAGCGTTCCGGCGATCGCGCAAGGTATACTGGGTCAATTGTTTGTCGTTTAGGTACAGTATGTCAAATACTCGAAACAAGGGGCGGTGGCCGGCCGCATTCGAGTCAGACTTGTTGTTTTGCTCCGCAATAGCTGCCGACTTTAGAGTACCAAAGGGAACAATCTTGTCAACGCCCATGTCCCAAGTGATCATCTCGCCATCCAAAATCAGGTTCCGAACGCCAGGCGCAAAGGCATTCTTTAAATGTCTCGTCAAGCTAGAGTTTTCATCAAGCAGACCGTTGCCATATAGATAGGTATAGTCCTTGGCCTTTCTCGACCAGAAGCAAAACCGTCGCCCTCCTGGATGGCTGGGATCCTCCATCATGTGCATCTGCATGCGCTCACCATCCAGCTTTTCCTCTATCCAGAATTCGGCGTCATCCTCCGTCGGTCGCAAGAGTTCAATCATCTTTTGGAACGAGGCTGGCATTTGGAATTGGGCGAGCTGTGGTTGGAGGCACTGCATCAGTGTAATACCCGCCTCGTCCTGTTCGAGTCTAAACTCGGGATCGTAGAGTTCCCAGCATACGCGTTTGAGACTTGACGACACGCTGAAGAGAGCCTCGCCATCGGGGTGCCACAGATACAGAAATGTCTTTTCGGTAGCGCCCACCTTCATCTGCTTCAGAATGATGCGAATGAGCCACATAAGCTCTTCCGCATTCATGCGATTGTAAAACGTTTCGAAGATGGCAAGGTTCTCGGCTTCTCCGCTCGAGGCAGCCAGCTTGTCTAGTTGGTGGTTGACCTCTGCAATTGTCATGTCGCCCACCTGGGTGCGCATTGGCCGTTTCGAGATAACTTCGAAGCATCGGCCGGCGAAGTCGCCAGCCAGACGTGCCCCGGTTGTCTGACCCGGCAGCTTCCAGTGCAAGAGATTGTAGCCGTCCTCGGAGTTTTTGTCAATCTTCATCAGCTTGACGAGAAGCTTCCCTATAGCATTCTCTTTCAGGCCGTAGACGCCGCGATCACGGTCCTTGTCTGGTAGGATGAGGCGCAGAGCAGGATAAAAGTCATCGCCGACTTCCTTTCTCCATCGCGTGATGAATCTCTCGACAATGTGTCGCCTCTGCTCCTGTGGTGATAGCTTGGCCAGTCCATGAGGGCCCTTTTTGCTGGCAGGCACCGATCCGCCAGCGGGCTGCTTCTTGTTGTCATTCAATGGGTTGAAGAGGTCCCTGAACAGCTCCGAAAACTTGAGCGTCCTGGAATGATTCCTCGGCTTATGGGGATATCTTGACCAGTGTCAGGTGTCAGGGTCAATAACAAATACAGACAGCAAACTTACTTTTCAGCCAATTCTTCCTCCGTCATCCCTCCTGTGCCATATTGAAGGTCATCTTCTCTCAGCGCATCCTCATTGGGAGTCTTTTGCTCCTTGGCCGACCATTTGCTCATGTCGCGCCACGCTGAAGTTGATCGATTGTTATAGTGGCTTATAGCGTATGGCGTGTTGCGCGTAGCTGTTGAACAAGTTGTCACCGCCTAGAGAGATTGCAATTGTACGGAAGAGAGTGAATACGTGAAGGATTGAGCGTGAATCAAGATGAGTCGCGTCTCTGCTTCTCACAGCTTATTATAGCCGGCTTAAATACAGCTGCATTTACTCTGTAGTGAAGGTGAAGTCATTAGTAGAGCTGCTGTTGGAATTGTGGAGCTAGAGGCTGTTGCCTGCATGGCAGCCACAACTTTAATGGGGCTCAGCTGCTTATGTAACGATACCTCGGTACTTCTACAAGGCATCCAATGCACAACATCTCGTGGCCTTCGACAGCTTCACCTTTCGCAATTATTGCTCCTTTGGGCCTCTCCGGAGTTTGAATGGCTTTTCCCCGAGACAATTGCACAGAATCGTGCAATGAATGACACATGCAACATGACACACGACACATTGACATGTGCGCCTTGGTCGGCAACAAGACCCGATCCAGCTGCTTGGTTGGTATCTCATCTTCTCAGCCTTTCAAAACCACAGTGTCTCTCCACTTCACCGAATGAACTAAACATTGGATAAATCGGGACTCATCTTGACTAATCAGCAGTCATGTCAAAGACGACATATTACCATATGAGCAGCCGTCAAAAACTCAGCGCCGCCAAGATGAACCACTTGCAGGTACAATCCCTCATGGAAACATGACACTCGTGGTCAGTGCAACTCGATCGCGAGGGCAGCACAAGGTGACATGCCGCTATTGTAACCGCCTCTTTTCTTTCCTTCAAACCTCTACACTTGGAGCCTTTGAGCCCAGTGGTTCCTAGCTGTCGACATGCAAACTAGAAGAGAGAAGGAGATATCTGCCAGTTGGCAGGGGGGCATTGTTCCTTCCAGCGTGCTATACAGAGCGTCTTCCTTTCGGAAAGCGCGTACCCAGAGGGATGTCTATACTGGGATGGACACCTAGTCAATGTTTGCTGTCTTCCTCGAGCTCTCACAGACACCACAGGAGGCGAGAATACCAATATCATCACACTCGCTACAACGCCTTGCCTGGCCAAAGTACATTTACAAAATTCTCAAACTCTACACTCGTTACAGCTTCATCTTCATAGCATCTCTTCCAAACTAACGCTTTCAATCGACAAGCAATCATGGCGGACGAAACTGTTCAGGATCAGGCTGTCAGGGAGCCCAGCTTCCCTGTTGATTACAGTTATGTGATCGAATTTATGGTCGGACAAGAGACGCCGGAATTCGATTACGACGCTTCGCGACCCCCAAGACTTTGGGCCTGTCCCGTCCAAGAAGAAGACCCTAGCGCTGCTATCCTGGACAAGTGCAAGGATTTGCTGGTGAGAGCGGGCGAGTCCGTAGCCATCTGTCGGGACCCTTCGTCTCCCGATACGAGTATAGAATATTTCTCTGAAGAGAATGGACCGCCCATGGGCTTAGGGGGCCACTGGCTCATCGAACCCTCTCCCACCACTTATTCAAGGCGACACAGCCCCGAGGCGTATGAATGGTATGGCGTGCGGCTTCGCAGTCCAACTTACCGCGAACTAGAAGCTGTGGATAGGATGACTCCAGTTCAATGGATCCTTGCCTTATTCCGATCAAGAGTCCTGATTCATGTCAACTCGACGTGTAGATTCAACGTTCATGTCAAGCCCGCACTCATGCCAATCTCTCTGCTCACTGCCAAAAAGATGACGACACTCGTGTGGGTTCTTGAGAAGGAGTTGCTTGAGCGCGTCTGCCCCAATTCTTACGGGTTGCCGTACCCTCATGTCAAAACCCTGGAAACGTGTTCCCGAATCTCGTCTCTCGTCTGGTATGGCTCTGGAGGAAGATCCCGTCAACAAGATCCCCTTAGGGCTGCAATCTCGAAACAGCATCTTCCCGACCTCTGCAACATGGACCTTTTAACCAGACTCGAACTCGTATGGGATGCTGGCTCAACCGGCGAACTCGCCAAGGGCCTTCTTGGGTACAATGGGGATGCCACGTCGTTTGCTATACGGCCTGCTGGAAAGTACACTCATGGCCCCACGTTTGAGTTCCGCTATAGCCTTTGGCATCCTTACGACGACCTGGACGCATCCCAATACTGGATTGACTTGTCCATTCGCCTCCTACGGGCCACAGCGCAGAGTGCCGACAGGTTTAAGCAGTACATCTCACAGTTGGATGACTTGATACACGGCTTCTCAGTTAACAGCACGCCCCCTACGCATCGATGGAAAGCGCTCTTGTCGACGCTTGGATTAACGGAGGAATGGTCTGCTCCCTGGGAGGCCATCGTTAAGCACTACAGAGCTGGCCATCAGCTTTCCTACCGATTCATCGATCGGCAACAGTTTCTGGTACCATCTGAGTTGCGGGCCCCAGGACGGCATAAGGTGCAACGATGAAGTGTCCTCCACCCGACTTCTGCGTTTTCTGCATTCTAATTTGCTCAGCGCTCCTTGACAGCGAATGTTGTATTTATTGCCCTTGGTAATGGGACTTTCTGGCATAGCTTGAGGGTCGTCATGAGCGCTAGATACTGAGTTATTCTATAGCAATTAAGGCGTGTCTGCAACATGCCACCTGTTCCCAAATTAATATTACTTTTCATCTCCTGTTATGGAATGCTATGATATGCTATCTAAACTGGAGCCGAAGCCAGCCGAAGCCAGCCAAAGATCCGCTCTATGTCTACATTGTTTCGTTAGGTAGTCGGCAGCGCGACGTCTGTCGTTCCTTTTATTTTTCACTTTCGTGTACTTGCACTCCTTGGTTAAGAAACGCAAAGCAAAGGGCTAAAGCCATCGCTCCATCTCAGGCCTCCCATGATGGCAATCATTACTGCTAGAGCGACCGCCACGCTGCTAAAGCCATATATATACGAGTGGCTTCGTTTCAGGCTGCTCAACTCGGCAACCCACGTCGAGATGGTTGTCAAGCACCCACAGAAGCCATCTTCGATGCCCTGCAGCACTTGACACCCGACGATCCCTCCTATTTGAGCGTGAGCAATGTCCCACGACATGCCCAAGACGGCGGTGCCAGCGATGTTGGCGGCAAAAGTACCCAGGGGAAACGAGGCGATCTTGCCGTTGAGATAGATGGCGAGGTAGAAGCGGGCGAGGCATCCCAGGGGCGCGAAGACGAGGGCGAAGAGGATCTCGCCGCGCCACTTGTTGTGCGGGGGGAAGATTGCCATGAGGATCGCGCCAAGCCAGCAGCCCCAGCCGAGGAAGACGCCGAGGGGATCGAGGATCTTGCGGGTCACGGGGTATGGAATGGATGGGGTGAATCGTTCTAGGGCGATGGCGAGGTGTGCGCCGAGGATTAATCCTGCTAGCGAGAGGGAGACTGTGGTGATGGTCACGGCGAGGAGGGCCATGAATGAGTATCCGCCGTTGCGGCCTGGGATGCCTAGGTTGGGGGTGACCATTTCGTTGGACAGGGCGAGGAAGATGTCGCGGATGAAGCTTGAAAAGCTGGTGAAGCTGCCGCAAAAACCGGTGGCCAGGCCGATGTAGAGAGGAATTGTCTTTTTGGTTGCTAGATGCGCCTTCTTGGCGGCCACTAGATCGATGACTTGATCGCCTTGTCCTGAGCTCTCTGAGCCATTGTTTGAATTTTCCTTTGCGCGCGCAAGCATTTGGTCATAGGAGGGTGTTCCCCATTCATAGCGGAACAACATCCGATCTTCGGAGAGGAAGCCCATGATGAGACTGCCGCCGAAATTGGCCCATAGAATATCAAATATGACGGGGTCGCCAGGGTACGTATTCAATGCGCTCAATCCCACGCGCGCAAGAGTGCCCCATATAGCAAAGAAGACGAGATATGATATCGTGTAGATCTGGGTTGCCAGCCTCGACACATGGTGTTTCTCTTTTTCATTGACAGCTTCGACATCGGTCAATTCTGCCGGTGGGGGCTGGCGCGGTGACTCTGCAAGGCTGGCACGTCGCGATTCCCGCTCTTCGCGGTCTCGACTCCGGATCTGCTCTAGGCTGTGGTGCCTGTATATGGACGACTCGGCGACGTTTTCCACGGGACTTGTTGCCGCCAGTTCATCGAGATTCGCCCAGTCGTCTGGAATGTCGTAGGGTTGGGCTTCTGCGACGGATCGCCGCCGAGCTTCGCGAACGGGAGACGGCGGCTTTTCTGTTGTTGGCGCCTGATTTTCGTCGGGGATATCGACTGGTAGTGCGCCGGTGGCATCGTCGAGGTTTTGGTACGCGATTGGGGCGTTGTAGCTTCCAGAGCTCGATCGCCGCGCTGGGTCGTGTGATGAAGCCATTGTGGGTGGGTTTGGAGGCTGTCTTGGCTCTCAGAGTCGCTGGAGTTGCTCAGCCGGGCAAATAGACGGCGTTTGAGCCACGGATCATGTCGTAGTGAAAACTGCGCATTTACTGGAACTGAGAGAAAAAGTGCGATTCATATTTGAGCTGGATGGGAGGGAGTCGGATGGGAGATAGACCAGGGCAGGGGAGAGAATTGCAAAAGCCGAGAATCAACCGCGATCCATCGGCATGTATATCCGGTCAGAGCTGTACCTCTGGGAATTGACTTCATTGTGCCTGAGAAGATAAAGAAATGCTCCTATATCGGCATTGAAGAAATGGCATCTGGAAAAATTATTTTGGAATCCTGGCATCCTCTAATCAGCATCTTAAATAGACAAATCGCCGTATCATGCACTATCCAGCCGCAGCAGCGTATAAACCATGCCTAAGTCCCTTATCCAGGCTTGCAAGGTCCATATCCGACATATCCATTATCCTTATCAGCACAGACCCCGCTAACGGCCCTCTCCGATGCCCGATAACCCGCCTAACAGCTCCCATCTCCACCACTCCGCACAGCGCCGGCAGCGCTATGCTTTAGCACTGGCCTTAGCACTGGCCCCTCCCCCACCTTGAGGTCCCCAAGTCCCTCTGATATGCCATCCCGTATCTCGCTACGTAATTTGTGCCCAGCCCGAGACCATCAGCTGCATCTCTTCTCTTACTTCTTACCTGGTCGGTCCATCACGGCCGCTTCTTTCTCCTCTCTGTTTATCGCCTCTTGCTACGGTGCCTATTCTCTTATTTTCCTCTTGATTTGTCGCCTTGGTTTATTTCGGCGTCTCCTTGAAGCTCCGGCCTTCTACGTCTTACATCGCTTACTCGTAACTCTTACTTACAACATCTCCTCTCTACATACGCCCAACATCTCCTCCCGATATCCCGATATTACTATCAATCATGGCCAATTTGCCTTCAAACGTCCATGTCTCGCAGCATCCCAGTCTGCTGGCTAAGCTCAGCCAACTGCGATCTCAATCCGCCAGCCCCCGAGATGTCAAGTCCTTGATCCACGAAATCTCATTAATCATCGCTTGTGAAGCCATCAGCACCGCCATAAAACCAGCCGATGGCCCCAAGGTGTGTATTCTCTTTAGCAAATGTGCCTCCTCTCTAACACAATCACAGGACAAAACTCCCCTAGGCTTTGAATACACAACTGTCGTCTCTGAACCCAGCAATATCTGCATAGTCCCAATCCTGCGGTCTGGCTTAGGCATGGTTGAAGGTTTGTGGCACACGATACTCCCCTCTCTTCTCACACCTACATAGAGGCATTGTATAGTGACTAACAACCTGCTTGTAGCTGTACAAACCATGCTCCCAGCCTCAGTACCCATCCACCATCTTGGCATGTACCGCGAGCCCTCAACTCTCGACCCCGTCGAATACTACAACAACCTCCCCCGACAAAACTCCTCCTCGGGCCCCGAAGGAAGCAAGCTCGCTATTATTGTCGACCCCGTCATCGCTACTGGCGGTACGTGCGCCGCGGCCATCCAGACCTTGCGCGAATGGGGTGCCAGGAGGATCCTTGTCCTGTGTGTCCTGGGAGCTTCAGAAGGTGTCCAGAAGGCTGCGGCGGAGTGGCCTGAGGGCACGGAAATTTGGATCGCAGGTGTCGACAAGGAATTGACGGATGGCGGCATGTTGAAGCCCGGCCTAGGTGACGTTGGGGATCGCCTGTTTTTGACCATTGGCAAATAATCACCAAACCAGGCGGCTATCGAAGGAACATCATGGGCAACGAGATGATGAATCGGTTCTTGGGTATAGCGATAGAGATGGTGTTCAATAGGCATAGGCGCAGAGAAATTCTATTCTGGTGGCTTTACTTTTTCTTTTACTTTTTTTTTTTTTGCGGTTTTCTTTTTCCTTTTTTCTCTTTTCTGGGTTTACTCTATTCTATGGGAACGCGCAATCCAGGAGGAGAGGCGCAAAGGAAGCTCCAGCGGAGAGCATGTTGGAAACTCTATTCACCTGTATATCTGGCCTTTTGCAGTCTTTCAACTGAAAACACTGCGATCCTGCAACTGCAAATCTTTCACTACCCGCGAACGCTTTCTCACAGACCACTCTTGGAAACGACATACAACAGCTTCTATTGCTTATTACCTAGGTATAATACATTCGTCCCGCCATGGATCCTAAAGACGCAGATTACGACGCAGACGATTCGCACCCAGAAGACTCATACTCCGAGGGAGAAGAATCCAAGAGTAGTCTTGAGCTGTGTTGTGCGGCCTGGCGTACTCCTCAGCAACAATGCGAAAACACTGCCGTCATCAGCTGCAAGAAATGCCGTCTCGTAGCTGTAAGTACTCGGCCGAAATAGAAAATGTCACCCACCGCGTCTTGTGTATATTATCCCCCCTCTCTCTTGGATCAACTGACGCAGCTTCATACAGTATTGCAGCGAAAAGTGCAGGGAAAATGACTTGGTAGATCACCATAAGTCAAGGATTTTACCAAGTTATCCTCGACGGACAGAATATGAGGACGGCGAGATTCCAGACCACCCTTTCTTTGAATCGACCAGATTCTGGGCCAACTATCCTGCGACTGATGTTTTGAATCTGGCAAAGAACGAGGGATCAGAGTATGACGGCCGTCTGCGACTTCTTCTCTTGGGCCGTGAGTTTTGCTGTCCCCGTTTTGGAACTATGTGACAATGACTTCTAACGAAAACGCAAAGCTTTCGCTCTGCGACACGTAATTTATTCTGTTGTCGCCATGCCGGAGACGGCTAATCCATCGCTTGATGTGACTCTCGTTGAATCCGACTATTGCCATCTTGTGCGGACCTTTCTTTCACTACTCATCCTTTCATTAGACACTGTCAACAGTCTTGTCGCCGCAGAAGTCGTTGTAGACGTCTGGTACTCGGCCAAATGGTCTGATTGGACCTATTCTTTCATCGAGAAACATGTGGGACAAAAGTTGCGAGGTCTTTATGAGAAAATTCAGACTTGGTATAAGGATAAGCAAGATAAACGAACGTTGTGCTTCACGGCGACACTGGGAACTCCAGACTATCTTACATTTGATGTTTGTCTAGACTGGTATACTTGGAAAGATCTTTTGGACTGCTGCCTCCAAGAGCCAGAGCTAGGATCAATGGCCAGGGCCAGGGCAGACGATGTATCAAAATGGGGTGAGCCTCTAGACCGAGTATTTCGCATATTCTCGTCGTCAAGAACAGCAGCCTTGATGAAGTGGCGGCTTGACGGCATCGTACAGCCTCAAGGCGAATCAGCGGAGGGATACACGATACCGAATCCGTAAGTTTTGTGTTGTTTCTATTGAGGATTAAAAAAAAAGGAAGGAAAGTGGAGGACACCGAACATTTACTAACATTTACAGAGCTTTCTTTCTCCCTGGCAGAGGCCCACCTGAGGGGATTACCAACGAGCCTCTTTCAGAATGGCCGATGAACGAAATTTTGGGATACGACCCGTATCCTGCTGAAGACGACATCTATGGCAAAATGAACTTTTATCTCCGCCGAATGGTTGTTTTATTTCGAGCTTGTTTGAAGAAAAAGCCAATTACTGCATATGTCATCGCTTGCGGTCATGTAGAGATACCAGGACACATCCCAACGTACCACAATGAAACGCGTTTCTACGATCGTATAGAGGTAATTTGCAATGCAGAGCGCAAAATGGATGAACTTGCCCTAATCTAACGTTATCAGGTTGGAAATTGGTTCGACATTGATGCTCAACTGTGCTTCTTGGCTTGTGCTCCTCTGCTACGACACGCGGGCGACAACCCACATGCAGCCATGTTAACTTTGTGCCGAGAAAGCGTTATACAGGCAGAAGACGAAGAGGCTGAGAAATTCATGGAACTCGAAAAATACCACCTATACCACCCGGCGTTTGACCTATTAGAAACCATGGCGCCTCTGAGAAAAGCTGTCGGCGAGCCATACGACGCAGCTTTAGTGCCTCGACATATGATTCTCTTTATATACCGCAGCTGGAGCTTGTTTACTTACGGGTAAGTTGATTTGTCCGAGCTAGATGTATTTATCATATAACTGACTGAATCCCGGAGCAGCTATCTATCCAATCTAAGACTTTTTGGATTCCCAGTGCCGGGAGACGAGAAGCTGCAGCGCCCTAGGGCTCCTTTGACGTTCACAGGGTACCTTGGTGCAAAACTAAAGCAGAATACAGTTCTTAGCCACTGGGGGAATCTACTGGTGGACGGCGAGGATAAGATCCCCACCATGGAAGAGTTCATGCGTTGGGCGAGCTGGCCAGCCGCAAAGCCACAGTATTGGTTGGAATGGAGAAAAGTGAGAGACGTGACTGCCGGAGAATTCTTTGAGCACCTTGAAATGCTGCAAGGAAAGCGGGCACTACGGATATGGAAGTCGTTATATGGAGACCATGGGACGAGGGAGAAGGAGAAGAAGGGGGAGGAAGAGAAAGATGAAAGAAACGGCGGAGATGAGAAGAAAGATGAAAGAAAAGGCGGGGATGAGGTTGCGGTGAATGGGGACAAGGGTGTCCCAGGAGGCATGCCTATGAATCCGCTGGCGAACAAGATGCTGATGAGGATCCATATGGCGATAAAATCTACATGCGAGGCAGAGGAAGCTTATAGAAACGGCGGAGATGAGGAGAAAGATGAAGGAAACGGCGGAGATGAGGAGGAAGATGAAAGAAACGACGGAGATGAGGCTGCACCGAATGGGGACGAGAGTATCCCAAGAGACATGCCTATGTATCCGCTGTTGAAAGAGGTGCTGATGAGGCTGGATATGGAGAGGAAATTCTTACGCGAGAATGAACAGGACAGTACCTAGTACGACAACCGAAGGCAATGATGATACGCGGAATGGGAGTCGTTCTTCGCCGCAGCGGAACTGAGAGTGAGGGATGGGAGAGGAAGTGGAACCTAGAGGAATAATAATGACGGAGAATGATGCATTGCATTGATTGTGTTGGGATATGGGCCGTGGTATATTGCCCTGTAGCGAATAAAGCAATGGTACATGTATTATATGAGCGTACGCATTCAGTGATAATGGCATGATTATCGACAACAGTGAAAAAAGGAACCTGAGATTATCGCTCCCAGCATGTTGAATATACTGGGCATGAGTGAAGAGTGCGGATGGATTTGACGTTGAAATGATCCTCCGTGAATTATCGGCGACTGGGTGGGATGGAATTATGTAACTCATGCCGTCGCATGACTAGGACTCAATCATTCACGATGAATAAGAAGACGCTTGACTAAGAGATGGAGCTTGTTTATATCAGCCTCGAGACAACAGCAACTGATTGCAACTCACGCCTCGAGTGGATTGATTCCAAAGATTTAATCCTTGCAACTGGACAGCTCTAGTTGCTTTGCTTATGGACCGTCGGGGTCCGAGGTCCGCGATCCGCTCAGCCTTCTCGCACCGTACAAGATACGCAACTGAACTGGATGGATCTCTCCAAACCTCCGCGGCGGGGATTAAAAACTCTCGTCTCCGGCCTATGAGTCTTATTTGTTGATTGTCCGTGTTCACACGGCTTGGCTAATGCTTGCTTACCTTGCTATCTCCGATGGAAATGTGGGGAGTTGTGCCATCGTGCGTTGAATTGGGCAGCCAGCGAGTTGAGAAGGATTTAGTATTAGGTGTGCTTGCTTTAGGTAGTGATACATTACATGTGCTGTGCTAAACAGACTGCGCGTCGTATTGATTGGCCTGACGTCAAATGCGACTATAAATTGCTGGATGTCTGACGTTTGCTGTTGAACTTTCCCCGCTCAAACTCAATCAACGACCCGGCGAACTCGAGACAACTCCAATTGAAACCAACAGAGGTCAAAACAACTACAACTACAGAGAAAACCTGAACAAACACAAGACAACAATGGCTGAACCAGAGGCTAAGCGTGTCAAGACCGAGTACGAGCTCATCTACTGGCCGGGCATCCCTGGTCGTGGTGAGGTTGTCCGGTTGCTCTTTGAAGAAGCGGGCGTCGGCTACATCGACACGGCAAAGGCCGCCAAGGCAGCTCCCACAACTCTGTCGTACATGGCGGCGACGAACCTGGGAGACGACAAGAACCCGCCGGTGTTTGCGCCGCCGATACTGAAGCACGGCGAGCTGGTGATTAACCAGCTGCCCAACATCCTGCTGTACCTGGCGCCGAAGCTGGGGCTTGCGCCGGCGAGCGGGGACGCGGTGTATCACTTGAATGCGATTGCGTTGACGATTCTGGATGGGCTTTGCGTGGAGGTGCATGAGACGCATCACCCGATTGCGACGGACAAGTATTATGAGGATCAGAAGGAGGAGGCGAAGTTGAGGGCGAAGGCGTTTAGAGAGCAGAGATTGCCGAGGTATCTTACGTATGTGCAGAGATTGCTGGATGGGGAGAAGAGTGGTGAGGGGGGTTGGTTGTATGGAGGGGAGTTGACGTATGTTGACTTGGTGCTGTTTCAGGTAAGTCTTGCTTTGAACTTTGAACTTTCTTTCTCTTTTGTGCAATTGCTGATGGAACATGCTAGTGCCTTGATGGAACACAGTATGCTTTCCCCAAGACGGTGGAGAAGTTGAGGAAGGAGGGCAAGCATGATGGCGTGTTTAAGCTGTACGATGCCATCAAGGAGAGGCCGAATATTAAGGCGTATCTGGAGAGTGACAGGAGGATAGATTACGCGGATGGTATTTGGCGCCACTATCCCGAGTTGGAGGAGGATGAAGAGTGAAGCAGCTGGAAGGGTAATTGCATCGATACATAGCGACAATACTAATGCTGCAAAAGTTTTGTTGAGCGAGTGAAGTGAGTTGGCGACGGCTTGATGCGTGATGATACTGCTGTTGGCCGAGAGAGTGAAGTCATGGTGTCGGTGAGCTATGTTGATATCCGGTTGGAAGAGGCGGTCAAAAGATATGGTGAATTCATAGTTGGCAGAAGAGCATTACGTGTATAGATGCCTTGTGTTGCCAATGGCTTCAATTCACTGAGAAGTGGGCTCATTTCTTGCTGTCTTGGACCATTCATTGGTAGTTGTCGGGATTGCGTGATGGGAAGTCAACGGATTGATGCTGTAGGACGATGCCTTCCTCGGCGATGATATTCTCGATCTGCAGCTGTCATCAGAGATGTCAATTGGTGCTGGCCTCAATGAGATTCGCGCCTTCTTCCCGTCAGACGCGCCGGCGGCGTCAAAGACCCCGGCTGCTGAAGTTGACTTTGACGATGACGAATTCGATGACCTAGAGTGGCCGCAACCCTATGAATTTGGCGACGAGATCGCGTTCCAACGGCCTCGTTATTTTTGAACGAATTGGGTCAGATTGATAGTCTATAGTGTTGTAATGTGAAATTTTGTATGGTGATTTTCTTTCCCAGTGTGCTGCACTGGAATTTGGTGTATGGGTGTGGCAATTGCGATTGAGGGGGGTAAATCTAACTTGTGTTGTGGAGTACTACGGTGAAAAAGAAGACTTCAAAACATCCTTCGGGATCCTAGATACTTATTTTATAGATTATCATTTCTATTTGTTGCCTTTTATTGCTCGACAGACAGCCACGAGAATCCTCCTGCAATCCAAAATCGTATGATCCCCCTGAAAGGAAGACAGTGCCAGCGTTCATCATGTCCATTGTGATGCTCAAACTCCACCCGTAATTTGCAAACCGTTCCTATTCCATTTTCGCCATTTTCACTCTCGGGAACCTTGGTTCGGAAACAGATTTGGGTTGGTTTGTCCACAGTCGCCTCCCGATCTATCTGAACACGACAGTCTCCGACTGTACGACTCGCACCATTCTCATAGTAGAACATGAGTCCTCGGCAAAATTCGAAATCATCCTCGTAAAATATCCTAACAGAAGAAACTCCATCCAAACTGGCCCAGGAGTAATAAGTGAATCGGCCCATCCGGTTTGCACCAATCTCAGCGAATATCGGGCGGCTAGCGACATCCAATGTTGCTGGGGATGCTTGATATGCACCAAAGAAAGGCAACATCTCTCTTTTGTTTGGCTCGCAGTAAACCAATGAGACAGAGCTCTGCGCTGCCAGAACCTTGTCTTCACCGGTGCCTGGTTGACGCTGTCCAATGGTGATATCGCCGGCTTTTTCCATTCTCACAAATATGACATTTAGACGATCATCTGATCCATTAGCGCCGAGGTAGGTTATCCGGTCACCCTTTGGTAAAGGCAGATACACCCTAATAGGCTCTGAAAAGATAGCATCAGGACGTTTCTCTTCCAAGACAGCTTTATCTGTCCAAAGGGTGGATTCTTGTTCTGTAAGGTGGATATGCATAGCCAATACAACGGTAGTATTGAGATAGAATGTGATTCCTCGTATTTCACTCAACTCAACGACATTAAAGCGCTGTATTGGCATTATCTTTTTCGGATATACCATACAGAGCGATAAGTTGGGAGGTGTTGGGCTGTTCCATACGTGGAGGCGGACGTTGCGCAATTGTCGAGGTAGCTTGAGGCGGAAACGGCCGTCCTGAGGAAATAAATGGTGAGGTCAAGATGATATGTTGATGTGATTCTGATTGCACACATACCTTTAACTGTACTTTTACTCCTTCGAGGGATGCCTCATCTTCAACAATATAGGCAAGGTGCTTGGCAGGCCTTGACCACCGTCCGGAATACTGTGGCCGAGTCGGAAGCCGCTCCATCTTTCGAATGCCTTCACAATCTATAGTCAATTTTATAACTGGTAGTGGCGGTGATAAAGGCTCAATGCGACGCAACTCTCCGTTGCGCTCCCACGAAAAGACGCTTCTCAATGGCATAGCTCGGACGGGCTGCGGGCTGGTCCGAGAAATCCAGGCTGCAAGTCGAATCGCCATCATACACCTCCAGAATACAGAATCCTCAGAGTATCGTTTGATCATATGAATGATTTCTCTGGGTAATGAACAGAGTAGCGGTATCCCACCGAATCGAGCGGTCTTCTCAAGAACTTCGTCGTCGATTATATCATTTGATAGACGAAGGCGCTCCATTCCGCGCCAAGGATTTTTCCATGCCGTTAGAATCCAGAGCCTATTCAAAGACTCTTCATCTGCAACATGGCCTACCTGTTGAACTATCTGGTAGCAACCCAAGTGCATCGCACAAAACTCAGGCGATGTGGCGTGGTTTGGAGAGTTGTCGTCGGCAAAGCTGGTTTCATATCTCTCCCTCATATATACGTCGAAGTCTTTTAACGGGTACCTGGCAAATGGTTCCGTGAGAGCGATATGCGCGGTCGAATTGTAATTACCGCAGACTTGACACATAAAAACATCGTCAGCGACAAGACGAGCGTAGCTTCAAAGGAAAGATGGAGTTAAAAGAATAGCCATGTTGGAAGATTTCATACGCGCTATGATCTTTTCATGCTGGTAAACGGTAGTTGAACAGATCCCGCATTGGGGAATATCTGCCAAGTATTCACGATGGCGCTTTCGTGCCATTGTCGAAAGAATATTGTAGTATAGGTGAGGCGTTTGAGACAAGAATGTGTTGGATATTCACCACGGTGAAGACAACGAGAATCTCGATTGTCTATTAACTACCTACGCTTACCCACATCTGGGCAATGCCGAGTCGAAGAGATCTTACTCGCCTCCACATCGCTTTGTTCTTTTGGAGACCGCTTATTAAAAAACAGCTGGGGATTGGCTTCTGCAATTCACAATCACCGGCATGTTTTACGCCAGCTAACGCAAACTAACTAACCTGATGTGTTAATATTCTCGAGCAAAGTCTTTCCACTGTGATGACCGACCCTCACCAACCCCCACTTCTCTCGGTGGTTACCCTTTCAGGCCTGCTTCTCAATCTCGGCTCCTGTCTCGATAGGACGAGATTCAATAACTGCCGGATCCAATTGCACTTATAATGACTATATTCATCGCAAGACCATGTCTAACCGCTAATCTATTGATCAAACGAGCCTCGATGGCGCCTATAACCCCTGTCAGACTCACGACGCAGCCGATCAATCATCCCGACCAGGAAATGGCCGGCGATGACCTCGCATATCCAGGATCCTCACTCAGTCGTAGTCATTTATATCTAAACTTAAGACTGTTATTTTTCGAGATTGTAGACTTCCCTAATAGACAATTCTAGAAACCAAGCGCCAATCAATCCGGCCGCCAATAGCCACGACGGATATACGCACGGAGAAACTCCCGGACTTATAGGCAGCAGACATGAGGGGTCCACGGCGTGCACTGTTAGAGGCCCTGTCGAAGTCGTCTTCTCTTTCTTTTCATAAGAGCTCTAGATTGCCCATCAGAGTCAAAACTAATATTGAGGACGAGTTCAATTTGAACCCCAGAAGCTCACCATTTCTAGACGATAGAACAGCTCTATTCCCAAGCAGCGAAACTGCGCAGAGGTCTCTCCGGACCAGCTCGAACTATAATTCTCTCAAATAGTCTAGTTACTACAGCAGGTTGACCTCCCCCAACATGAGTCAACAGATGTCAGAGCTCGATGATGATTATTTTACAACTCTTAATTTATTTACTACCACCTACCACCGGGACGTGTACGATGCTATCAACCCAGAAAACCCACGGTTATCGCAAGCGGGAAAGGTGATTGTAATCACTGGAGCTAGTAGTGGGATCGGAAAGGAGGTAGTTATCTCTTTGCACCCTCTCTCTTCAAAGAGTGAAACACTTGGACTGATGCTCGCCGCTAACACAATTAATAGGCTATGGCGCTGTCGTTTGCAAAGGCTGGTGCAAAGGCTCTCTACCTCATCGCTCGAAGTCAAGACGGCCTAGATAAGACCAGAGAGCTGGTTCTTTCGATCAATTCAGATGTTAAAATTTTTACAAAGGCTATGAGTATCACAGATGAAGATGCTGTTCGAGATCTCTTTCTTCAGATCAGTTCTGAATATGGTAAAGCGGATGTACTCATCAACTGTGCTGGCATCGGGTCGGGCGGGCCTTTTCTGACAGCTCCTGTGGCAGATATTTGGCGAGATTTTGTCAGTGTTATGTCTCTATCCGCCAAATTACAGAAAGCTAATATCATGTGTCTAGGAAGTCAATGTAAAAGGCACCATCATTATGAGCCAGTATTTTGCGAAAGCATTAGGCAAGACCAATAAAGGTCGTATTATCAACATAGCAAGTTCATTCGGTCCATTCATGGCGCCGGACACAGACAGCTATGCTCTTAGCAAGCTAAGTCAGATTCAAATGCAACGCTATATTACAGCAGGAAACCCAAATATTTTTGCCGCAAGTCTTCACCCGGGATCAGTCCGTACAGCTATGACAGCGCCAGAGTGGGTGCGATTCTCGAAGGATACACCCGCATTGGCGGGAGGAGCTGCTGTGTGGCTGTCGTCTGTAGAGGCTGATTTTATGAATGGGCGATATTTTGACGTAGCATGGGATGTTCCCGAGACTGTAAAAAGGAAGGAAGACATTATTCAGAAAGGGTTGCTCCTAATGGAGCTGCGTGGTGACTTTACGGGGGGGGAATAGTGGGATATTGTTGCAACTCAGCCTCTTATGAGGCTGACCTCAAAACATCCATGCCTGGAAGACTAAAGGACTGAAGGACCTAGTGGTAACTTTACACTAGAATGCAGCAGCAGACCACATCGCTCTCTGAAAGAACGACTGTGCATACAAGTTTACTTCACCACACTCATTCAGATGCCTTTAAATAGCATGTTGTTAACCAAAGCATCAAAACTGAATACAAGCTTAATTTTGCCCGCGCCCAATGCCAATTTACGTACCTTGGAGACCTTCCAATCTTATTTTTATGAGGTGTCTGGGACAGTTAATATTCAACCTTATAATTTGTAGGTTTTGAGACGTTTACTTAATTAATCGTTTCTCTCGACCATACCAGCTACCTACGGATTTCAACTTCCTGGCATGGGATGTTAACGAGCTGCACGATGAGCTCAAGGCTGCTCGACTACCACTACTTTTATGCCTTGAACCACCTAGATTCTCACAACCAAAAGCTCCTCATAATCACCTTTTAATAGCAAGTGAGCTCACGAGATTAGACGATCCGCTTCTCGCACAATTTCCGGGCTGCGAGGCAGTCCGATAGACTAAGCCCTGCGACTGCACGAATCAGGACACACCTGATCCTTGTTCTCGCATCAATGTGATTTGTGCGTGCAGCCAACACTCAAGCCACACCGGGGCATCCACGCTGTTTTCAGCCAATCGCCCGACTTGTAGTGGATTTTTGGCCCCCTTGCATATGTAAAGAGACATTGCAATATTATATCGGTGAAAGTCGAGCAACAGTAAGGCGCCACGCTATACCAATATATGCAAGGTTGAAATTGCAAATACGCATGTCTCATACATTGCAGCCAACATGTTTCATTGATGAGGTAAGTAAATAGGCTGGAATTCGGCGCAAAATTGATAATGACGCAGTATAATGTTCCACACGCTGCCAGAGTGAATGTGATAGCCCCCATGCATGTGACTGGATGGGCAAATTGTTCATCACGTATGCAGTAGTAATAGAATCACTCATCCAATTAGTCATGAGACAATGATAATAAGCCTCATTGTCAGCTTCTTCCCCAGCCTCGTGATATAAAGAGACAGACATCGAAGGCCATTCGTAACCCACTTCCCACACATCAAGCCAATCTTAAAATTTCTTTACTAAAGACACGAAGAAACAACTGTCTGTCCCTTCATACCCTCCTACTTTGATACACATGCTAACGCTTATAGGCTGGCAATATGTCGCTTCCTACTCTCAACCACGTCTTCACTATGGCCATCACCCCGAAGGAGCCGGTCAACACTGGTGAAACCCCAAGAGGAAAGGCCAATTGGTTCGAGATTTCGGACGGCACAATCACATCAGCAGATGGTGAACACATCGCTGACGTCCTCTCCGGAGGAGGAGACTACCTCACGCGATATGTCGATGACAACGTCGCAGAGGTGGACATGCGACTAATTGCCAAAGACTCGGACGACCAAATTATGCGCATCACCGTGTCGGGATACGACTATCTCGACAGAGCAACTATGCTAGCCTTGGATGGTAGAGCTGGCGAAGATTCCGGGGACAACAACTCGGGAGTCACTGAGCCTTATGGTTTTGAAGTTTTGAAGTTCAACACGGCGAGTCCAAAGTATAGGTGGCTGAACTTTGCTGTCCTTCTTGCGCGAGTCAAATTTGTCGTCGGTAGCGCGGGCATTGAGAGTGTTGTGTATACAACCTACCAGGTGGGCAATTAATGAGTTAACGTTCCGGGACATTCGATGGGTATTCAAAATCCGGACATTTAGATACCGTATACGAAGCAATTCTTAAATAAAGACTCGTTATCAGTTCTTGTGCATGTTCTTCAATTTCTCCATTGTATACTAGAGCTAGCTTTGACTAGATACACTAATGCTGTTCTAGATAATACTGTGAAGGTCACATGAGTTTAAGCCTTCTCAATCTTCCGAAGGCTGTTGACAGCATCCACAATGGTGTCCTCCAATGATCGGTACTTGACACCGAGATCTGTGTTGGCCTTTGTAGTGTCTACGAGATAAGAAGGCGGAATAGGCGCTCCAGTCTCTCCCTTTGGCGTAGTTTCTCTGAGCTCAGGGAACTTGGCTCGAATAATGTCGCAAATCTGCTGGTAGCTGTAAGCCGAAGCAGCAATGAGGTACCGCTGGTTTGCGGCCGCTGGCTTCTCGAATGCTTGAACGTGGGCTTCGGCGACTTGTTGAGAAACATATTAGCAGCAAGCTCTGGTAACTTTCTCCTTGAACTGAGTACTTACGATCGCGGACATCGACATAAGAGAAGAAAGCTGTGGGTGGTACTTCTTGTTCTGATCCGTTAAAGAGGCGATAGATGTCGTTGGAGGAGGTATTCAGTTCTTTCGTGCTTCCTACATGGTGAATGAGAGGGCCATAGATGAACGGAGGGCACAGTGCCGAGATTGTGAATTTAGGCTGGTTAAGATGTGTTAGTACAAAGCATTGCCTGGCATATTCCGTTGCAGCACTGGACATACCTTGTTCTTCTCAACGTAGTCGAAGGCAGCCTTTTCTGAAACACTCTTGGAAGTTAGATAGGCGAGAATGGCATTTCCGCTCTCAATGGCAGCTTCTTTGGTCACAGGGCTAAAGTCTTTCTCTGTGTACACGTATCCGGGTCTTTGGCCTTGGAGAGGATCCAAGATGGAAGAAATTGACGATGTAATGACCACGCGGCTGATATTTGCGCCGCTGTTTTGAATGGCCTCCAAAAGGTTCACCGTGCCGTCTACGGCAGGCCTGAACAATTGAGTTTCGAAATCAGTTGTACCCAACTGCATAGGAGATGCAACGTGGATAACCTGGAAGAGGTGAGCATCAAATTTTAGATAGCATGATTAACAACGGACGTACCCCATCTACGCCCTTCAGAGCGTCATTAAAGGCTCCCTTTTCCGCAATATCAGGTACAATCACGTAAGAAAGCTTTGCACTGTGCTCTGGGTGGCTAGCAAGAACTTCCTTTCCACGGGTTTCCGATCGAACTGTGGCCCTCACGTTATAACCCTTGTTGAGAAAAGCTCGAATGACGTGTGCTGCGGCAAAGCCAGAGCCTCCGGTTACTAAAACTGTGGAAACCATTTTTGCAGTGGTTATGAAGTAAATGTGTCTTATAAATGAGTAATGATGTTGTTGTTTAGGTGTTTTTTGATATCGAATGTTTGTTCAGTAGCAATGCGTTTAATGGTCTTATATAGTTTTAGGATATGGACTACATGTTCCTCCGTAGGATGATGCGACGTTATGAAACAAACGTCATGATATAATCTGGTCATTTATAATTGATGTTTATAATCAAAGTTCTAGTGTTGTTAATACATCGCTTACAAAAGTCTTCTTATTAGATATAAAGTCGCGAGCTCGAGATGTCCGGATGTCAGATAGATTCCATCTAGGTTGGCAAACTAGGACAAAATAGGCCACATCTCATCCCTGTCATTGCATTAAGTCTGCTCAGCTCGCCCACTTGATCCCGGTGGAGACATGCCACCCGGCCAACTAAGTATACGCCCGATCATTTACTACTGGTGGCTGTTGTCTAGTGCTTTTGTGTTTGAGTCGTCATGCTGCAGATATTAAAGAAGCTACATGTTTTACATCGCTATTATTGACGGGATTCTACGCTTTGAGACCTACGGATCATTGTAATATTACCCCTTCGTTGATTCCATTCTGAATAGAGATAGTTTCATTACTGCATTTTGGCACATGATGTCAAGATGGTTGTTACATTTTCATTTGTTCGTCAATAGCTGCATTTGCTATTATATTTCTCCATATATCTGTCTTGACAAAGAATGTAAAGACATGCCAAAAGCTGCATCACACCACATAAATCCATTTATCGCAGCCAAATAGTCCTGGGAGGTTACATAGCCTATGGACCGAACGCTTTCCGACAACAAGGCCGCAAATTGCATTCTCAGATCATCAAAGAGAATCGGCGAGCAGGCTGCAACAGTGAGTATCCAGATTAGAAAAATATTTGACGAATCCCACGTGGGAAGCATCCCTTCTGAACCAAGTACCAACTGCAATTTTGTTCCGTAGAGCATGCCAGCACCAGGCTCAAAGTCAAATTTAGAGCGAAGATTGCCAAGGTACAAAATTCCCGCAAGGCGGAAGCACTCTCTTTGACGAGCATTAATTTCATCATGTATTGATGATCGCGGAAGAGAGAGAAAGTAATGTAGTACTGGTGATATGTGAAAAACACGAAATAAGGGATCGATCCATAAGTCCCGTGTCAAAGTTTCCGACGCAATTATGTCATTGAGATGCCTCAGCTGCTGACAAAGGTAATTCGCTACTTCACATCTTTCAACAGTAGGAATAACGCAGCCGGATGAGAGTTGTGCTGCATCGAATAACGCTAAGTTCAGTTTGCTCTGGCCGGAAAGGATATCATTGGGCGGAGGAAACTGAGGTGCTGCATCTTGTCGGAAGCGTCCATTAATTTCGATCCTTATCAAAATGTGAGTCAGTCATTCTATCTTGACGTTTTAGAGACTTACCTTACCAAAACAGAGCAAGCCGGAGAGGAGGTGAGTGTAATGAACCCTCGCCGCCTTTGAGATGGAGGATGCGCGAAAGCCCGTCCATGTGGACTTGGAACATTCCAGGCTCTTTAATCAAATTCTGTAATTGTTAGAGCACTTACTCTTTGAACAAACAGAGAGCTTCGACACCTACCGCGTATGCCGCAGATGTCAGAACAGCGATGACAACCTCGTCACTAGCACCGGTTGCCACGCTGTTTAACCTCTGCTGAAGATTTTGTGTTGAGATCATAGCGTACTGGGCGTCTTCGCCCGAGTCGCTCTCGCATCCTAGCCAATGAACGAGATGCCACGCAGATGCAGAGAGCATTTGCGAAAGCGCTATTGTCTCTCGAGCCAGATCGACGAAGCCGATTTGAACTAGCGTGTTAAATTTGGGACACGTCCCATCATACACTATGAAGAACGGTCAGAGGAGGTTTGCCCGACTACTATGTGAGAGACCAACTGTGATCCCAGAGACGGTGTGCTCGACGATTGTCTCCGAATCCGAACGACTGAAATGGATCGGACCGGCTTGCGTCTAGTATTGTCATCGGTCTTGGAACGACTTGACTAGGCAAAGCATTTGGACTCTGAATCGTTCCATCTAACAATGGCGTAACGTCAAGTTCCACGGTTGTTCGGCGTCGCCCATATGGATGTTGACGGCGATAGTTGGCTTGAGCGACGCTGCGAACTCGTCTCTGGGTCTCTCGGTCTCTCCCCGTTTCATCCCCAGACAAGACAATGAATTCGAATTCCTTTGCACCAGATCTATTTGAGTCTTTCCTTAGTTTCCGAATGGGCATTTTCTTGCTGAATACTTGTCATTACCATTGCAAGAATGAGATCGTGTTGAGGCTTCAATTCGTATTGAGTTTAATGTTGAAAGAGTTTATCAGTGCTTACTAACAGCTTCCTAGCTAATATGTATTCCGCTGAGCCGGGCGCCACCCGAATCGCAAGATTCCAAATCGGCATTGCTGCTGGTCTTAAACAAAGTCATAATGTTTCTGAATTCTTCTTTGCGTTCTCTGACTATGAGATTATCCTTGTAGGCTGAAATAAAATGCGAAAGATGATGTCTGAACGATGGCATTCAAGCTCCCTCACACCACGAACGGTAGCTTCACGGAACTAGGTGCAACGTTCACAAGGACTCTCTAAAAATAATACGAACCAATCATTGATCGTGCTCTTATGAGTAAACAGTATCTAAAATATGATATTCTACCTGCGTTGCTCAGAAAACATGATACGCCCGCTTTTCTGGCCTGAGTGACATGTTTTACCATCTGTATACAGCCTCAAGCTCTGAAGACGAACCCCTACTCTAAAAAGGCCGAGCAGATAAATTACCTGTGGGAGGTTTTATGATCTTGCGTACAGCCGCAAAGACAGTTGTTTCTACTGGTTTGAACTTTTGTTTCTCTGCCGTTTTTTTTTCTCGCCGGAATTTCGGGCGCTTGGTCGTGCACTTCAATTGGTGCAGTTTTGTCCACCGCAGTTGGGCCTCTTTCACTGCGGCCACATGCGTTTCAGGTTTGATGCATCGTCGCCCAGTTATCCATGCATATATGTTTAGAAGAAACCCCAAATATTTGCCATTATTTCTCGTTAATGTCAGAAATGTTTAAATTTATCATTAATCCATCTCTTTGTCAATCGATTTAGACCCTGCACTCGTTGCAAACGAAACTGCAGCCATGGATGTTTCAGAGCGCGAAGATTTTGTCAGGAAACCGAGGGAACGCACAATGCCATTGCTGCCAACGCCCTTTAAAACATGTCATGAGGCAAAAGCCAAAGCATGGAATGTGTTTATTCCCGACCTCAACGTTACAGAATACTTGAAAACTTTGAATGAACCCCAGGAAAAGGAGCTGCGTAACAGAGCCGAAAATCTGACCTGGCGAGCACGAAGAGTTGATGTCCCTACAGTCTCAGAGTTCTATTGGGAAGCTTCTGCTTGGCATGACGTGTTTGGCATGATTAACAACGATGACAATTTCATACTGTAAGCTTTTTCTTCTTCTCTATCAAAGCCGTCAGAATGCCTTGAAATTACTGACTCTTTATTTGTATCGATCATTATAGTGACAAGAGGCCTTACAAATATGTGGAAGCAGACAATGCGGGCAAAATAATCATTAAAAAAAGGATCCCAGATGCCACATTTGGCATCAAATTCTTTGAACCTATGTCATTGGCCTTTCAGCATCACGCTTACAGAAGAGATCCAAAGAAGAAGAAACCACATCCACTACTTTACGAGAGACGTGTTATCGATATGATGCGTAATCCTCGATGCGGGCTTGTTGTTGATGGAATGTGGGGAGAGACATCCCTTATCTTTCCATTTGCTGCCTATGAGGCTAAAAACAACTACCAGGATCACGATGCAGCTGAAAAGCAGATAAAACATGCTTGTAGGACATATCTGGCGATGTTAGATGATCTAGCCCGTAACCCAAATAACGTCAGCGAATATCAGACAGAGGAGAGCCCTCGGTTTCAGTTCTTCGCGTTTACATCAAACTCAAGCTATTGGAGGGTGTCTGTAGCTTGGAGTTCCTCGGAAGATTGTGTAAGTAACTCTGTTCAGATACGTACACAGTCTAGGGGCTAATTGGCAGAATTGCTTTTGTAGATGCTTGAGACAATTTGGAAAGGAGACATCCAACAAGCCTCCGATGCACTGCAACTAACATATATCGTTGACCAAATCCACGATTATGCCCTTAAACACCACTTACCTTTTGTGCTGAAGCATCTGGAAGCATGGTGTGCTCGAGATAGTCTGCACCCTTTACTCTTCGATTATTGGGATGTCCCCAAAGAATTACGGCCATTTTGGACCATCCTCGGAGAGGCATTAAGAAAAGATAAGCAGACAAAATCACAAGAAACACACAAACGCAAACGCAAGCCTTCTGACCTAACTCGGGGGAAAGCAAAACGAAGATGTGTCAGCTCGGAAGGGAAACGTCAGCGTGAAGATGCAACGAAAGAAGTAGAGAAAGAAGTTGCCACAATTCATCCAAAGGCCATCTCAATATCATCGGATTCTGATTGAAGACAACTTGTAGAGAACAGATATTTGGCTTCAAAATTGATGCACATAGTTGAACTTTCGTCTAAACAACGAAAACCTTGAAGCGATAATCTTCAATTCTGCCTTTCGCTGCCTAATATGCACGCCGGATGCAATGGCAACGTGTGTTGGTCGTTGTGCATACAAAGGACCTATCAACAGCGCATCTTTGCAACATCCCCGCACATCTAGCCGTACTAGGAAATTGGGGTGAGGGGGTTGAGGCTCATAAAACGATAATAACAGTCGAAAGGCAGATTTATGTCTGTTCGTCGTGAATTTTTGAACTGTCGGTGAGGCCTAAAGATCGTTTTATCGACCAACTGGAGGGCTCAGAAGAGAAGTGTGTGTTCATATAAGTATCCGCATGAGGACAACAGAGCCTGTCTTTCTAAAACCTTCCCTATCAAAACCGCCTAATGTGTTTCTCTTTAAAGAAAAAACACACTGTATGGCAAATTCTTTTCTTGGCATGCACTTCGAACAAGGCTCCGAGCCTTGCGTTTCCACCGGCGTGGATGTACCTTGCCTCCATGATCCCAAGCATTTCATGTCCGAGGCCTCTATTCAGTGTAAATAATACGCATACTCCGCAGACCGAAAGTGCACCGGTATCTCCTTAACTGGTATGGACAGATATATTGAAACAAGACAGAACATCCCAACACAATGTCTGCATCTGTGCCTGATTTAGTAAAAGACCTGGCGTAGGTCCATGTATGTTTCACCTAATATAGCGCTATTATTGAGCCTAGATTTTATTCAGATTGCCAAGGAAGCGCACCATGCCGTTGGTTCCACAGCCATTCTCCCGCGTGAGGGAACGCGATCAGCTGAGCGTGAAAGCCAAGCTATGTTTGCGATTCCTCCCGGTTATTCGCACTTCGAACTACCAAAGCACTTTGAGCGCTCAACAGGTAGAAATCATTAAGCAAAGAGCTTCCAAATTACACAGACGTGCAAACAATATGAAACTACAAGAATCTTCGGAATTCTCCTGGGAGGTTTGCGCGTGGCATGATGTATTCGGTTTAATTCTCGATGACGAGTGGTTCAAAATGTCAGCATATGTCCGCTTTTAGAGGCAGTTAAGCGAGTATATCAGCTCTTATCGCTAACACCAAGATTTTGTTATGCGGTAGGGATAAGAGGAAGTACAAATTTGTTGAAGAAGATGCCGATAAAAAGAAGATTGTTAAAGCCCGAATTCCGGATGCCACTTTCGGCCTCACCACATATGACCCCAGAGCTCTATATGTCAGTCGCGATTTTCTGGATGCTGGCCACCAAGCAGATTACAGCAATAAGCAACCGGACGACCGTCTCTCCCAACATCGCCTCAAATCCATGACGAACAACACAAGTTGCAGCCTAGTTGTTGATGGCGTATGGGGAGACGCTGATCTTGTGTTTCCCTTTGCTGTCTATGAAGCAAAGAAACGGACAACGGACCATCAAGAGGCCAAACAACAAATTCAGCATGCATGTCAGATATATTTATCTATGCTTGACGATTTAGCCCGGAATCCCGATAATGTTGCTGAGTACCAGAGCATAAAGTCACCTCATTCCCAAATGTTTGCGTTTGCATCACACGGATCTCAATGGGCGGTCTATGTGGCGTGGACCTCTAAAGAAACATGTGTAAGTTACTACCACTTCGTCACCTCATGTGCTGTTTGAATGAATGATACGAATATGTCTTAGAATATTGAGTTGCTATGGACAGGGGACGTTGCATCCCTTACCAATGCATCGGACCTTATATGTATTGTGGATCAAATCCACGATTACGCTGTTAAGCACCATCGTCCTTATGTTCTAGATCATCTAGCCCCATGGCTCACTTGGAGTGAAAAGCGTCGCGATAATGTCACTCTAATAGAATGTCTCAAATCAAAACAACGAAACTGGTGGTGCCTTGAGTACGATATGAGCCTAATTAGGAAAAGTAAATTACGGCAGGCACGAGAAAGAAGAAAAAAGGCGCGAGATGCTTCTACAAAAAAACGCATTGTTACGGTGCAACGAAAAGACGATCAAAAAATCCAGCAAAAGGTTCAGCAGAATGATCAGCAAAAGACTCAGCAAAATAGTCAGCAGAATGATCAGCAAAAGGTGCAACAAAAGCTTCAGCCGAATGATCAGCAAAAGGTTCAACAAAAGGTTCAGCAAAATAATCAGCAAAAGGTGCAACAAAAGGTTCAGCCGAATGATCAGCAAAAGGTTCTACAAAAGGTTCAGCAAAATAATCAGCAAAAGATTCAGCAAAATAGTCAGCCAAAGACTCAACAAGAGACTCTGCAAAATAGTCTGCAAAATATGCAAAATAGTCTGCAAAAGATTCTGCAAAAGTATCAGCAGAATGATCAGCAAAAGACTCAGCAAAATATTCAGCAAAAGTTTCAGCAGATGAATCAGCAAAAGACACAGCAAAATGATCAGCAAAAGAGCCAAGAAAAAGGAAAACCAGAGTACATAGTAATGTAAGAGACACATCGACTTCATTGACGGACCTTGAACCTATACTAATTTTACAGTGATATATGAGTATTTGGCAGTTTATATATATATGGCTATACAGTTTTTGTTTTCCCACAAATTGATAATCGCATGATGATAATCACGAGCTCAAGTAATAATGTGCAACACCGCAACTTCCGAATGTACCATCACCAACTTCGAGGGCAGATACACCTAGATGCTACTCTAAATCCTTGGCATGTAGTCAACTAATCATAATAAATTGAAGAGCGACCAGAATAAATGCTCTTGTAGCAATACACATTACAGTTGATAATCACCATCAATAAGACCCCCAATCAACTACCGATATGCCGTTGTCCATCTGATAATTGTACGCCTTTGCAACTGACAGGTTGACAAAACTGCGCTAATCGCAATCCCAGCCTCGAGTTTCCATTACGTACAATTTCCCACGACGGCTGGGCTAGATCCTCGGCCCCGGGACCCACTTGCCCGGCTACGTTCCGGAGATGCCACCGGCCACAACGAAGCTCTCCAGTTGTTCACAATCGGTGTTATCTGAATGGTTCATGCGTATTACTCCGTATGTCCGCTCTCGGAGCTCTAATTCAAATCCCCATCGTAGCCCATAGCTTAAATGATTGACAGCTGGGCAAGCAAGATAGCTCCAAAGGATAACACCGGTTTAAGTGAGACCCTGGTCTCAGATACGGATCATCGTGACCATTCACAGAGCAAGCCCTTGCGACAACGTCGTATAGATAATTCATTCAATACTGCTTTTTTGCCTCTTCTGATTTGCAAAGGGCGTAATGCTCATAATGAGTGGGCCCATATTACGAACCACATGTAAGCAACGTGCTGCTGTGGCTTGATAGAGAGTCCATCCCTATTGTATGACGGCATCAGTCTTTGCACAAGTACAGGCGTAATCACTGTAGATCTATGGGTGAGAAAAGTTTAATCAAAGAGTGTTGCCTAATAACATCCACTGCCATAAAAGAATAAAATTCGAAGCAGCCTCGTGTTCTATTACGGGTTATACAGAAGACCACAGCAAGCCTGATGAGCTGGTAGTTGAACAGCATGAACCTCTACACTTGTGTTGTGATATCTTTAGCTCCCAATACTACATAAATTTACTCCTTGATCTCATTAAACCAGGTCAAGATTCTCCAGGTGGGTCATTACCACAGCCTACTCATACACCGATGTTTCCCGGGACTCAGGGGGGGATCAGTAAATATTGCCTCCACAGAAACAGCTCCGAACTCTCATCTCAGCTCGCGAAGAAGAAACATAAGATATCGTTCCTCTCATACGGAGCTAAACAAACTAACAGACAATAGATTCCCCAGATTACCCCGGACGAAGATTCCGGGGCAGGTGAGCAGGATCTTTCCCCGGATATATCCTGTTCAAATATTGGCCAGCCGGACTTGCAATTGATCTTTCTGCAAGTCCTATCAAAACTTTCTTGATCTAATTTTTCTTCAAATTCAATTTACACAATGGCTTTTACAATCACTGAAGCCGATACCGTGGATACAATTCCCAACGGCAAAGACAAAAAAATCGACGATAATGCCATATCACGCCACCTATCCAACAACGCCACTCAAGCCGATCTCGAAGGCGAAAGCAAAGCCTACGACGTGGAAACCCAACGTGCCATCCAAGGAGATGCTCACTTCCATCGTCTTAGCTGGCGCCGCCTAACCGTGGTCCTCATCGTCGAAGCCATTGCCCTAGGAAGTCTCAGTCTACCTGCGGCCTTTGCAACCCTCGGCATGGTGGCCGGCGTGATTCTCTGTATTGGCGTTGGGCTCGTGGCTATGTATGCGAGTTATATCCTTGGAAAGGTGAAGCTCAAATATCCGGAGGTTGCTCACTATGCGGATATTGGGAGATTGATGATGGGAGGAGTCGGGTCGAAATTGTTTAGCATTATTTTTGCTTCGCAGTTGATTCTGGTTACTGGGTCGCATTGTCTGACGGGGACGGTTGCTTTTGAAACTATCACTGGGAGCGGAGTGTGTTCTCTCGCTTTTGGGGTTGTTTCGGCTATTATACTATTTCTACTGGCGATTCCACCGTCGTTTACAGAGGCAGCGATCTTGGGCTATATTGATTTCGCCTCCATCATCATAGCTATTGGCATCACCATGATTGCCACTGGCATTCAGAGCTCATCTCAGCCTGGAGGTTTGTCAGCTTCAACTTGGTCTGCCTGGCCGCAGAAGGATTTGACGTTTTCAGAGGCAATTGTTGCTGTTAACAGTATTGTTTTCGCATATGCCTTTGCTGGGGCTCAGCCTTCCTTCATGGACGAGATGCACACGCCCAAGGACTATATCAAGTCCATCTGGTGGCTTGGAATCATCGAAGTTATTATTTATACCGTCACAGGAGCTGTCATCTATGCCTTTGTAGGCCAGGATGTTCAATCTCCTGCCTTGCTCTCGGCTGGATCAGTCGTTTCTAGAGTCGCATTTGGAGTGGCACTCCCTGTCATCTTCATCTCTGGCTCAATCAACACCACTGTCGTTGCTCGCTTCATTCACGGCAGGATATACAGAAACTCAATCACCCGTTATGTGAATACGGTCGGAGGCTGGGTGTCCTGGTTAGCAGTCGTTGGGCTTGTGACACTGGTTGCGTGGACCATCGCCGAAGCCATTCCCTTCTTTTCAGAACTATTGTCTATCAGTTCCTCCCTTTTTGTGTCTGGGCTATCTTTTTACCTACCTCCAGTGATGTGGTATGTGTTGCTCAAAGAAGGCAAGTTGTATGAGAGAAAGAATTGGAGGACTGCCTTTTTCAATGGCAGCGTCTTCATTATTGGCATGATTATCCTCGTTTGTGGCACCTATGCTAGCATTGTCGAGCTGGTGAGTTTATTCTTTCTTTCTTAATCTCTTTTGAAGTAATTCTTGTGCTAACACTTGTCACTAGATTCACAAGTTTCAGAGACATGCAGTTAATAGGCCATTTACATGCCAGTCCCTTGCTTAAGCGGACTTAAGGCTCTCTTTGGTGGTTTGGATAGGCGTCACTGGATTAGATTAACATCACCACATGTATCTACGTAATAACTTCCTTAAGAGAGCAATTACATATCAAACCTACTTAACGTTAATATTCTGAGATAAGTAATGTGGTGCCCATATGGACAATTCATAGTACAATTATTATAACTGGAGATCAAAACTGCACGCTCACATACATCACATACTCTCAATAGTCATTTGCATTCTTTTATGAACAAAAATCTAATTGTAGAGACACATCATCTATATCTATCTATCTTTCTATACATCTTTCTATTTCTATGACTACAGTCATCAATTTCTTACTGGTGCATCATACACCCTCTTTCCTCGATACCATGTCTCCTTTACTTGGGCCTGAAGTAACGATTGCGGGGTCCAGTCCATCTTGGCTACCACAAAATTGGCCTGTAATCCCTTCGCCAGGCTTCCGGTCCAGCCTTCGGCAAAACAAGAGTACGCACTTCCATGTGTCACTCCCTGCATAGCTTGGCACAGGGATAGGGCGAACTCGGGGTTCACCACTGTCGTGTATTCCCTGTCACGCACAGATCGCCGGGTCGTCGCGGTGTAAAGATTTCGAAGAACATCCCATGATGCAGTGGGAGAGTCGGACCCAATGGAAATGTTGGCTCCGGAGGCAGCAAAATCGCCATATGCGAATGCTCGTCCACAGCGAGCTGTACCCAGCAGTTCCGGCCAGGCCTTGAGCAGGACTGGATCGGCATGCGCGGGCTGAATGGATGCGGTGATGCCAGCGGCAGCAAGTCGAGCCCCATCACCAGGGCTAGTTACTTCGAGGTGCTCAATGCGATGGCGGCGACCTGGGGTACCGTGCTCCGAAAGCGCATCGATGGCAAGTTTTGCAGCGCCATCTCCAATGGCGTGCAGAGCACACTGCAGACCAGCTTGATCTGCGTTGCGAACGATTGGCCCAAGGGCTTCGGGGGACCAGATGGGATCCGTCGATACTCCTGTAGTAGAGTAAGGCTCTATCAGAGCTGCCGTGCACGAATCAACAACGCCATCGCACATTATCTTGATGCCCACGATGCGGAAGTCTGGCGAAGTAGCAGCGTTAAATTCTTTGCTCAATGCAATTGCTCGAATGAGCTCTTCCGAGTCGCCTTTTGTAGAATCCGTAGGACGGACAAGCCAGTGAGCTGCAATATGTACAGGCAGCTGGCCGCCCATTTCTGCGCGGAGAGTTTTCAGTGCATCCCATGCAACATCGTCCATAGCCATTTCTACAAATCCAGTGCATCCAACAGCATGGAGAGCATGGATTGCATCTCGCAAGGCTTCAACCCGTTCCTCCGGTGTAGCAATTTGTGCCAAGTGCGGCCATACTAGGACTGTGCACGCAGCTTCGCTTAGGAAGCCAGTTGCTTTGCCCTGCGCATCGCGATGAATGGTTCCTCCTACAGGATTTGGCGTAGACTCCACGCCCATCTCTTTAATAGCTGCCGTGTTGCACCAGCAAGAGTGAAGATCCCGCGATACAATATAAATGGGTCTTTGATCCAAGTCGTCCAGCATAGAGACGTCAGCTTTTCCGTCAGTCATGAACTCCATCCAGCCACCACACAGAATGCGAGGTGCATCGGGATGTGTTGCTGCGTAAGTGCTGATAGCGTTGCGGATCTCCTCTAGGTTCTGACATCTTTCCAAGTTTAGTCTCTGTAGAGACTGACCTAGCAGGAGAGCATGTACATGGCCATCGATGAAGCCGGGAAGAACGTGATGGCCATCAAGATCCCGCAGGTTGGCGCCTTTTGAAGCAGCCACAGCCCTGATATTGGCATCATCACTGCCGATGTATTCGATTCTGCCATTTTCGACGAGCATGCAGTCGTGGAATTTGGTATCATGCTCTTGTCCCTTGCCTTGATCGGCAAAGAACTTGCCGTTTGTAAACAGAGTGGTCGTCATCCTTTTTCTTTGCCTTTTTTT